GCCCCCTCGTTAACTGTTTAACCATGAAAGGGATATTCCGGCGTAAAATTAATTTATGGTCAAACACACCGTAACACAGAGTTAGACAACCTCTTAAGAGATGAATGTTGACGACCGCTTCCTTCTCTAATTATACCAACTTTAGTAACGACCACAATAGCAATACACAAAGCCACGCGCTCAACCAAAACACCACTCTATAGCCACAAATAATGCTCAGAACAGCACCTAACTTTATCAACAGGACATATAGGGTCACAGACATAGTACTAGACACCAAACATCTTTTTAACTTTGACTCATTTCTTTAGCAAAGAGACTAAACACAACTCACCTACTCTCTTCCAGCAGCCGCTTGTTTGTAGCGAGACCTCAGGCCAGTCCAAGCAAGCGGTCGGCAACATTCATCTCTGGAGGGGGTGTCTAACTTGGTGTTAGGGTGTGTTTGTCTCTAAATTAATTTCAAGTTTCTCACAAGGTTAAAAACTAATTTTCTACTTCTGTGTTCGTGCAGCTTGTTTGTTTTTGCCTGTTTTTTTTTTTTAACTAATTTTTTTTTGTTTTTTTTATGATAGTCCTTGTCAGCCACCAAAGAAAAGAGCTGCAGAAACCAGGCTGCAAACATGTTTAACTCTGCTGTACAGTTGAACATTTTAACATGGGGCTCTATGGGAAATGACTCACTTAAGGAGACAGCCTCTAGTGGACAAATGAAGAACTGCAGTTTCCATTTTCCCCTCTTTATTATTCATGTTTTTTTTCACAGCTCTTCAAAATAAAAGCCCTCTGAGTGAGTTGATGGTGTCCCACCTGTTTTCTTCACATAAAAAGGGACTTAAATCTTGAATTTTAGTCACCAACATAAGCTCTTCCTCAGCTGTAAACCTGTGTCTGCTGTCTGTTTCCAGTCCTCCAAACTCCTTATATTACTCCTACATTTTATCTAAAATTAAAGCGTTCATTTCAAGACTTCATCTCTAATTATGTAAATCATTATCAAACAGAATCCCAGCTCATCAGGTCGTCTTAAACAGCTTGCTGAAGTTTATTCCTCCTTAAAGTATAGAGGAACACGAATGAAGATTGGCTTTAATCTAAAAACTTAGCACAGTGCTCATCTTTATGCACTTCACTTGATCTAAAACCACTTTGATGGGTTTTCTTCCGTTCGGTTAAAAGTGACGTCCTCTCAGAAACACGTGGAGACCCTGAAAGCAGCTTTCTGCAAACACAGGAGGAAAAAAGGAAGAGGAGGCTGCACGCAAACACACCCCATCACTGCGAGAGTGTGTGTGTGTGTGAGTGAGTGAGTGTGTGTATGTGGGACAGCTCCATCTGGGAGATGTTAGACGGCTATTAGCACGCCACAGGTTCACAACCACACAACCGCACGCACACACGTGTCACATAACACACACACAGGCTGAGTGATCCGACTCGTGAGCTCCGAAAATCACAGAGAGGAAAAGAGGAGGAGGAGGAGGACTGATCACAGCTGAGAGAAGCGAAGAGAAATTTCATCTGCTGCCTTCACAATAAAAGCCCCCTTCAGAGTAAAAGCTTTCCAAAAAACTTCTGCCTGAGTTGGTGCATTTTCACCATGGGTATAAAATCCACTCGTTGCGTGAGTCCGACTGAAACTGGACTTTGAAAATCCATGAAAACATCTTAGTTAATGCTGGGCGATAAAACGATGAAGGTATATATTGAAAAGGAATTTCCCTCAATAGTCGGCATTAAAAAGGAGAAAAGTGCGTTTTCCAGGAATTAGCTGGTTTAGTGGTGGATTTATCTGACTGTGATAAAGGTACAGAGCTACAATCAGTACAGCTCACACCGTACATGACATGAACATCGAGGAGCATGAGATCGCATTCGCCATATTCACGAATTTAGTATTTGATTTTCTTTACCTCTCGGATCGTCCTTTCTCATGAATGTCGGGTCACGCCAGCCTCTGTTGACCTCCGACCTCCCTCTGATTGCAGGGACGTCCATTCTGAACTTTATGACTGGCTCTGCTGACCTCTGATTGGAAGGCAGCCATTGGTTGAGCTCCCCGGGAAGGCGGGGTTTGTTGAGTCTGAGGCCGTTAAGCTCGATGCAAACCCTCAGCTTCTTCACATCCTCCTGAGACGAGTCTGTGACGGAAAACCACAGAAAGACGATCAAACAACCAAATAATGATTAAGAAACACATTTATTAATGTGACTGTGGAGCAACGAAGGTCGGCAACTCATGATTGTATTATGATGGATTCACTCTGAAAGCCTTTACCGTTAGTTAACTTTGTCTTCTTGTCTTGCTTCCCCTCCTCCACCTCCTCCTCCTCCTCCTCTTCCTCCTCCCTCCCTCTCTTCAGTCGACAGCTGCTGATGCTACTCTGGTGAAACGGCTCCAGACTGAAAATACGCCTCCGGTTTATCGTCGTGCTCAGATTTGAGCCTGTTAGTCCAGGCGTGGAGGACGGTGTGGAGGTGTTTCCCTCAAAGACGCCTCTGGCTGCGGAAAACAATCTTTCTTGTGGTGGATGCGAAACGAAAATCCTCTCCTCTTTCTTCTCCCCCTCCTGAAGATCCTTTTTTTCCTCCTCCCTGTTTTCATCCTCCTCTTCACCTAGAGATCAGGACAAAAGTATTTACTCATGATTATCTGAGGGAAAAATAATGCAGATTGCACCACCTTGGATTCAAACCTGCAGCCTTCATCTCGTAGGCTTGTCTTTGTATATTTACAGTGACCTTCAACCTCTCTCTCTCTCTCTCTCTTCTCCTTTTGGCTCATTTTTCCATCTTTATCCTCCTCCTTTTCCCATCACCCCACTCTAGCTCTCTTTCCATATTTTCCTGTTTCTCCGTCTCTCGTCGTTACAGACCCCATTACTCGCCATGGCAACAGTCCATCAAAGGTCATCTTCATGGAAATCTAGTTGCCTGGTCTTGTGCACAAAACACTCAGAGACGTTGTGCTGTTGAGCAACTGCAGACTCCCTGGCATCCGCTTTTCTTTTCTCCTGAACGGAGTGTTTCCCCCGACAGAAGCAGAGCGCAGGAAAGTCAAGAAAATGGCGCCCAGTTTCACAATTAAAAGGTTCCTACTGCAGCTAAATTGTAAAATTGCAGCGTAGTTATAAAACGTTTGAATGAATGTGAATATTTCAGTGTTAAAATTGAAACGCTGTATAAAAAACACTGAAATTCACTGTCCATAATGTGTAGGCTACTTGTTAATACATTTAATTTAATAAAATAAATGAAATAAATCCCCCCTTGATACTTTAAAAAGTCAGAGAACCATAATTTTGACCAGATAAATAAAGTTTTTATTTGCACTTGTACGGATCGGGTAGGTAGAAATAGCTTATGAAAATGCATTGAAATACGAAGAGAGAGGAAGGTTTCCGGGACAGATCGGGTAGCGACAGGGATGTTTGAATATCAGTGGTTGATGGAAACACTCTCAGACAGCACTGATGCTGCGGGTAGGTAGATCGGCCGCACAACCAGTCAAACTCCATGGGTGCTGGTAGCCAAGCCGTCTAGGCGTTAATCACATGTATGGAGGTCATCACCTTGCATGCCTGATTTATCCACTATCCTGTCCTCTCAAAAAAAAGGCAAAAGGCTAAAAGTTTAGGTTTAACGAGTGTGATAATGAGTGAAAAAACTAATGAGTAAATCAGCTGATTTATCAGTGAGTTTCTGAGTAGATTTGACTTTCAAGAAGCAGAAAGTTCGTCTGTCTTTTCTCGGCTTCCTCGAAAAAACGAGAGCAGCGCTGAGCTCAGCTTGAAGAGAGCAAAGTGCACCCAGAGTTCAACACAGACACACTCGCACACACACACACACAGACACAGACACAGACACACACGCACACACACTCACACACACACACACAGACTCACACTCACACACACACACACACACACAGCGCAGAAACAAAGACAAGGAAAGCATGCAACTCCAAGCGAGTGAAGTCAACCCTGCAAAAACAAGCCTGTGTGTGTGTGAGTGTGTGTGTGTGTGTGTGTGTGGGGATATGTGTGTGTGACCGTGAACGCCTTCCTGCAGAGCTCTCCGGAAATCCTCTTACCTCTCGCTGCCTCAGCGGCGGCTGCAGAGGGAGTTCTATCTCCTCCCCTCCTCCCTTCATTCTGCTGGCAGTTTTCCCCTCCTCCTCCTCCTCCTCCTCCCTCTCTCTTCTTCCCTTCCTCCTCCTCCTCTTCATTTTCTTCCTCCCTTCCCGTGTCTCTGTGTTGGCTGTCTGCCAGCTCCGTCTCTCTCGCCGCCGCTGTGGTTGCCTCTTCTCCTTCCTCGCTTCCTCTCCCTCCCTCTTTCTCCTTCAGTTCCAGCTCAGAGAAGCGCAGCATCGCCCGCTGAGAAATTAGAGAGTCGACTTTAAAATGTTAGTGAGAACTTCAATATCATATCTGTTTCCTGCAGAACATCATCTTTTGATTCCGCTCCTTTGAAGTAACTGTGAGAAGTCTTTCGCTGGTTATGAAACAGACTAAAATCAACAGTGATGCCTCTTTATGAGCTAGACAAACCAGACTATTAGCAATAATTCACCACTGTGAGGGGATATATCATCAGATCTTAAGAACAATATGCTCAGATAGAAGATTCAGAGCTGCCGTGGTTTCAACAACAAGCCAAAAACGGGAGCCAGGACTAGAAACTGCTCGTACAGCAAACTGCAGTACACCTATTGTTTAGGCTGAGAATTGCATTGCAGACACTCTAATGTATGAGGATATAATGGTCAGCCGTACTAACATAGCTATAGGGATCAATCAGCCCCAAAGTATACCAGAGTTCACTGATTAAAAGGGATAATTTAGGGTCAAACACACCGTAACACCGAGTTAGACACCCCCTCCAGAGATGAATGTTGTCGACCTCTTTCTTCTCTAGTTATATCAACTTTAGTAACGACCGCAGGATAGAAATACAGAGAGCCACATGCTCAACCAAAACGCCACTCTATAGCCACAAACAATGCTCAGAACAGCACCTAACTTCATCAACAGGACATATTAGGGCCTGAGGATATGGATTTTTTGGGTCCAATGCCAATACTAATTATTAGGGGGGAAAAAATCTGATTACCGATTAATTGGCCGATTTTTAAATTTCAAAAATGAAGTTATAAAAAAATAAATACGGTATATATATTAAATATGGTGTAGATAGCTACAGTATATACTGTAGTCTACAGTATACAATATACTGTAGATATACTGTAGGCTACTGCTCTTCACGCAGACAGGAAGACCGACTGATTAAACTCGGACCAGAAAAGCGTTTTCAATAACCCCCCCACCCCCACCCCCCGCCGCCACTGCCGCCGATCGGTGCGTCTTAACTGTCGTTACTCATTTCCGCTCCGGTCTCATCTGGAGACATGCAGCTGCCTCAGTAACAGAAGTAGCTCAGTCACTAATGTGTACTGTTGTTTATTCTACCGTTACTGACACGGCTAACAGTGCAGCAAGGCTAATAGCAGATGGCTAACTCTAACTTTAGCTTGCATATTACATGGTGATTCACCGTTAACTCGGCGTGACCGAGACCAGAGAAGCAAGCGGTCAGCAACATTCATCTCTCGACAGGGTGTCTAACTCGGTGTTACGGTGTGTTTGACCCTAAATTAATTTTACACCAGAATATCCCTTTCACTAACTAAAGAAGATATGAATTAAAATCTGGACCTTACCTGGAGTGCTCTCTGTTCGCGGCTCAGCTTACTGGAGTCGGCGTAGAGCTCTGTGGTCACACATTTAAACCGGTCACCCACATAGCCAGAGGAATTAGCGATCCGCTTGGTGAGGCCAGAGCGCCGGTTTTTGCCACAGCCAAGACCCTCGTCATCATCTGTCAGTTGATCCATATACTCCTGGATCTCGTTCATATCGTCCTTAGAAAATTCAGTGCTGAGGCCTGGTTTTGGTTCAGTCTCATCACAGGAAAGGCCCTCAGCTCTGAGGTTTTGGTTGCCTTGTGGATCTGGAGTTCCATCTGCAGGAATCCTAGAAGAGTCTCCATCAGTTGGATTACGAGGTGAAAGGTGCTGACAGCCCAGAACAGAGGGATTGGGGTTATTTCCACAGGACTGATTATTTCCCAAAGACTGCCCTTTGGAGAGGTTACGCCTAAAATCTGGGCAACTGAAACACATCTTTCCACATGCAGGAGCCCCAAGACTGATGTTTCCACAGCTTGTGGCATTGTGGTTTTCACAACAGGAGGATCTGGGATTGTTGCTTCCCCCATTCTGGATCTGACAGCTTAAACTAGTGGGTTCACAAGTTGGAGTCCTAAGAGCCAGATTTTTGCAACATGGACAAACAAAATCTCTACTGACAAATTTCAGACTTTGACCATCTCTGCCGTTGCACTTAAGATCTCTCGGGATTACACTGCAACACACTGGGGCACTGTGGTTCAGGGCTCCTGCGACTGGAACTCTGGGATTTGAACTACTCCATTCTGTTATCCGGGGACAAAATTCTCTATGCACTGGTCCCTTGCTGCTGCAAACTGGACCATCTGTGAGATCACTGTCCCCATGAGCTGGACTTCTCTGACAATTGCCTGTGCACATTGCTGCTCCTGTGGTGTTGCTAGAGTCACTGGAACCAGTTTCTACCCTTGAAAGACTTGTCAGTAAGTCCCCATTTCTTGAGAAGTCCACATTTTTCTTGGCTGAGGTCTCTTCCTTTGCTTCATCACTCTTGCCATTCAAACCATTGTCCCCGCCACCAATGACACCAATGACCATGTCCCCAGCACCGCTAGAGGGTCCAAGTTTACATTTTCTAGAAAACTGATCCGGAGCAGTCCTGGCACAGCACATTGTCTGCTCTTCTGGAATGTCAGGGAATGGACTGAGAGAGTCCTCCTCTATTGGGATCTCCTGAGGGATCTCCTCACTGGAGGAAGGAACAGGAGAAGAGCTGGGATAAGGATGCTGTGTTAGAGGTATCTGGGGTTGTGAGCTTTGTTTCTGCTCCAATTCTTGACTGGGATGGGATCCTGAAGAACAAGGTGGTTTTTCTCTGACATGGTCACTGCTACCTATTTTGTTTTTGGAGAAATCTTCTCTATTGGTAGTCTGGGAGCTGTTTTTCTTGTCAGGAAATTCATCATCTGTCTCATCATGCACCAGGTCAATGCAAATAAAATCATCCCTGGCAGGAGTCAGGGTTTTGCTTGAGGCCTTCCCAGAATGATTTTTGTCCTTCTTGTCAATGGCCAGCCTTTCCTGATCCCTGTACCGCTCTGCTCTCTTGATTCTTTCCTTGATTTCAAGTCGATCAAAATCTGGGTATGAGGAAACAGGTAGAGGAGCCACCTGAGAACTCTTGCATGTTGTAAAGTCACTCTTGTTCGAATGTCCTCGGTATGGAGAACCATGATCAGGTGCAAGACGAGGTTGATAAAAGTTGCTGCTGCCAAGCAGCAGGGGGTGGGAGCATGCTGGTCCTTTCCCTGATGTGGTCATGCGCTGCAAGGACATACTTTCAGCAACTGAGTATGGTATGTAGCGATTTGTGTAACCCAGACCAGGAGGAAGGTAGGAGTCTCCATAAGTTTGACTCCCATTTAGCAAACAAGTTTGCTGTTGCTGCTGATGGAGGCTGTTCTCATGAGCTTTTGAGGAGGTGATGCTCTGTTCTGCACAGTTTGAACTGCCTGACTCAGTCCGTGGGACTTGAGACCATTCAGCTTTAGTGTTAGGGGTAGGTGGTGAAATGGAGGGTCCTCGCCCTGGGGTAGGGCTTGGGGTGCCAGGTACCTCAGTGATGAGGCAAGGTGAATTCTGAGGCTGTGTGTGACGAGGAACATTGTCTGAACTTTTGTTTTTTGTAAGCTTAAGTCCTTGGATGTGGTCAGAACTCACTGGCAGGGAAGGATGTGGAACTACCCAAGAAGAAGACACTGTACTGACTATTTCAGGACGGTCTGGAGTCTTTGTTGTCATGTTGATAGATGTGGAGATGCCCATTTTTACAGACTGGTCCTGTTTGGCTAACAACCCATAACTAGGTGATGGTAGGTACCCCAATTTGGCCAAAGTCTCTAAATGGGATGGGGATCTATTTAAGAGGGCCTCTGAATCTTGGTTGGCAAGATCTGGAGGTCGTTCTCTGGGGTTTTTGGTAGATGTTTGAGGTACAGCTCTGTCTACAGGTATATTTCCTGGTGATGTACACCTGTCTGCACCACAGTGGGCATCTTTGGTTTGGTTGCTGCCTGACTGAACTGCGGTGCAGAGCTCTGAGCTCAGGTTACTTACGTAGAAAGGATGAGATACTGAAAGTGAGGATGAAGATGTGGAAGAGTTCCTAAGCAACTTCTGGGAGTCTGTCGTGGTACGGAGGGGTGAGGGATAGGTAACTTGTGGAGACTCTGAGGTAGCAGTGCTACTTAAACTGCTAACAGGAGCATCACCTCTTCCACTGTTTCTGTTTACCATGTTTTTGGAGGAAGTTGACTGGTTGGACTTGCTGCTGCTGCCACAGCCGCCATGCTGTCGCTCAGTGTTTTGATCAGTTTTAGGCTGGGGTTCCTGGTGGATCTGTGGACTAGTGCTGAAAGCAGACTGTTCCTGATGTACTTGAGGACCAAGGCCCTGTAAGGCCTTGTCTTGGCGGTGAGGCAGGGGTGTAAGGATGGCAGACGCTGGAGTGGCAGCAGTGAATCTGATTGGAGGGCCTAATGGAGATGACATATGTGTCTGTGCATAATGGGGCAAGTAGAAAAGTCTGTTCTCCCCAGGTGTGCTGCCTCCTGCCCCTGCAGCACACAGAGACTGATATGCCAGCTGCTGGTGAATGAATGGCGATGGCTGGGACAGGAAGGAGGCCTTGTATGCCATGTCTAGAAAGGGATACATCGTTGCATCAGCGTAAGGGCTAATCCATGGCAATTTCAGGAAACTGTTCGCGCCATTTAGACCCAGTTCTGACTGCTTGTCATTTGTGAGGACTCTGCGGTCCAGCCCCAAGCCATCCCCTCCGACAACAGGGACAACCAAGGGTTTCTGCAGGCCTGGGGGTTGGCTCTTATACAGTCCAACATATCCATTTGCAGACTTCTGGCTTTCCAACAGTGCCATGTTTGGTTTGTAGAGGAGCTCATAGCTCAGTGGGAGAGAGGAGCCAGCCTCCTGAGGTTTATCAGCGGAGAGAGGATTGATGCCTGGGTAGAGGAGCCCTCCATGGGGGCGGAAGCTTTCTCCTATCAGAGCACTGCGGTCGATGCTGAGAGCAGCTAATGGGTTCATCCTGAAAGATGCGCTGGCATCCACCTGTGACAGTGAGGAGTGGGTAAAAATAAGTAAGAACCACAAACAGGAACCACAGCCATGACACTTTTTTCTTTGACAAGGACTGTACAATAACAGTTGGACTGACTGCAAAGACAGGACCGGAAACAGGACTTTATCACACTCTGGTTCATGATGAGACTCATCTTAAATCAAATTTGGAAAGCATCATGGAGACACTAAATTTTTAACTTTGAGTCGCAGACCAAGACCAGTCAAAATAAACAGTTACAGAAACCCTTAAGAGTGATTTATTAATTGTTTGATGGGGAAACTCAATCTTTGACTTACTTTTGACCAACCTGATGAGAACATACCAACTGCTACTTTGAATTATACTCATCAGCATAAAATCTTTATAAAAATTCTTAAACTATGTGTTACATTTCTGTTATTGCAGGATTTATTCTTTAATACTGTGAAGCCTCATATGCTCAAATTTAGCCTGCAAAGAAAAAAAGATTAATGTTTATTCAGGGAATCTCTGCGCAGAACACAGAGCCTGTGATTTCATTTTTCCTTCATAAAGAGGAATAAGAGCAGCCTGTTTTTAGTATTCCTGGATGACATACAACGCCCCAAGCAACCCTCTCTCTCCCACGACAGATCCAGGGCGAGCGAGGGAAGGGAAAGCAAAAGAGGAGGCGTGAGATCAACGGAGAGAAAAAGAGAGAGAGAGGGAGAAATATTGGAGAGAAAATGCAGCCTAATTGAATTTCCTGTCACACGGCGTTGTGAACCCTCTCTGATTGGCTATCAGCCGCAGGGCCATTAGGAAATTATCCAGACTACTGGGTGGTCGTCTAAGATGTGAAAAGAGGAAGGATGTTTTACTCCCATAGTCTTTCAGAGCACTAGAAATAGAGATGTGAAAGTGCAGCTGGAGAAATTTACACGATGCTGCAAGAATTAAACCAAAAATGGAAAGTTTCTTCAAAAAATCAGCACAGCTCTAAAATAATGACTGCGTGCAGCGTACCATCCAGCACATAAACACTCTGACACCTGATTGGAGTGGTTACAGCTTGTATATGACATCAAAGGAAACCCAAACTTGACCTTTGACCTTACCATGCTGTGAGCCTGCGGTTCTCTGGTTTCTGCTTCAGATGGGGGCAGCCACTGCTGAGGGAATGCCGTTCAGCCCGCCATGACTGTGACGGAGAGGAACCACATGAGAGGAGGGAAGTTAAACACAAACACACTGAGGTTTGGTGTGTGACTCACACACACACACATAACAGAGAGCTGTCTGTCTGCGCTGATGAAACGGTCATGACGTCTGTGTGTGTTTTTATCACCCAGCAGGAGCGCCGATAAGGCATGTGCCATAATCCAGCAGAGGAAATATCAGCCGCCGCACACACACACACACACACACACACACACGGAGTGATTGATGACTGTTAGGGAGCTGGGATTTCAATAACGTCTGTTATCTGCACGCTATTGAAGGACGGCTGTGTGTTTGTGCAGCTTTGGCTCACTAATAAAACACACACAAACACGAGCTGGACCTGCTGATTTAAGGCTTTTTTGCTCCATTTAAACCAAACCTCATTAAAAAAAAGTCATATTGTTAAATCAGGTGCGTCAACACTTAAAGGGACATTCCAGCGTAAAATTAATTTAGGCTCAAACACACCGTAACACCGAGTTAGACACACCCTCGAGAGATGAATGTTGCCGACCGCTTGCTTCTCTAGTTATACCAACTTTAGTAACGACCGCACGATAGCAATACAGAGAGCCACGCGCTCAACCAAAACACCACTCTATAACCACATATAATGCTCAGAACAGCACCTAACTTCATCAACAGGACATATAGGGTCACAGCCATAGTACTAGCCATCAAATATCTTTTTAACTTTGACTCATTTCTTTCGCAAAGAGACTAAACACAACTAACCTACTCTCTTCCAGCAGCTGCTTGTTTGTAGCAAGACTTCAGGCCAGTCCATTACGGACTACAGCAGGGTGAAGCAGCTCAAGGAAGAACATTTATGATAATTTCTTTATCATTTCCTTGAAGTAATAATCATCATATCAACAACAACAACAACATTCATCTCTCGAGAAACAATTTAACACTGGAATATCCCTTTAAACCTCCTGTGAGGAGTTTTTTTAGCTGGTTATGAACATAGACTGTATACGGACAACTTGGTTCTGCCTTACGCCAGTATACAGATTTGAAGCCGAAAAGCTCTCGGTAATTCCAAGTTTCTTCTCCACTTCCTGAAACCAACATTGCACAGTAGCGTTGTACACATTCGATGGAAGAGTCGCTGAGACGACACATAGACTATGTGTTAGAGACTATGGTCTCTCATTTGTCCAAGATCTGAGCAGTTTACATCTGTTGTCTAGGATTATTACAAAATACATTTGCCTCGTGATTTGAAACTCTGCGCTCGTCAAGTATTGACACCAAACTTTGCAACTTTGCCGTTTTTGTTATAAATGATATCTGAGGGGTGAGATTCTAGAACAGAATGTTAAGGTACTTTAATCTTTGATCTTGTTACTTTAATAGATCTAAGAAAGGCATCAGGGATAATTTCAGTTTGTTTCATAACCATAGACTCTATATAGAACAGACGCCGTCTGCCTCCTCGCTGAGTGAAGCCACTCCGAGAACAGCACCCTCTGGTGACGGGCTGCAGTATAGGTCATAAATCCCGCCTTCAGGAATTTATATCACAGAACATAAATTTTTCTCCCCCCCTGGTTGTGATGTTGACATGTAGTTACAGTCAGACTGGTTTGTGCTCAAGTCCTCTTTTTTCTGTACAGCTCCGTTTTAAAAAGTTATTAGGGGGTTCATGTTTTCTGTGATTGACACTTGATACAGCCTATGGGCGTACGAAGATTGCGTCGCTCACCCAGGGGGATACGCTGTTTGAGCCGAGTGACTCTCAGCGACTCTTGTGCCGAATGCGTACAACGCTACTGCGCAGTGTTGGTTTCAGGAAATGGAGAAAAACTGCAGAGCTTTTTTCGCTTCAAATCTGTATACTGGCAGGAGGCGGAACCAAGTTGTCCATCGTGTATACAGTCTATGGTGACCATATGGTACAGGGGGGGCTCCAAAGCTAACACCGCTATTAAGTCCCTCACAGAAGCTTTAACCAAATAAAGCAGAACACTGTTGGATGTTTAATTTCTGCACTTCTGCTCTCTAACATTATTATTCCTGAAGAGGTTGTTTGTTTTTTCTTATTCAGACTCATTTTAAAATCGAAAGTACCCCAAACAACTCCAAAAGTCTTGTACTAGTTCCAAAGGGGTGTCCCGGTAAGGTCACCTGATTAACACTTTAAATAAATGAAACAACAACTTCTAGAAAAAATTAATTAACACCTTGGACTTACCTTTTTTTCTTCTTCTTCTGTGGTTTTTTATCTTGTTTTTTATCCTCTTCTTTTAATATTCCACTCTTTTATCCATCTGCTCCAATCCTCGATCTCAAACCTCCTCTTCTGCCAGAGTAAATAAATCCATCCCCATCGATTCACCGCGTGCGGCTGCGAGACAGGCGCGCGGACGCGCACGTGCACACCCTCGGAACACAAACACACACACGCGCACAGACGAACACACTCCAAGGTAAAGGTCAATCTCGATGTTTTTGAATGGAGTCCGGCGCGCGAGCCACACCGAGATATGCACGTGTCAAAAAACAAGGTGTCCGGAGCCGAAGAGAGTCGAACGGAACCGAACAGAGCCGAGCGGAACTCCGTTTAAAAAACATCACATTTGAGACCTGCAGCGGGAGAGGAGGACGAACAAACACACCTGAACGAGCACGCGCGCGCAATCAGATGCCAAGCTGAACTCTGAGTGCGCGCGAGTGTGTGTATGTGTCTGTGTGTGTATGAAAGCCCGTGGAGTCCCGACAGGAAGCAGCAGCAGATCAAATCCAAAATAATTCAGCCTGAAAATCAAAAATGAAAAAAATTAATCACCCTTCCACGTGCGGATCAATTCCCAGGGGTGTCACGCGCTCAACTCTCGGTTTTTTTTCCCACCTTTTTCTTTTTGTTTCTTCCTCTTTTTGTCGTCCGTCCGTCTGCCAGGTTTATCCTCCTCCTTCTCTCTCCTTCTCCTTCCACAGCCTCCCTCTCTTCTTCTCTTTCTCCTCCTCCTCTTTCTCTCTCTCTCTCTCTCTCTCTCCCTCTCTGCCGCTCTCGCGCTCCAAAGCGTCAAGTTACGCACAAAGCGTGACACTCTCCCTTTCAGAGTAAGAGTCCCTCCTGCTGCTGCTGATGTCTCGGGTTGCTGAATTGTCTCCGGGAAGACATTTCATATAATATTCATAAATGCGTTTTAACCATAGACTGTATACACTATACTATATATACTATACTTCTATATGCCTGGTTTTACCCCCCAGGGTTCATTAAAAAAAGTGACGTCTAGGTCCTTAGAGGACAAAAATGTCCATCTCCTAAAAGTACTATAAAAATATTAAACATTCATATTTTTTCCACTTTTCTTGCTTAAATCTTTTAATCAATTTCCGTTCTGATCATATCTATCAAATATTTATTTATTTTCAAGAATTTTAACCCTTTAAATGACAGTTTGACCATATGATGTTACTGTTATTTTTAATGGGAAAAATGAGGAATTTGGAGTTATTTTTCCAGATATTAAATGCCAGGCAGGAATTTCTTTTTTTTTTCTCTCTCTCAAGGTTTATGATGTGTCCTATGATGGGATAGACCTTGACAAAAAAAATATAAATGAATAAATAATAATAATTCCATTTTTTCCCATTAAAAATAAAAGTGAAATCATGTAATCACACTGGGATTTAAAGGGTTAAAATTCTGAAAATGAATTAATATTTAATATGTGATCAGGACTGAAGTTGATTAAAAGATTCAAGAAAAAAAAGTGGAAAAAATATTAATGTATAGTATTTTACAGCACTTGTAGGAGATGGATATTTTTGTCCGTCTAAGGACCTAAATGTATAGTGTCTTTGTCACACAGTGAATATTGACCTGATATAATAATAGGTGGTCAAGTTTTAAAAATTGGAAAGAAAAAAAAAAACTTAAAAAAAAATCATCCCATTTGCATTAACACAGCTAAAATGATCAACAAATGAAAAGTAAAGAGTCACCAGAAATGGACAAAAATGTCCAAAGTGCCCCAGAGGGTTAATTAGAGGATAATCACGAGAAGAAACAAATCATTTTGCTTTTTTCGAATTTGGTGGTGCTTTTTTTATCCCCTTCCTTCGAGGCTGCCATCTCGCACCTGCATGTTTCTCCAGCAGGACAGAACAGTCAAGCTCGTAAAATCTTCATTTTTTGGATTTAGTGACTATGGTTTGGAGAAGAAAAGCAAAAGAATAAGTACTGATAGTCCAAACTTGGCAAACTTATGCATCACAGGAGCTTCTTACCCTCAAAGGCCACCATAGCCTTACTAAATAAGAGCGTGTGTTCATCTAGAATGCAGATATTATTATATACTCCCATTCCTTCTTTTCTGTGAATCTATCTGAGTGGTATTTCCTTTAAATTGAGGTTTAAACACCTTTTTTTTTATTACAGATTATGTTTTTATGTGGGTATTCATTCAGTCTTCTACGGAGTCATTCCAATAAAGAAAAAGTAAAGAAAGGGTGAAGGATGGGATTTAATTAAAGTGTTTTTGAACTTGGAATCAAACCAAATGTTTTTTGTTTTGAAATTTGGAGTTTAGTTTTACAACCTGTTTTCCTGAAGATATTTTACCTCCTCTGTTCAAACTTCAGACTCAAACACACAAAAAAAAAACCTGAATTTAACCTTTAAAATATAATTAAAGAAAAGTTACAGCTTCAAACTCATGGACTAAACTTTTCGTGATGTTTGATTGACACAAAACAGGAACAAATACACAGAAAAGAAGATAGATGATCTGTTTTTGGTGACAAATGCAGTAAGTCTAAAGTTTGTCACACTGCAGCACACTCATGTGGACTGAAACAGTACTACAACAATTCACAGACCTGCATGAAAATTACAAGTCATTTCTGACACTTCAATCCAAGTATTATCCACAGAAGTGTAACGATTTAAGCCCTGCTGCTTCTTTTAATAGTTTTTACACATTTTTACCACAATTACTCCCATTACCGGTACAACTTACACGCTACTATTTCAGTGTCTTATACAGCGACTGTTACGTTAACTACCATCACTACAATCATGACAACAGCTACTACTTTTACAGCAATAATTAACTATTTTCTTCGTTATTTTATCTGTGTGTAAGTACGACAAATGTCAAGACATCATCATCTGCAGGTCACGCACAGCTCTGGGGTAAAAATAGGCATGACTCAATAGAGGAACCCACAGCATGGGCTCAAAACTACTCCAGAAGAGGAAACCACACACAAAGATAAAACATTAGGCAACTTCTCTAGAACTGAGTCCACGTAAGATGGACTGAGGTGATGTGGAGTCAGTTTGTCCACGTTACACAAACTCAAAACTTCTGTACAAAACCCGGACATTTGAAGGATTTTAGAAACTCACCCTGGACAGGCCGGGCAGCCCCCCAAAAACAGGACACGTCCGCGTAAAAGAGGACGTATGGTCACCCCAAATCAGCTGTCACACAAACCTTTACTCTAGTTTGGTTAAAAGTCAGACCATCACGCCAAATCACAAGACTGAACCAGTCTGCGTGTTTACAGTATGATGGTCAGATGACAGGCGGGCTCTCTCTGCCCTCAGACTTTGTTTCACTTCAGCGATTCTTGATCATTTATTGTGAGTCGTGTCCAGTTTCATCTTGATGTCTGGATGTGTACGGTGACCTCTGACCTCTGTGTTAAAGAGCAGTCAAGAGTGTTGTTGCTGCACGATGAAGTTGAGAAATATTCACGCAATGACACAAAAACACGAAGTGAATCTTCAACAGGGACCGGCGTACAATCATAACAGACCCTTTAATCAGTTTCAGGGTTTTAATTTCAGTCATTTTTAATCAGTTTTAAGGTTTTAATTTTAATTATTTTAATCAGTTTGAAGGTTTTAATTTAAGGTTTAAATTTCTGTTATTTTTTAATAGTTTTAAGGTTCTAATTTCAGTCAGTTTTAATTAGTTTTAAAGTTTTAATTTCAGTTATTTTTAATCAGTTTAAAGGTTTTAATTTCAGTGATTATGAATGAGTTTTAAGGTTCTAATTTCAGTCAGTTTTCATCAGATTAAAGGTTTTAATTTCATTTATTTTCAATGAGTTTTTAGGTTTCAATTTCAGTTATTTTTAATCAGTTTGAAGGTTTTAATTTGAGTTATTTGTAATCAGTTTTAAAGTTTTAATTTCAGTCAGTTTTAATCAGTTTTAAGGTTTTAATTTCTGTTATTTTTAATCAGTTTTAAGGTTTTAAGTTACTTAAAATCAGTTTTAAGATTTTAATATCAGTTATTTTAATTCATTTTTAAGTTTTTAATTTCAGTCAGTTTTAAACAGTTTTAAGTTTTTAATTTCAGTCAGTTTTAAACAGTTTTAAGGTTTTAGTTTCAGTCAGTTTTAATCAGTTTTAAAGTTTTAGTATCAGTTTTTTAAACAGTTTTAATTTCAGTCAGTTTTAAACAGTTTTAAGTTTTTAATTTCAGTCAGTTTTAAACAGTTTTAAGGTTTTAGTTTCAGTCAGTTTTAATCAGTTTTAAGGTTTTAATTTCTTTCAACTCAACTCAACTTTATTGATAGCGCACTTTAAATACAACCAAAGCTGGCACAAAGTGCTGCACATCATAACATAAAAACACAAAACAACAATTTATAGTACTTTACTCCATATTTACTTCTGAATTTATGCAGGTAGACTGTGTTTGGGTGTACGAGTGTGTGTGTGTGTACATGTAGTCTGTTTGTTATTTGATAAAACTAAAATGCCAATAAAAATATTGGATTAAAAAAATTGTTTTCTGCTCTGATATCTGATTAACCATCATCCTCCACTGTCAGTTTCTGTCAGACTAAGGTGTGAAAGAAAGAGGAAGTGGTTTCTGAGTGTTTTTCTTTGGAAAGCGTTCTGCTAACATCCTCATTTTTTTCTTCTGCTGTGGTTAAAAATGATGTCCCTAAAGCTTCCTGACAGTTCTTCGAAACCAAAAATAGCTAAACTTAGTTTCATTCCCTGATTACGAAACATCTTAAACTTGGACAGACATGCTGACGTTTCTGTTCATCTGAGTTTAAAGTGACAAAGCTGTTGTTTCTCAGTGGAAACTGAATGAGACAAAACTTTAAAGGTTAAATCAGATAATAAAGGCTGTGTCTAGAAAGGATGGAGAGCAGATTCACCCTCCCACAGAGTGTCAAAACTCGAACCCTCTTTAGTTTCCTTTGAGACGGGGGCTGTAAGGGCCCTGAGGTTCTTTTTAGTTCTTTCCACTTGTTATTTTATCAACAAAATCTTAGTTTCCGTGTTTGAGTTCAACACGCACAGTTTCTTTGTACGCAGACGACTCTGTCTTGTATTTTAACAACTCACTCAAAACAGGAGCAAGGGTTCAAACTTTCACGCTTTCCTAAACATTTCAAACGGACTTATCTTTGTATTGTTTTATATCAGCATGCATCCTGACAATGTATTTAATCGGAGAAAACACATTTTCCAACGCAGCTGGTTATAGTTGTAGAAGTGCTCCGATCTGGGGGGCTAAAGTTTGAAACAATCTTCTGACTTTCATGGTTAATTTCTACGACAAACTTAAAAGAGATCTGGAACTTTCATAGAGCAATCAAATCAGACTGAATAGAAGCTGATAAATCTGTTGTATTTTTTCGTGCAGCGTCGTATGTGGTTGCAGCTTTGTTGAGAAAAACAGGATGTGGTACACGGGGCAATCTAACCCGCCCATGACCTTAACAACAGACCAACGCTTCACACAGACTGAGGTATTGAGTTATTACAGCACTTTGATGCTTGTTTAAAACGCACACCACAATAAAAACGACACCTGCTAACAAATGGTCGACAATGGTCTTCAAAAGGATGAACATTTGTGCGTTCTTTATTGTTTCAGTTTTTGAGTCCACAATAATTAGCAGCAGACAATAAGCTTTATGTTTCCTAACGGTGTAGCAGCTCAGTGACGAATAAAGTGGCTGAAAAACACTACTGTTAGAGAAACTTCGAACATTCAGTGGCTGTAGGGTCTATGAGATGTAACTGCTAAACCAGGAGAAAAGAAAACTGCAGTGCATGAAAAATATTCTCAGCTCAAAGATCAAATTTGCAAGTTTGAATGATTTCCTTCAAGATTTTAAAAGGTGCAATCTAGCTGGTGGTTCTGAACTCAAGAGTTCATAAAGTGCCAAATCTTCACAGATAAAAGCAAACACAAATACACAAAAATCAACTTTGAATAAACTACAACGACATACAACTTTAAAACCTTTCAGTACTGTGACCTCTAGCTCCGCCTCCTTAAATCTCAGACCACCTTAAAGGGATATTCCGGCGTAAAATTAAGTTAAGGTCAAACACACCGTAACACTGAGTTACGGTCGTTACTAAAGTTGGTTTAACTAGTGAAGCAAGCCGTCTGCAACATTCATCTTTCAACGGGGGTGTCTAACTCGGTGTAACTGTGTGTTTGACCCGAACTTCATTTTGCGCTGGAATATCCCTTTAAGCTTGTTTCAGGACTGGGATTGGTCTATCAAAGCTCACTGTGTCAAAACATAAAAAGCTGCTTTTGAACAGTCAGGAAGAAACCCAACGCACCATGAATCTGTGTCTCTGAGGTAGTGCAGCGAACGTCCCTGACTCCTAGAACAGACAGTGTTTGAGCAGAAAGAATACAGGTGTGCAGGTGTCACCCAGGTATCATCAAGCTGTCATCCAGGAGTGCAGGTGTCACCCAGGTATTACCTAAGTGTCGTCCAGGTGTTCAGCGATTGTCCAGGTGTCCCTGTGGAGGCTGCACGGACTGAGGGAGCTGAGCTTTGGAATAAATGCCGTCATAAAGAAGAGCAGCAGGCGGCAGTCTGGAGGGGGAGAGCTGGATCTCCTCATACTGAAAAACACAAAGACACAGTCAACTACAAAAGACAATAAACTTCAGAAAACTACAAAAACAAACTACAGAATCTATGTAAACTACTTAGTACATCAGAAAAAGGGTGAAAAAAATGAGTCACTTACAGAGCAAATTAGTACGCTATGGAGGCCAAGAGTGAACGACAGAAAAACATACTTAAACTAAAGAGCATATGAGTTACCAAGACAGACCATGAGGAAACGACAGAGCACATAGTTGGACTACCAGGTATTTAAAAAAAAATAAACTACAGGCAACATTAAAGGGATATTCTGACGCAAAATTACTTTGGGGTCTAACACACCGTACAGCGGAGTTTCGCAGCTCAAGGAAGAACATATATAATCATTTCTTTATGGAAATACAATCAGACCGAGATGCTAAGGCAGAAGAACTACTGCGTCTGCAGAGAAAAATGATTAATATGATGATTATTACTTCAAGGAATTAATAAAGAAATGATCATAAATGTTCTTCCTTGAGCTGCGAAACTCCGCTGGAGTCTGTAATGGACTCGCAACAAACAAGCGGCTGCTAGAAGACGATGTTTGGTGTCTAGTACTATGTCTGTGACCCTATATGTCCTGTTGATGAAGTTAGGTGCTGTTCTGAGCATTATTTGTGGCTATAGAGTGGCGTTTTGGTTGAGGGGGTGGCTCTCTGTATTGCTATCCTGCGGTCATTACTAAAGTTGGTATAACTAGAGAAGCAAGCGGTCGACAACATTCATCTCTGGAGGGGGGGTCTAACTCGGTGTTATGGTGTGTTTGACCCTAAGTTAATTTTATGTCAGAATATCCCTTTAATAAACTACAGAGAACATGGTTCAAGGTGGGTTAAGAGTGCGTCTTATTTCTCCCATCACAAGGTTTTGTCTTTTTAATGCATAAACAAAGAGTTCGGTCTGGACCTGCTCTTCTGGAAAGCCTCTTGAGATAATGATTGTTGTGATTTGTTGCTATATGAATAAAAATTGATTGAACATGATAAAACTACAGAGATAATTAGTTCACTACAGCGCACACAACCGAACAAGAACACAAACAAGTGTCACATAGACAGATTATCCTGGGTACCTGAACTGTCTCCACATTCTCGGGGTTCTCAGGGGTCAAAGGCGAGGGGTTATCCACCTGTCTGCAACAGGTCTTCCTCTCCATACACAGAAGTGCAATAAGTATGACTGTAAACAAACACAGGTGAGTGACCTTCAAAATAAAAGACCCTCACATATATAATAACCTTAAAAACCATCCGGCAGAGTTCAGAATCATCTCTCACCTGTTGCCGCTGAGAGGATGATGTTCAGGGTGAAGGAGCTGTAAACCACCAGCTCCTTCTGACTCATTCTGTGGGTGTGTGGCTGAGTTGTGGTGGTGTTCGTGGATGGAGCTGATGTACTGACGGTTTGGGGGACATCTTCTGTCAAATTCAAAGAAATGGGGTTGAAACCGCTGTTAACATGACTACAGAGAACCTAAAAATGTCATATGGTGTCCTGTTTGAGCATTCTGTGTTACAGTTCGGCGTCTGTTCATTTCAGGTCCAGTTTTTTTTCACAAAGCTTTCCATTTATGTCCGGGGGACAAAGAGAGGACAAAGTGCTTTCTGAACGGGTTTCTGTCTTCAAAATGAGACTCTTACTTTGCAGATACAGGACTCAGGATAACTCATCTAATGTGACGTTAACAGCTAGCCATCTTAAAACCAAAATGAAGCAACACAGTTGGGCTGTAACAGAATAAAAGAGAAGTGAAACTGTTTTTACATCATGTCTGAATCTTTGAAACACGGTGAATAAATTCTCTTGAACTGATTCTCTTTTTGTTACAATTTTACTATAATAACAAAACAGCAAAGTGAAATAATGATTTAAATCTTGCAACATTACCACTTTGATCTTTAAATATAATGAATATAATCTTGTAACAAACTAACTTTAATCCTGTAACATAAAGACTTTAATCTTGTAACGTAAAGACTTTGATCTTGTAAGAAACTAACTTTAATCTTGTAACAAACTAACTTTAATCATGTAACATAAAGACTTTAATCTTGTAACATAAAGACTTTAATCCTGTAACATAAAGACTTTAATCTTGTAACATAAAGACTTTAATCTTTAATTTCTTTCTGTTACAGTTTTACTTTATTCTTGTATGTTTATCTTTTATCTTCATGATAACCTGTTACTCCATCATGTTAAACAAATTTGTTATGGGTTTATTAAAAACTTGAATTTAACCTTGGTTCTTTTCATCACCCCTGACTTTATGTTTAATTCTTAAATCAAAATCATATTTTTGTACCATATTCTCTCTCTGGATTCATAAAAATCTATATTAATAAAAAGATATTTTGGTTACCGTGGTTCTCGTGGTTTCCAGCATTAAAAGTTTTTACAGTAAAATTTTATTATTAGTCTTAAGTTCTTACCTGAATAGAGCAGGATAGTGTCCTCAAATAAAATGTTGTCGCTTTGCTTCTTGGCACAGTAATAATTTCTGAAGTCATAAGTCGTGATGTTTGTTATATTCAGCTTCTGTCCCTTCATGGCTCTGTATTTACTCAGAGTATCCACAAAGTACTGTGGCTGAGTGACATCCTTACTAAGAGTGCGGACGATACAGCTTCTTAAGCCGCTGTGGATATCCATGTACCAGTAAAAGTCATCTTCTGTCAAAGAGCAGTTCAAAATGACGCTCTGACCCAGCTCTGCCTTCACCTTTACCACAGCTTTACTCTCAGCCCCATCATAGACCAGAAACCCGAGGAGGATGATCCAGAGCAGATCCATGATCAGCTTCAGCTCAGAGAAAAGAAGAAAGCATCTGAAACTCCAATCTGAGACTGCTACCTCTTGCACGGCTGAATAAAAGCTTCTCACTTCCTCGTCTACCGTTTTCCTCTGTCGAATGAACCAACTGAAGACCAAACCACAAACATCGAGTCGGTCTGCTTCCTCAGACACTCAAAACCCTGACATGAGATTTCTTCACCTGCTGTCGTCACCTGCAGAGACCTATGAGATCTGGGTGACAGTGTGAAGATTCAGACTGAAGCTGAAATACAGCCAGACTGTGAGTCACATGAAGTCCAGCGCAACAACTCCTGGAACCTCTGAGATTATTTCAAGGCTTTTATTGTAAAGCTGCTGTTTATAGAGAGAGCTGAAAGACTGTTTGTCCGTTTACTATGAAGACATTTTACCCTGTATGACACTTTAATAGAGAGTCCATCACCTGAGATCCCCGGGTGAGAACCTCCTGGTTGTTCCAAAGTCAAAGCTTCAATATAAAGGAGACTGAGCCTCGGCTTTGAAACAACCAGCCTCACCCAGAGAGACGAGGTGTGAAGAATTTGTGCCGTCTTTTAAATCACTTTTTAAAACTCACTTTTAACACTTAGATATCCGCTGGATCGCAGGCAATCCCACGTGACACCATTAATATTGTTTACAGTTTCTCTGGAACTATACCGTGTATCTCTATGGGATAAAAAGTGTTCAAAAGCTTACCCTTTTAGCGATCTATCAAGGGTTTCCAGACATTTCTACACCTGCCACAAGGTTAACAATCCAGACACAAAAATAGATGTTTGATCAGAGACGTTTGATGGTAAATCCGCAGTGGTATACCAGAGAAAACATGATTATTTATCCGATTGTTGTGATAAAAAGAGATTGCTATTAATGCCGTTAATGTCTTCCGGGTTTGACGATCTGTTTTGAGGACCTCTTTTTCTGTCAAACTTTCGACCAATTACATGGTCGAAAGGTTGATTGGATTGGACTTTTTTCTCAGATACACGGTTAAAGACTTATTCCGCTGTTTTTGGTCCATTTTGGTCATTTGCATATGTCACGCCAAACTTATCTAGCTATCTCATTTTATTCTGACTGCCTTGTCCATCTAATTTCCTGACCATGCTCCGTGTATAACAGCTAATTTTACCAAAGTGACCATTTTGAATAAACTGGTGAGGCCTCAAGCTTTAGTGCAGCAACAGACGTAGAACATGTGACCAAAGAAGAAGAAGAAAAGGAAGGAGGAGAAAGGAGAATTTTAATACCAATAAATAACATCACAGCAACATAGCAGTCATATTACTACTGACACTGTCTGTAGTAGAGAGATGGTTGAAGTAACAACAGCAGGAGTCAGACTGAAAGTGGTTTTAGAAAATGGGTATTTACAACAGGGACTCAGTCAGAAGCAGCTACAGGAGCTTTAAGAGTTCAAAACTGAAAGTTTAAAACTCCTGTGAGGATTTTTTTGACATTTATGAAACAGACTGAAACTCATTATGATATTCAATTTTTTTAAAGATCATTTTGGGGGATTTTTTGCCTTTAGTGGATAGGACACAGTGCAAAGAGATAATTGTCAAAATTAGCAGGATGACATTTTTTCTACCTGAGCATGTTGAGGGCCAGATGAGCAAAAACGGCTTTGTCATTTCCTCACAGGAGCTTTAAATAAGCAGAGGTGACGATGAAATGATCCTCATGTTAGTGGATGTGGTATCAGTGTGGTTGAGTAGATTCAGTAGTCGTCAGTACTATCAGGCAGAACTGCTAAAGATACAATCGTTCTGTAAAAACTGAAACATTTGAATATTTGAAATGATCAGGTATTTAATGGAATTTATGTAAATGAACATAATGTCATGAGATGTCTCTACCTGCAGGTATAAAGTTGTAATAGCACAAAAAATCTCCAGTGTGAGCAAAGAACCTAAAGCCAACCTCAAAGATCTTTAAGCTTCATAAAGCAGCTCCATACACTAGTATATATACACTACAGGCCAAAGGTTTGGAAGCAAGATCAAATTTGTACAAAAAAAGATCATAATACTTTGCAACAAAAAAACCTAATAATTATCTCAAGAAAAACTCATCAGAAGACATTTTTACTATAATTATCATGTATTTGAGTTTTTCTTGCTTAGACTTTGCTTTCCTCAAAGTAACCTCCTCTGGCTTTAACAACAGCTTGGCATATTCCAGGCATTCATTCCACAAGTTTTTTAAGGTATGTTCCAGGGATTGCATTCCAAGCTTTCTGAAGTTCATCAATAAGAGACTGATTGATCGATCCAATTTATCCTGCACAAGCTCAATTGGAGAAAGGTCTGGAGACTGAGGGGGCCAAACCATCTTTTGAAGAACACCTTCCTCTTCTTTTTTGTCTAGGTAACCCTGACAGAGCTTGAAAAAATGCTTAGGATCATTACCTTGTTTAAAAACAAACTTTGGACCTACAGGTCTTAGTCCAGATGGAGCAGCATGGTGCTGGAGGATAGAGTGGTACTGTTCCTTCTTCATGATACCCTTTACTTCAAACAAATCTCCTACTCTATCACCTGCAAAACATCCCCATACGATGGAACTACCACCTCCATGCTGAATTGTGGGTGTAACACATGGTGCTTCGGCATGGTGGCTGTCTAACATGAGTCTGGTCCTGCTCAAGGTTTCTGCCTGTTGAAAGAAAGTTTTTTCTAACTCATGTTAGATGAGATGGGCCAAAACTCATCTTAGGTTGGTTCTTGATCACCAAACTATGAGTGTTGTCTAGACCTGCTCTTGATTTTTGAAAACTGTCTTGGGATGACGACTGTTGTGAATTGCGCTATATAAATAAAATTTAATTGATTGAATGATTGATCGTTCAAACTTGTTTTTGTCTGTCGAGAGAACTTGTTTCCAGTCATCATTAGTCCAATTTTTGTGAGCTTTTGCCCACTAATATCTTTTTTTCTTGTTCTGTGGACAAAGAAATGTTTTTATTTGCAGATACACAACCCTTCAGACGCGCCTTTCTCGAAAGTCTTTTCACGGTTGTCAGAGATATGGGTTTCGACCTTGTCATGTTGATTTCCTCCTGTATTTGTGGTGCTGTTTTTCGCCGATCTCTCTCACTGATGGCAATAATATGTTTATCCTCTGCTTTTGTAGTGACCCTCTTTCTTCCAGGCCTTTTCCTATCATCATAACTTCCAGTTTCTTCTAGTCTCTTCAGAGTGTAGTGAACTCCTTTGTTGGACACCTTTAGGCGTTTTGCAATTTCCCTTTCAGAGTATCCTTCTTTACTCAATGCACAAATCTGTACTCTTGTTTCTTTACTCAGTTGCTTCTTTCTCGCCATTTCTGTGATACTTTGTCAGAGTTTTGAACACGGGTGAGATTTATTGGGATTTTTGTATGCAGACACTCAAAAGCCAATAAGTAAAAGTGAATAATGCAAAGTGATTTGTTTTTTTACCTTTACACTGAATTTGTGACTCTTGCTAATCTTCTTGAACCTAAAACTAAGCCCTCCCTTTCTTTTGGTGGTCTGGTAACATCAATGTATACCTAAAGGTAAATTGAGGAAAATGGTGCATTTCAATGAAAGCAAAGTCTAGTCATGCAATAAATACATCCCAAAATTCATTTAACTTATCCTTTTTTTATTAAAGGAATTGTGAACAGAAACTTTCTAAATGTTTGGCCTATAGTGTAGCTACAGAAAAACCACCGCAAGTTGTTAAATTATGTTTTTAGCTTATCAAACATGAAATAATAATAAATAACACAAATAAAGATATTAGCTTTGCTCACTATGTTAAAGGTGCTGTGATGTGTCTCAGTCCAGTGTGAGAGCTCATCTGCAGATCAGAGACATACAGAGAAGGAGCACAGTCATGAGAGGGGTGGTGCATGTTACCACAGCGCCACCTGCTGACCGAGGAGAGGGAGTGGTAGCTCTCGAACGTTCGCCTGCAAAAAGAAACACAGAGCGTCGGCACCTGAGAGCTGAAACTCCTCCGACTGAGGCCTCACTCTATTGACAGCCCGTCCTCTTCCTGTGCAATGCATTGTGGGAGAAACTCTTTCAGTTTGAGTAAACGTTACTTTCCGGCGTGAACAAAGTGCAGACATAAACAGGAAAGGAGTCGGACTGCAGGGTGGAGCTGTTTCTGAGCCTGTAATGAGGTATTCACAGCTTTAATTCATGGATCTAAAACATAAAAAATGAACTTTTTCACGGACATAAAAACTTCAAACTCTTCAACTTTGTTCTTCCTCTCACTGAATCTCTTTACAGATCCTGATTCTGGCTGATTTAACATCTGAGGCGTCCATATAATCTGATGTTTTTCCTTTGCATTAGACTTTAAAGTGTTTGTAGAAATTCAGAGGTGAGGATTAGCAGCAACTGTGTCTCACTGACCTGACACCTTCAGGAATAGTCTCTGCACGAAGTCCACCTTTGGGATGTTACACTCATACGAGCTGTTGTCCGCCTCTGTCAAGTCCTTCAACAGGATGGAGAAGTTTCCCACCTGGAACTGCTCCTGGAAGCTGATGACCCGACCTTTGTATTTGGGGTTCTGGTTGCTGATGTCGGGATTTCTCCTCGTGATGTCCACCACGACGCTGTTGTTGTTGTCCCTCCAGAAGACAGAGGCGGTTTCAGGAAGAGGCTCAGCCCCACTGTAGATGCACGGCAGGAGGACAGAGCCTCCGGTCTGGGCACTTAAGATCCGCTGACAGCTCACTGAGAGACATCACAGACCAACATGACAGACACGAGCTCCAAAGAAAACAGAAAAGCTTTCTCTGTGTTTGTGAGTCGCAAAAGAGTAAGACCTGCAGGGAAATATCCAGTTCAAACTGGTTTTACTAACGCCAACCATAAACCAGGACTGCAGGTTTAACTAACGTACATGTGTCAAAATTCAAGATCTGCCCACAAATCCAACAAGTTCCCCTTTAAATAAATTGACATCATGAAACATCTAAACACAAAGACTGGTTATTTCAGCACTTTAACATCAAACTGTCTTTAAGAAAAGATGGAGCTATACATGTAGATCATGTCATCAAAGCCAATACAGTCTCTCATGATCGTGAAAACACCACATCCTAGAGTTCAACAGTTGATAGACTTTTATTCCCAGTATGATTATGAAAACATTATATAATAACCCTTAAAAGGGGCGTAAAATTAAGAACACACGTGTCGCGCTCAGCCAAAACGCCACTCTATAGCCACAAATAATCCTCAGAACAGCACCTAACTTCATCAACAGGACATATAGGGTCACAGACATAGTACTAGACACCAAACATCTTTTTAACTTTGACTGATTTCTTTAGCAAAGAGACTAAACACAACTCACCTACTCTCTCCCAGCAGCCGCTTGTTTGTAGCCAGACCTCGACCAGTCCATCATCATCGACGAAGGCGGGGCGCCGCAGCTCAAGGAAGAACATTTATGATCATTTCTTTATCATTTCCTTGAAGTATTATCATCATATTAATCATTTTTCACTGCAGACGCGGTAGTACTTCTGCCTTAGCGTCTTGGTCTGATTGTATTTCCATGAAGAAATGATCATAAATGTTCTTCCTTGAGCTGCGGCGCCCCGCCTTCATCGATGATGGACTGGTGGAGGTCTGGCTACAAACAAGCAGCTGCTGGAGGAGAGTAGGTGAGTCTTTGCTGAAGAAATGAGTCAAAGTTAAAAATATGTTTGGTGTCTAGTACTATGTCTGTGACCCTGTATGTCCTGTTGATGAAGTTAGGTGCTGTTCTGAGCATTATTTGTGGCTACAGAGTGGCGTTTAGGTTGACTGCTCTGTCTTGCTTCTGTACGGTTGTTACTAAAGTTGGTGTAACTAGAGAAGCAAGCTGTCGACAACATTAATCTCTGGAGGGGGTGTCTATCTCGGTGTTATGGTGTGTTAGATCCTAAATTAATTTTACCCTGGAAAGTCCCATGAACAGCTGAGCAAGGGCCTGGTCCCTCTCCTCAAAAAGCTTTCACTTTCAGTTTTTTGAAACGCAAATACTTCACCACAAGGTGACTTTTAAATCACTATGAGGCTTTTATGGATGGATAAAACATGTAAAAAAATATATTTATACATAAATACTCACCTCTGACTGTTGTGGGGACAAAGAGAAAGAAGAGCAGGAACACTGTGATCCTGAGAAACACAAACACACATCAGATTACAGATCACTCCATCTCCTCGTTTGTGACCCTCTTTATTAACTAAAGTTGGATATGTGAAGACTCTAACACCAGACTGACAAAGAGGCTCTTGTTTTAAAAAGAGTCAACATAAAGAGCCACCGCCATCAGATAAGAGCCAATGAACACAAGTCATCCTAAGTCAACATATGCTGTATCCACCTGCTCTTTAAATGAGGAAGCAGGCTAAATATGGTCACGAAGTATTGTTACTCAATACAGAACATCACAGCGCGCACAGGCGCAACTGTACCGTTATTTCCACCTGTAAATAAATAACGGTCCTTTTCAAATAACGGTCTTGAAACGTTACTTTTGCGTCAGTCTCGCGTCAGCTACAGGCTACATGCTACTGTACCGAGCTAGCTTGTCGTTAGCTCTGTTAGTCGATAAAGAATAAAGGAGCTGACCTCTCTAATCCAAACATTTCACCCTTGGCTTCAGTTCAGGTACAAAACAAAGAAGATATTACTCATTTGTGGAATCGAAGCATCGCAACTTGTTCGTCAGCGGACCGTCTGTAGTCTAACTGCCAAAATAAACAAAGATAATGAGTCGAAGTCACTGAGCCAAACCACTTACTGAGTCATAGGGGAGGGTCCAAACAAAATATATATTTTTTAATCTTCTCGTTTACCCTACATACACACTGAAGTAAAAATGGTCTTTTGCAGGTGTTTTTTTTGTTAATATGTCGGATATTTCGTACACTGTAAGCTAGAGGATCCCTGAAATTTCCATTTTTATCCATCTGTTTAACCCTCCTCCTGTGTCAGGGTCTGCACAGACCTGTTTTTGTTTTTTTAATGGTTAAAAGAAACACTTAAATTAGCTTTATCAAGACTTTGTTTCATTTCTCATTTTATCATGTATTTTCCTGCACAAAAAACAACAACAGGCACATAGGATCAATTCAGTTATAGATGTCTGTGTGAGGGGTATACTGACAAAGAAAGGCCACAACAGAAATATGATTAGCAATATTTTCATTGATAATGATGCCTTACAAGGTAACCTAGAGATGAGAACCAGTTTGGATGATAGAGAATAGTTTTTAGTGTAATTGACAGCTGAATTAAGACACGGGTCTAAACCAACCCTTAACATGGTGGTTGTGTAGTAAAAACTAACTCAGGAGGAAGGTCAAGTGACAAACTTCCATCGACTCCATCATTTAAAATTCTCCCAACCTGTGGTTTCTGAAAGTTAAAGGATTAAAATACTTTCCAGATTTAGATGTTTTGCAAAGTGGGTGTATGTTTTTGGGTCAATGACGTATAAGGTTTTTCAACATGCCAATTTTAAAATACCAAAAATAAGAATATCTTTCGCAACAGTTCAAACACTAAGGATGTTATGTATACAAAAACTAAAGTTTAATTTTTAAATTAGGCAATTTTAGTGTTTTTTCATATAGATGAATTGCCTGTGGCCTTAAAAAATGTCATGTGGTGCGACCATCATTTATCTCAAAATTATTACATTTTTTCAACATACTCTATAGTTTTTTACAAATTGTCAGTAATATCAAGTACATAGGAACAAAGCCTTTGCATTTTATTTGAGTTTTTGTAAATAATGATCTCATATATTCGCTCTATAATGTCACAGTCGCTATATCAAATGTAGTTCACTGATTTTTTTTTTCTTTAAATTGCATAATACTGATAAAAATGTTTTGAAACTACCTTTCATGTAAGCATATTGTATCAGGTTTTAATGTCTCAGTTACAGAAATGAGATATTTTAGTTTGTATTTGATATAATTAATGTTATTATTGGTCGCACCACATGATTGGTGGTCGCGCCAAATGACTTGAAGACCTTGTATCATTAAAAATCAATTTAAAGAGACCTATGAACAATTAATTTCATGCAAATTTTATTAACATTTCAAACATGAACGCGAACATTTTATTTCCCTTTTTTTTACAAAAATTTAACTCTGTGTGTGTTTGTGTATGTGATCCAGAGGCCTGCACTTTGAAGCTGGATTAACACACCCAGGATAACTCTGCCACAACTCGCTAAACTTCACCAGATCTCTGTAACCCCGATCAGCTGTACTACGAGGCAGGATATCAACTCACTAACTAAATTCAGTTGTGGTCAGTCTAGATCTGTGCGCGCACACGTAAAGGGGGCGGGGTCAGTGCCACCGGACCAATCTCCACAATGAAGAAGGCTGTACGTCATATTTCACAGCCGAGGAACAGAGCATCGTTTTACGCTAATACGAGGAGTACCGCAACGTTATAACATTGAGGAGCAGGACAGCTACAGCCGCTAAAAGCCGGAGGGACTGCTGGCCAAAAAAAATCATCGATTGTGTAAATTTCATTTGTGCGTTGATAAATTTATGGCCCCCTAATATGTTGTCATGCAGCGTGTGTGATCACCTCCATCATTGACCTCATTATTTCAGATACAACAGCAGTGGGGAAAAGAGTAGGTGGGAGCAAATAAAAATAAATCTAAAAACATCCGTCAAAGTGGTAAGCTGGTTTACTGGAAGATTTTATTTGTACATATTTCAACGCGTAAACAGTGATTTCCTCACACTGCCTTTTTTCTTTTTTCTCCATCATCTGATGGTCAAATGTCATCTGCAGACACATTTGGGGTTAAGAGGAGTTTTCTAATCTGCTTCAATAAATTCTGAATGATGACTGATATGCCGCATGAAACTTGAACTTGGAGCTTGGAAAATATTAGTGTATTGCTTCGACTTCATGTTACCTGACTATTGAGGCCGTCCGAGGAAAACCTGTAACGTTCATAGAGAATGTCATCAGGTAAATCAAACGGATTTGAACGATCATGAATATAATGCTCTCGGCGAAGCGCTCCTCTCACCATCCGCGCAACGATGTCAACAATCTTGGCCCAATCTTTGACCAGCCCTGGCATGAACAACATGCTGCAGGGTCAGAGGTCAGAGGGGTCAGGGTCAGAGTTGACACGCTGCCTATAGCGAGCGCTTTTAACTTTGCTCGGCAGTGGCATCTGGCAAAATAAATTAAAATGACTTAAATTGATACATGAAAGTTAATAAATTGCTAACAACAGCATAAATACCTTAAGTGAAATGGCATGCTTTTAATATATTTTTTTTATTTTGTACAGAGATGACCTAACCATTATTTCAGAAATGTTAGCAAAATGACTCATCAAATAACAAAAAAAATTCAAAATAATACTAAAAATGAAGTACTTAGTGTTTATCAATCATCAATTGAATATAAAAAGCGTAAATACTGCCAATCGAGGGCATATATTTATGATGGAAAACCATCTGCAGTGGTCGCACCACATGATAATTGGTCGCACCGCATGACATTTCAAATTCAGTCAAATCTTACTGATACAGGATTAGTCACATAAACAAACCTCACTAGCTTCCCACAAAAGGTCACTATGAAATTTATGATTAAAATACTTATTTGTGGAAATAACTTAAATTAATTGTTTTTTTTTGAGGTCATACCACATGACATCGAAAAGTGCAAACACCATTACAGCAGTTGAAAAGGTCTTTTTTGTTTAAAGAAACGAGAGAACCACCAACCCTCTTTCTGCTTCCATAGCTCTACGACAAAATGGTGAATGATCCAACATCCTGTCCTTGAGTAAATTTCAGCATAAAAGTGTCAAAAATGGTCATTTTTTGATGGTCGCACCACATGATATTTAATGAAATGGACACGATCAGACAAAATTCGTTTGAATATTATGAAAAAAATATAACTGCAAAAGCTTTGCAATTTTGTACAGGAATAAAAAACACTTTCAAAATTATGCCGAATATTGCAGAAACTAAATTGTAATAGATTTAGAGTCATTTCAAAGAAGTTTTCAAAACAGAAGTCATGGCCGGACGGTCGCACCACATGATATTTTGATAGATCGTATATTTTTTTACATTTAAAACTCTTTGTAACATAAAGAAAATACAGCCGGACAGAATATTGAGGCGTCACGTCATTGACCCTTTTATATTAAATGTTAGTGAAAGAGGGAGAGGTCACAGCTTTCATTTCCGCTTTCATTTCAACCACAACAGGAAAACCGCCAGTAGTGCTCATATGAATACAGAAGCTGCTGTTTTCAAATTGGCCTACTGCAGTGGTTCTCAACTGGTGGGTCTCAACCTAAAAGTGGGTCACAAACAGCTGGTCAAAAAAGTAAATATTTAACGCAATATTTATTAGATATTTGATATTTTTCTGTATGTGCAACTTCAGTAGTTATCATCCTCATGTTGTCCCCTTCATGTACTCTGAAATGTACTTTACTTTATAAAACAAGTGGATTTATGATAAAGATGAGTCTTTAAAGTTTATATATATATCGTAATTTCCAGTAATAATATCAGAGCAAAGTAACTAAATGAGTCTAATATATGTAAACTAAGAAACATCCATGAAATTATATATACGTCGGGATAATAAGTCAAAGATGAGGTGTATAACAATTTAAAGAAATCAAACTCACGTGGTAAGCACACAGTGAAAGTTACTGGAGGTGTTTCTTTGTCAGCCAGCTCTATTGTCTCCTGAGTTGTGAAAAGGCTTGCAGCAGGTGAGTTTGCTGCTTTTAATGACTCCTTGGCTCCCCCCATGCAGAGAGCCTGGAGCCAGGTAGGAGGGGGGATTTTCCACAAGTACTGTGTTTGATAGTAGTATACAGTATGACTGTAAGTTGACAGTTATTATGTCATATGCTTGGCCCAGTTTAGCTGGTTTCCTGTACAAAAAAGTAGATCGTACTCTGGTAAATTTCAACGACACTACAGAGTAGCCCGTTCATTTACGCACTGAAAAATGTGTTTTAATTAGATTTTTTAGCCTGATACCAGCCATCAAAATGTGTTCTGTCTATGCAACGACTCGTCAATCTGGCAGCATTTGATTATGTTGTCCTTGTTTCCTGCTTAAATGAAATAAGTTACAAATCTCGCTAAAGCAGACTGGTCCGCTGCATACTGTGAAATTTTCCCGAATCAGTACGTCATCCGGGTATTTTTGGCATACTGGAAATTTCACATTTGTTCCCCTCCTGCATACTGCATACTAAAGTTTGGGCAGTTCAGTATGTCCTGCTAGTATAGTAGGCGAATTGGAAACTGAAAGTAAGCAGCCGTTAAAACGGTGGTGTTATCAGTTTCCTGCTCAGTCAACAGAAGGGACTTTGAATGAATGTCTCTCCGTTTTGTTAAAGAAGCTTATCAGACCAAACTTTACTTCCTCTATAATTTGGAGAGTTTATTTCTAAGGAAACCATGACCCTGTCAAGTAAGGAGGCAAGTATGAACTTTTTAACAGCTCAACAGTGACACTCGAGTATTAGTTTGACATCTGATAAAGAAATCCACCAAAATACTCATGAAAACTTTTAATTCATAAGCAGCACATTAAATAGAAAAATGCATAGCTCTGTAGAAGTAACATTAATATTCTCCACGTACAGTTAAACTCACACACACACAAATTTACAGAAATGCTTCAGTTTTAACAGAAATGTCATCGACCATGACAGTGCTCATCAGACTTTAAATCAAACTTTAATCGGCTGCAAATGTTCAAGTCTTAGAGTTCGGATCCAAAGAAGAAAACTGAAGAAAGAAAACTGAATCCTCTTTTTAGTAAAATTCACAAAGTTTCTGTGGACGTTAAATTTATCAAGACAGACACATTTTTCTAGTTTTCATGTCAGTAAACTGAGTCTGTGGAGGCGACTGAACAAAATGAAAGGTGTGAACAGTGACGTGACAGGTATATATGAGTAATGAAAAAGAGCCTTAGCCTGCAGAATGATGCTGTTATAAATGATTGAAAACTCTGCTGATTATTTTAGCATTTTTAGCTGTGCTGAGAAGTGCAATTATGAGTATGAACATTAAAAAAATCAGTTTACAGAACAGATGAAAGCTGAAAATATGGATGTTTGGATGTCTGCTTCCTTTTCCTTTCTTAGCTGCAAACCGTTGAAGTGGTTTAAAATCATCTTTCTGAATCCACAGCGCTTTTATTTTGAAAATACCGGCCTTCAGTTTGTGCGTCTGCTCCCACACACAGACGAAACAGAGTCTCCCTGTGTGTGTGTTTGCATAGTTTAACATGTACAGTCTGAACAAAAGGACAAACACGGAGATAATCAGACAGAAACCATGAAAAAAAAAAGTGCAAACAGCCATGAAGTGAAACGACAAACAACCGCACAAACATCTGCTTCCTCCGTTTGTTTCAGTCACTTTGTGCTGAATAAAAATGCTCAAACTCAGCTGTTTCTGCAGGTTTAAGCTCATTAACTTCAAACTTAAACTTCGCTAAATACCAACTCTTAATTCAGGTTGTTTTTTGAGCGGTGTGTTCAGGGACGCTTGGACGTTCAAGTCTTGCTGACTGAGCTGTATTTTTATCCTCGAGCTGTAAACAGATGCTGCAGAATATTTGCTGACTTTTTGCTGCATCTAAGTGATCAAACTAATATCTTTATTTGATTGTTTTTCTGCATGAATTTCAGTGTTTGACATGTTTTTTTTTTTGCCTCAGTTATTATTTTTCAATAATAAATAAATAAATAAATAATAGTCCTGGATAGGCCTGTTGCGATAATCAATAAATTGCCTTATCGCTCGATAAATAAAAACGAGGTCGATAACTTTGCCAGCCTCGATAATTGACGTGCGTTTGTTTTCCTCCTCTCTCGCTACCAAACACGCTGGATGAGAGAAGAGGTCTCACTCTGCGCATTTTTCTCGGCACCTGGGGGCGTTGGCTGTACAGCGGAATGAACGGAGTTAGTGAACCCTCCTGTCAGTCATTCAGTGTCTTTGTTACGAGGGGGCGCGCGCGCGCAGGTACACGTAGGCGCGCACAGGCACACAGACACAGACTTTTGGATACAGTGCTGCAAGTGAGCGTCGTGAGTGAAAAGCAAGCTAACAGAATAAACACGACAGCTTTGGTGTCTAAACCGAACGCAACAGCCCAAGTGTGGGAATATTTCGGCTTTAAACCAGTTTTGTTTTCGTCAACCACAAAACTCCACGTGTGTGTGTGCGCGCGCGCGCGTGTGTCGGTGTGTTGGAGGAGCACAGCAGGATGATGAGAGCTGTCAGAGCGGACTGAAGCTGCTCCTGTATGTTAAGCGTTTAACTGACTGAGTTTTCCAACTGTGTTCGTCATTTTCGTCTCGTCCCATCAACGTAAACGCACTTTCGTCTCGTCACATTTTAGTCATCTCCGACTTATGTTTAGCTCGTCAACGTTACGTCTTCATCGTGGAAGAAAGGGAAATATTTTAGTCAACGAAAACAACCAGTGTTGTTCTCGTGTGGAAATTAAAGTTTATCACTTTTGACATGGTGTACTCGCATTATTATGCCATATAATATCATTATCTATAATTTAAAAAATGGTGTCAATAATATCGTTTATCGGCGATAATTTGTAGCACAATTATCGTCCAGCAAAATTTGTTATCGTGACAGGCCTAGTGCTGGACCTTAAAAAGATTTGAAATGATATTTTAGGATATTTACTGAAATTTAAGGAGAGCCTGTTCTGTTTTCTGCTACTGAAGCAGGGGGTAAATCTGTTATTGCCGTGTAGTTAATGAGCTTGAACATATGAACACCTGCACAGGTGCGTTTGATTTCTATAACTGGGCGTCCGTCCTCAGTTCCTGCAGCCGATCTCCTCCTTGTAGCGGGTTGTCAGCGTGTTGGCTTTGCGTGTCAGTTTGGACAGAACTGTGTGGAGTCCGTTCAGGTGGAAGTGAAACTGTTTCTCCAGGTCGTCTTCCTGCGACACCTCGGCCGCGCCCAATTTCTCCTTCCTGCGCTCGTCCGCCTGCAGGACGCCCCACTCGATGTCGTTGCGGATGGACTTGAGCAGCACATACGAGCTGTACATGTTGCCGTCCTGGGGGATGTAGGCGCCGCCGTTGGTGGCGGTCCTCTGCGTCTTCATGTCCTCGTTGTCGTCCAGCGGGACGTCCCGCAGCAGGCTCGGCACCATCACTGTCTGGTCCATGTTGTTGACGGCGCCGATGAAGCGGTTCATGGCGTTGAAGAGCGAGTTCTTCTGGTTGTAGGACTCAGCTATCTGCATCATGGCGAGCTGAAGTGAAGCGTCACTCGCAGTCTGAGGCCAAACTTAGTCCGTTAATGCTCTTTGGAGGATTACTGCGCAGCCTGATCAGCCGGGGTCAGGGCTTTACCTGTGAGCTGGGCCGGGTCCCATAGATGTGCACACTAACCTCCTCCTCATGGATCAATGAGTCAGGCTGATTCTGGCAGGACGTGTCCCTGCTGAGGATGGAGGCTGGACTCTGGTGAAGACCTCAAAGCAGAGCTGAAGGAAACAAAGAAAGGAAAGAAGGAGAGAGGAAATAAGGAGAGAAAGCAGGGAATAAGAGGAGAGAGGGAGGTGAAAATGAAATTAAATGTACACTCAACATCAATCAAACAGATGAAATATCCACTTCAATAGATAATAAGCAAAAAAATCTAGAATGTGTGTTGAAGGTGGTCTTAAAGAAATGAAAAAATTAGACACTAGTTTAATGTAAATAAATTAAAAAACAAAATTTATGCTGTTGGGTAACAAAGACAAAAACATTGATGTTTTAGTAAATATTGAAGGTATTAAAATTAATAGAGTGAATGAAATAAAATGTTCAGGTGTTCTTATTGATGAAAAATTGACAGGGAAAAATACAGGGAAATATGTTGGTCCGTGTATTATCCATCCATTCAATTATTCCATTCAATCTAGTAAAATAAAAAACAAGTCAATATTTTGTTTATTTGTTTTTCTACATAACCAACCATAACCGTATTTTCAGCTCAAAAGAGAATGTATAATAGAGATGGAAATAAAATAATAAATCTTATTTACGATTTTTGATTTTGAGTGCGTCTGTTTTGAGCGTACGTGCATGGAGGCTACATAGGCCTTCCCATGATCCTCAGCAACAGTTACCATGACGAAAGATGCGACGGAGCGGTTCGAGCGCCAAAATATTCCGTTGTAACAAAGCTCTGGTAAGATGCATCCATCTCCATGACAACAGGTTAGCCTTTCTCGACCGCTCTGGCCTGGAGACAATATTTTTTTTTTGTAGGATGACAGGGGAAGGTCCCACCCTCCTTCGCCTCTGATTGGCTAGAAGTGCTGGGCTACGATTGGTTGTTCAATATGGCTGTGAAACGTGATTGTCTGTCCGGTTAGGGTTTGGAGATTCAGAATTGCAATAATGTTCTGTAATGTTCTGTTCGATGTTCAGAGCCGACAGCCCACGTTTGGCTCGAGCGTGTGATGACGCTTCCAACTTTATTAGCCAATCAGGGGCGAAGGAGGCGGGACTTTCCCCTAACATCCTACAAAAAAGAAATATTGCGGCCTGGAGTTTTTGGTCCACGTTGTTGGCGACTTTGTTGCGCAATTTGTTGCGAACTGTAGAAAGGCACCGTGGGAAATGGGGACATCAATAACCCGAAAACGAAAAGTAGATTTATTATTTTGTTTCCGTTTCCATCTCTATTACATATGTTGAACTGAAAATACAAAAACAAACGCTAATCTTTTATTTTTTGGTTATATAGAAAACAAATAAACAAAATATTGACTCGTTTTTTAGTTTTTCATTTACTCGATTGAATGGACGGATAAAACAAGTTCATCTTAGTTTTGGTATGTTTGTTTAGTGGAAAAATGTGAATTAAAGTGGTCTTTTCTGTTTGTTTAGTGGAAAAATGTGAATTAAAGTGGTCTTTTCTGTTTGTTTTGTGGAAAAATGTGAATTTAGCGTGGTCTTTTCTGTTTGTTTTGTGTGGAAAAAGGTGAATTAATGTGGTCTTTTCTGCTTGTTTTGTAAAAATAAGAAATAATGAATTGTAAAAAGGCATGTTGGCCTGCAGCTCTTGTTTATTTTCATTATTATGTTGATTATTTTTTTAAGAAAGGGGGGCAGACTCTATAAGAGTTTTCTTCTTCCTGCTCCTTTTTATGAGATTTTTCCTTGTTTGCATTGAATGTTTTAATTATTAACTGAATGAAATAAAGTCTGAAAATGAAACGCAAACACAGGTGTCTGTTAGTCCTTACATAAAGCCTGCAGACCCTCCAGTCTGACCCAGTTTAATTCTCTTCTTAGCTCACTGGTTTTACTGGAGCAGATGATGAAACCAGGAAGTCTCCATCTGATGGTTCTGCTAACATCAGCAGACTAACAAACCTCGGCTAACCCTGTCCACAGAATAACGGTCCAATCAGCTGCATCACCGGGATAGAACCGGGTAACTATCTGTTTTTTTATTCCGTTAAACCTCAGATATTAGATTTTAATAAAGACAGAGTTAAATTCAGTTACTCCGGCGCTAGTTCAGGCTAACTTTAGCATGCTGACTGATAAACTACCGGGTTCTGATCTACAGATAATTCCGGGAACCGTTAGCACTCCTGATTCCGGTAAACTACCGGAAAAAACTCTTAGAAAAGAGAATTCTGGAATCTTTACCGTTTCCTGCGGCTGTCCCTCGGTGAGGTCGCTGTTCGGACCCGGTAATCTGTCCGGTATAGAGAGCTGTTCGGAGGCAGGAGCAGCCGGGTGTCGGGATGGAACGGGAGGGGCAAGCATAGACATATATTAGAAAGGCTAGATAACTCTATGAGGCGGAGTCAGCGGCGTCTGTGCGCGGCGGCCATCTTACTCCAGTACACCATTCTGGTAGGCTCAATGGTAGTTTATGGAGGTTGAGTAATCTGCATGATCAAAAAAACTCTTAACTCGCAAGGTTATAACTATAGTAGAAATATTACTTATATAACATACATGGAATGATTAAACGTTTTATGTATATATGATTTATTATAACTGCCTGCTTATAGCTATTGCGCTACCCATCTGGTTAATGTTTATTTATGATAATCCATGGTTAAAATTATTCTTGAGTATGCAGGAACATAACTTAAACTCAGAGGTTTGTTACAAACCAAATTATTTGAAAATCGGTTTAAATTAATCAATCTGTGGTTATTTAAATGCTCCATGCACCGTAGAGTGGAATGTTATGAGTAGGCGAGCGTCCGTAGCAAAATGGCCGCTATGCGTAAGCCATCTGGTGTGTGTATATATCTATGCCGGTAACAGCCAATCACAGGGCGCGACGTTCAGGGACCGTTAAGAAGCTCCTCAGTGAAAGTCCCGTCCGCTCCTCCTCCTCCTCGGTGGTGTCAGGTTACTCTCCTTCATAAACATGTTTACCTCTGAAACATGTTTTTTTCATGACACAACACAAATCATCTGTACAGTTAAAAAATGTCCAATGTGATTGTTAAAAGTTTTAAATGATTGGAGAAAAGACACTTTTAATCCCCTTCAAAATAAAAGCCTTTCTTTCCACAAATAAGACAAGGTACCTTTGTTATATTTTCACACTTAATTTGGTTGTGTCACATGTTAATGTCATGTTTTGCAGTGTTTTTTTCCCATTAAAGTTTCTCAAAGTCTATAAGATAAGTATAAAAAGTCACATAATCATTTTAAATCATCTTTGTTACTTTTTTTAAAAACAACAACCTAAAAAAACCAAATGCAGCTGTTTTATGCTGCATTACGTTTTCTTTCAGTCATCTCAAATCTCTCAAAGATTAGAAAAAAAAAAGAATACACAACGGAAGTTAACTATGCAAAAAAAAAAAAAAAAGGTGGCAATACAACAACAACAAAGAAAAGGCACAACCGCTCAACCGGTTTCTCGGCCTCCGTAAACCCAAATACAACTGACAAAAACTGTAAGTACGAAACCAACCAGTGCACAGGATCAGGTCAACTTTTAATTCCAACATGCAAGACAGAAACATCAACAAATAAGTGGTACAATGACATTATTCTGATTATATTTGTTATTTATCATGTACATTATATCGTTAAATTTGACCTGAGAGACAGAGAATGGACCGATTCGCTTCAACAAAGTGACAAAACAAAGAAAAAAAGAGGAATGTCGAAGGCTCTGCACATGAAAGTGTGTTCTTAGGTTTACGTCTGATGAGTTTCTGTCAAAGAAACAAACAGAGGACACAAAATGAGACCTGAGACTCACTGAGAAGATTGATTTAAGTGAAGAATACAATGTGTGTGTGTGTGTTACCTGTCACACCATCTCGTACTGGTTGGCGTTGATGAAGCGAGACAAACAGCAGGCCAGAGACATCCCGATCAGCTGAGACAGACAGTTTTTATTTAAAATATATCATTAGAGTTCCCTCCTGGTTCCAGTCAGGGTAAAAACCTCCTGGTCCTGCACTACAGCTCTAGTACTACTGCAGTATTGTGTACTCAGTAGTACTCAGCTTGTACCTGAGAGAAGGCGATGCCAAAGGTGACTCCAGCGATGATTCCCATGTTGCCCTCGATGAAAGATGTAACCAGCTCATAACAGCCCTGCAGACACAGCGTGGTCATCCATTTGATTTTAAATCTAGTTGTTAAAAAATTCACTTTTTTCATCATAAAGGTTTAAATTCTTCATTTTTGTGTTTTTTTTATTTATTTAAATCGGCTATTACACAAAGTCAAGATGAATTTTCAAACCTCGGTCATAAAAGCATCAAACTGTCTCCATTTGTGCTTTTGCAGTCACATGATGAAGCGTGTTTGTGTGTGTGTGTGTGTGTGTGTGTTTGTGTGTGTGTGTGTTTTCCCACCTGTTTGTAGACTTTGTGTGCGGCCAGAGTCGAATCCTTCAGGTCAGTTAAGCTGCAGTCGGAGAAGCTCACGCAGCAGCTGGAGGGAACCCCACTGACCGGAAAATACACACTGCTGAACCAGCTGGTGTAGTTATAGACCCCACAGCAGTGCAACTGAAAAACAAACACAGATGTGTGTGTGTGGGGTTTATTAACTAAACCTCAGGTAAGGAGGGATACAAGGAAACAAGGGGGAAGAGGGATACAAGGAAACAAGGGGAACAAGGAAACAAGGAAACAAGAGGAAGGAAAGGAGGGATATAAGGAAACAAGAGGAAGGAGGGATACAAGAAAACAAGAGGAAGGAGGGATACAGGGAAACAAGATAAAGAGGGGTTACAAGGAAACAAGGGTTACAAGGAAACAAGGGGTACAAGGAAACAAGAGGGAGGAAAGGAGGGATACAAGGAAACAAGAGGGAAAAAAGGAGGGATACAAGGAAAGCAGGCATACAAGGAAACAATAGGAAGGAGGGATATGAGGAAACAAGAGAAAGGAAAGGAGGGATGCAAGGAAACAAGAGGAAGGAAATGAGGGATGCAAGGAAACAAGGGGAAGGAGTGATACAAGGAAACTGGAGGAAGGAGGGATACAAGGAAACAAGGGGGAGGAAAGGAGGGATACAAGGATACAAGGGGAAGAAGGTGATACTAGGAAACAAGAGGAAGGAAAGGAGGGATTCGAGGGTAGGAAAGGAATAAAGGTAGTGAGGGACAGAGAGGAGACAGACGTAAAAAAAGGAGACTCAAAAAGAAACTGACTCTGCGCTGAACTCCGTCCACAGCGAGACTCCTGTCGTCTCGTCCATCGTACCTCATCACCGCGTCGCTGAACGTCGTGAGGAACGTCTCTTTAATCTGAGCTCAAACACAAAAACAAAGAACGCTGTTAAAGTCAAGAGCTGTGTTTGTGTTCGAGGTGTGTGTCTTTTTTAAAGAAGTGTAAAAACCTCGTGGCGAAAGACGAATCCAGAGATCCCAGCGATCAGTTCAGTCAGGAAGACCAGGGACAGAAACACGGCGTACTGAGGAGAGGTCAGAGGTCATGAGGAAACCTGTGACAAATAGTATCAATACTGAGAGTAGAAAAACATACGGTGGTCGAGAAACGCCACTGCTGCAAATAAAAAGATGCAAAAAAAAGAAATCACAACGGAAGTTACCGATGCAAAAAAAGAAACCGAAGCCCGCCGCAATCACCACTTCTTTTTTTTTTTGTATATGCAGCAGTGGCAGTTCTCGGCCACCATAAACACAAGATAATACAGACCAGTTTGAGCATCCAGGGGCGCCCCCTGCAGGTAGCGAAGCAGCCGTACAGCCCAAAGAGGATGATGGCGGCGCCAGTGCCGGTGAGGACGTATGGAGCGTTTGAGGGGCTGCTGGAGATCAGGAGCATGTAGGGACCCAACATAAACTTCCACCATAACCCCACTGACAGCAGCACCACACCTGACACCTGAGAGGGCGGGGCTACAAGTCAGATAGTCGGCCAATCAGGAAGCATTCCTAATATATAAAACGTTTATACTTTTCTGCTACATTTACCGCTCAGGGTTCATAAAAAAAGTTACGTTTAGGTCCTTAGAGGACAAAAATGTCCATCTCCTGAAAGTGCTAAAAAAATATTATACATGAATATTTCTTCCACTTTTTTTTTTTGCTTAAATCTTTTAATCATTTTCATTCCTGATCATATCTACCAAATATTGATTTATTTTCAGAATTTTAACCCTTTAAATGACAGTTTGACCATATGATGTTACTGTTATTTTTTTAATGGGAAAATATTGAATTTGGAGTTATTTTCAATGTTTGAGTTGATGGGCAGGAATTTCTTTTTTTTTATCAAGGTCTGTGATGTGTCAGTAATTAACAACATTAATTTTGCTGCATCATTATGATTGATTTATTGTACAATTTCTAAAAAAGTTCGGTTTATGTTCTTAGATGGCCGAAATGTCAAAATGTCAAAATGACAAAAATGTCCATCTCCTTACTTTTATTTTTAATGGAAAAAAAGGGAATTTGGAGATATTTTCTATATATTAGTTGCTGGGCAGGAATGTCTTTTTTTTATTTTTTTATTTTTTTATCAAGGTCTATGATGTGTCCTACGATGTGATAGACCTTGATAAAAAAAAATAACAGTGATATTATATAGTCAAACTCGCATTTAAAGGGTTAAAATTCTGAAATTAATTAATATTTGGTAGATCTGATCAGGACTGAATTTGATTAAAAGATTTAAGAAAAAAAAGTGGAAAAAATATTAATGTATGATATTTTTATCGTACTTTAGGATCTAAATGTAAATTGTCTGATATAATAATTGGTGGTCAAGTTTTAAATTTAGAAAGAAAAAAAAAGTGAAAAAAACCATCCCATTTGCATTAACACAGCTAAAATTATCAACAAATGAAAAGTAAAAAGTCATTAAAAATGTCCTGAGAGCTCCAGAGGGTTCAGAATAAAAACATCTGTTCAGACGTTCTTATTCTGCTCAAAACATGGAGGAAAATTAAACACTTCATACTGCTCTACATTTATGTAACAGCTCTTTACAAAATAAGTACGAAGTTTATCATCGAGCAGAACAGCGTGTGTGTGTGTGTGTGTGTGTGTGTGTGTGTGTGTGTTAGAGACTGAGCACCTCATGACTGTAATGAGCTCTGACATCAAAGTGTAAAACTGACAAACAGACGAGAAGAAGAGTCAGAGCGACGTCCTTACAACATTAAAACACACACACACACTAGCGCGCGCACACTCACACACACACACACACACACACACACACACACAAAGAAAGGTGTGTGCATAAAGAAAATAAAAACATTTGTGTTCACTTTCCAAACTCATGAGAACGATGAGAAGTTTGTTTATTTGATGTTGTATTCCTTCATGTCTGAGTCAGACGGCGTTTATGTTCCTGATCTTCATTATCGTCTGCGTGTCACAGCCTCCTCATTCCTCAGACCGCAGAGAATTACTGAACCTCAGCTGACCTTCGACCTCCGCACGTACCGCACGTTATACAACACGGCCAAATTAACACACATCATGATGAACTTTTAATCAAACCTCAAATGACGTTTAATGTACGCACTGATCTGCTTCGAGTTTCATCATTTCAAGAGTTTTTAAGGACGTTCTGGTGGTATATATTTATGTTCTCACCCAGAAGATGAAGGAGTAGAGCAGCAGCAGAGTCTTCAAACAGTAAATCATCGGTTTGGTTTCAAACCTCCTTGGAGCCATGATCCAACCCAAGACCAAACCCAGGAGTCTGCCTCTCTTCCTGTGTCCCTCAAGTCCCCCGTCTCTCCCCTCCTGTATCTCCCCCTCTGTCTCTCTGGAGTCCAGCACAGGTCTGGAAATATCTGTGAAATTAAAAATCAATATAAATATTTGTAAATAAACAAAAGGAGCCACAGAAAATGTCGAGGAATATGTCAAGAAAATGCAAAATATACTCAGACCAGGGGAACTGAAACTGGATTAAAAGTTAAATTAAAATGATTAAATATCATCCTCAAACTCTACAAAATTAACACAAAAGTGACACGAAAGAATAAAAAAATATATTTGACAAATTTAAAAAAATAAATGATTTGCTTTGTGGCTTGAAAATGTTGCTTTAAAGTCAAAGAAATATGGCACAATGTCTTAAAGTCATGACGCAAAGATTGGCAAATATTTCTGCGTAAATGAAGTTATATTTTTGTTATTAATAAAACTAACAACTATTTACAAATGAAGAAACGACGTCAGAGAGCTGCTAGATTCTGGATTTTGACCGTTATGATAAATTAATAATGTAAAAATAACTCACCGGTCTGTCTCAGCAGCAGCAGGATGATCGTAATCTGAGAATATTGACGTTAAAAACACACAGCATTTCTATAATTTCATATCTGCTGTTTGAGTCTCCGTACGTGTGCAGCACAGCCGTCCTCCGAGTGTGAATGAGCTGTGAGGAGGAGACGGTTCAGACATGTGACACCTCATTCCTCGCACGATCAGCTCACAATTAACACACAGGTGATCCTCAGGAGGGGGGGGGGGCGACCTGCTGTGACACCTCCCTGCCAACGTCCGACACAAACCTCCACCCGACAGCTTCAAGATTGTTCTCTGTATCTTTTCTGGGACGGAGGCGTGTCGATTACCACCTCTTACCAACACTCTTGAAACGTTTGTGAACGCAGGAAACCAGTTTCAGGAGTTTTTAGAGTGAATTGGTCTCATTCTTTGCCAAATTGAGCATCAGAGGTCGAAATAAAACAAGAGAAGGTCCTTCAAAAATGTGCCATGAAGTTTTAATCCGTTTACAACGGTCAATTATTCAATTTCACATGAAATACAAAACAGACGAAATCATCACAACTTCATTTAAAATGTGGTTCAACATCCTGGTTCATGTTAGTTTGTTTGAGGGGAAGAGGTTCAACATCAGGTGGTGTTAACGCCATCTCTGCTGATTTAAACCCGATTGATTACAAATATTTCAGGTTTTTAAAGGGATATTCTGGAGTAAAATTAATTTAGGGTCAAACACACAGTAACACCGAGTTAGACACCCCCTCCAGAGATGAATGTTGTCGACCGCTTGCTTCTCTAGTTATACCAACTTTAGTAACGACCACAGGATAGAAATACAGAGAGCCACGCGCTCAACCAAAACACCACTCTATAGCCACAAATAATGCTCAGAACAGCACCTAACTTCATCAACAGGACATATAGGGTCACAGCCATAGTACTAAACTTTGACTCATTTCTTTAGCAAAGAGACTAAACACAACTCACCTACTCTCTTCCAGCAGCCGCTTGTTTTATAGCGAGACCTCAGGCCAGTCCATTACAGACTACAGCGGGGTGACGCAGCTCAAGGAAGAACATCTAAACATTTGACCCAAGTCATACAATTTAAAGGCAGCTACCAAATACTAATGAAGTGTATGTAAACTTTTGCCTCATGAAAAAGTGATAAAACATTGTCTAAAAAATTCTCTCTCCCATTATTTTGGCATTTAGCAAATAAAAATAATTTTGGTCATCCTAATTGACCAAAAACAGGAAAAGTTTAATCTGATTTAATTTTAGATGGTGAGGAAAAAAAGGTTAGGTGCTTTTTTTATATAGTGTATGTAAACTTCAGGTTTCAAGTGTTTAGAGTCCCAGCCACCAAACATCTTTTTAACTTTGACTAATTTCTCACCTACTCTCTTCCAGCAGCCGCTTGTTTGTAGAAAGACCTCAGGCCAGTCCATTACGGACTACAGCGGGGTGCTGCAGCTCGAGGAAGAACATTTCTGATCATTTCTTCATGGAAATACAATCAGACCGAGACGCTAAGACAGAAGAACTACCGCGTCTGCAGTGAAAAATGATTAATATGGTAATTATTACTTCAAGGAAAAGATAAAGAAATCATCATAAATGTTCTTCCTTGAGCTGCGTCACCCCGCTGCAGTCGATGGACTCGCCCAGAGGTCTCACTACAAACAAGCAGCTGCTGGAATAGAGCAGGTGAGTTGTCTAACTTGGTGTTACGGTGTGTTTGACCCTTAATTAATTTTACTCCGGAATATCCCTTTAAAGAGTGAAAATGAAATCATCTTTTACTCCCTGAGAGCTTTAAGGGTAAAAACGTTGCAGATTGGTGTTTTAAAACAGCGTACATTTCATGTTTGTATTTACAGACTGTTCGGCCAGGATCTGGGGAGGGTCTTAGACCTGAACAGACCAGGGGGTGAAGGAGCCGGGCTCTGCAGGAGGACACTGCAACCGAAGAAGAAAACAGGATTTACGTCAAGAACTTCACTTTTTTACTTTCACGTCATAAGTCAGATTTTTAAAATGTCTCTGTACCAGTTTGGTGAACCGGTCGCTGCAGGCGTTGCGGATCCTCTCAGCAGAGGCGGGGCTATCTAACCTGAAGGGCCCACTTATCCCTGACTCCGCCCTGGCAGCACTGATGGCGTCTTTTATGGCGTAGAAAACCGACGCTGCCAGAAAGAGAGGAGGCTCGCCGACAGCCTGACGGAGAACCAATCGAGAACTTCAAAATCAGCCGTCTGTGTTCAAACCTGAGCGTTTTTTTGGAGATGTTTCCTCACCTTGGAGGCGAACACGGCCTTCTGGTTTGGAGCGTCACGCAGCAGTGACACCGTCAAATGGGTGGGGATGTCGCCAAACGCCGGGATCTTGTAGGAGCCGGGACCCCGTGTGAGGAGGACACCTTTCGGAGAGTAGTGGAGCTCCTCCAGTGTGAAGAGACCAAGACCTTGCATGAACGCCCCCTCCACCTGAAGAAAAAGAGGAGAGCACCATCTGAGGGGGGCGCAACAGAGTACACCACAAGTTTACAGCTTAGATCCTTTTAAAGATGTCCTCACCTGTCCGATGTCGATGGCCGGGTTCAGACTGTGACCAACATCCATCACTATAGTCGTACTCAGGTTCTATGAAAACAAGCAGACAGACAGTTAGCAGACAACCGTTACAGACCAAATAATTCAATGACCTCTCTCTTTTGTTTTGAGCTGATTTGATCCTGGTTGAGTTCTGACCTTATGTGCTCCAGTCAGACAGTCGATCTCCACCTCTGAACAGGCGACTCCGTAGCTGAAGTAGTTAAAGGCTCGGCCCGAGTTTGCTTCAAAGTCATAACCGAGATCTGGAGTCCTGACCAGAGAAGAACATTTTCAGAAAAATGTCCAACATTTTTACAGACAGAGATTCACTGAGAAGAAACAACAAACTCACTTATAAAAGCCGTTTGCACTAAGGTTGACTCTGTCGAAGTATGCTGCTGTCACCTAAAAAAAACACATACAGAGACAAACTGGATAAAAGTGTAAACATCCGCAAAACTCAACCACTGTACTATCTTTGTAATCCCCCGCTCACCCAGTCCTCCCATGATCCCTTGGGGTTCTTGTTCTTGTACGGTTGCAGACGTTCATTCAGGGTCTCACAGGCGTTCTGCACGGCGCCTCCGTTGAGGTCTGAGGAGGCAGAGGCAGCCGTGGGGCTGGTGTTGGGGACCGTGTTGGTGCTGGTCTCTGAGATGTGGATCTTTGAACAGGGGATTCCCAGAACTCTGCTCGCCACCTGGACACAGACGCACGCACAAGTTTTATATATGACAGAAAATAAAAGTAAAGTTTGGAAAAGTTCAGAAGATCTTATTTTTAGTTTGGGTACCTGGACCATCTTGGTGTGGAGTCCTTGTCCCATCTCTGTCCCCCCGTGAGTCAACAACACCGAGCCGTCAGTGTAGATGTGAACTAGAGCCCCGGCCTGCACACACACACACACACACAAACACTAACGCTGAAAACACCACAACAACCACTCAGCCTTCACAGTCTGATGACAGTGTCTGCCAGATCACACCTGGTTGAGGAAGACGGCGGTGAAGCTGATACCAAACATGGTGGGGATGATGGTGAGGCCCCGTTTGGTCCACCGGTTCTGGCTTTAGAAAACATAAAACAGAGTCGATTTCAACCCATCAGGTCGCCCCGGACTCAACAACACTCTGAAAGTTCGACCTGATGTGACCTGATTTTTACCTGTTGTAAATGTCGACAGCAGCTCGCCGTTCCTGGTATCCGGAGCGGGATAGGCATTCGTCCCAGCAGCGGTCCAGTGTGATCTGATCTAGGGTTTGGTTGTATGGCGTCAACTCACCTTCCACGAAAAGGTTCAACCTTCGTATCTGCAAGAGAACGCTCACTGATTGGACGCTGCTCGTTCACCTGTCCATCATGTCAGAGTCTACCTGTCCACCTGCGTACCTCTTCCGCGGGCCGGCCCAGACTCTGCGCCACGTCCGACATCCAGCTCTCACAGATCATCATGCCCTGAGGCCCCCCGAAGCCCCTGAACGCCGTGTTGGAGGGCACGTTGGTGCGGCACAGGAAGCCGCGGCCGCGCACGTTTGGTATGCTGTACGAGTTCACCATGTGGAACAGAGCGCGCTCCATGACCTCGATAATGAATCGGAGGTGACATCATCATCAATATCATCATCATCCTCATCATCGCCAAAAGTTCTCTGAAGAAAGTAGAAATACTCACGGACAGAGAGAGGTCCGTGGAGTTCCCAGTGTTACTGTAATACGACACATCCAGAGCGACGACCTTCCCGCTGTTCATGAAACCCACCTGAACAGGAAGAGGAGGAGTCAGAAAAACAGGTAAAACGCCCAGTAATTTTAGGCTCCAGCAGGGGGCGCCATCCCACCTTGTATTTCCCGTAGAAAGGGTGTCTCCCTCCTGTGATCAGCATGTCCTCGTCTCTGTCCAGCATGCACCTCACCGGCCTCTTCAACCTGTCACCATGACGACCACCAAGAAATTCAAATTAACCTCAAATTCAATTAACAATAGAAACAAAATGGCCGATAAACCTACTTATTTGCTGCCACGGCAACCACAGTAGACAACACAGTGGTACGGCTCTCCTTCCCCCCGAAGCCCCCGCCCATCCTCCTCACCCGTACCACCACCCTGTTGGCGGGGACGCCCAACGCCTTCGCCACCAGAGACTGACAAACACACAAAAAAGTTTGTTACTTACAAAAGTGATGTTTTTAAAGTCGAACAATTTTTTGACTTTTAACGCTGTTTTTTTGGAGACCTGTGTTTTCAGGTGTTGTTACCTGTTACCTGTGTTTCAGGTGTTGTTACCTGCGTTTTCAGGTCTTAGGTGTGGTCAAGGATGTGGTTCCCTGTGTTGTTTTTAGATTTTGTGAAGCAGTTTTAGGTGTTGTTTTCAGTTGTTGTTACGTGTTACCTGTGTTTCACGTGTTGTTTCCTTTGTTTTCAGGGTTGTTGTTACCTGTTACCTCCATTTTCAGGTTTCATTACCTGTGTTTTTAGGTGTTCTTTCCCGTGTTTACAGGTGTTGTTACCTCTTCCCCGTGTTCTCAGGTGTTGTTACCTGTGTTCTCAGGTGTTGCTTTAAGGTGTTCTCAGGTGTTGTTACCTGTTATCTGTGTTTTAAGGTTCTGTTACCTGTGTTTTCAGGTGTTGTTACCTGTGTTTTGGCGGCTGACTGAGTAGAAACAAAGAGCTCCATCTCTCCATCTTCTCCTTTGGGAACAGCCAATGTGACATTTGTTTCCAGGTAGAAATGTTCCTGACCTCCAATGTGCATCTCACCTGTCAGGTAACCAACCAATCATCAGAGATTATTTTGATGTTATAAATCACCTGTACACAAGAGGATGTCACAGACAGACAAAGTTGGTCCTACCCTCCAGTATGTGGTCTGCCTGTTCAAACCCCGCCTCCAGGTCTCCTTTCTGGAGGGTTCTGATTGGCTGGTAAAAGGACTTGGCTGCGATTGCTTCCTGTCATATAGATTAACAGAAATCGTTTTTACCTGAACTATTAGATTCCAGAACACTTTGTTAGCCAGCTGCTGACAGGTCACCATAAATATTAAATGTGGACTCAGGTGTGGTCCAGGTGTTGCTGGTCTCACCTGGATGGTGACGATCGGCTGCAGCTCTTCATACTGGACTTTCACAGCTTTAGCCGCCCTCTGAGCGTGGAGCTGAGTATCAGCCACCACTGCACCCATGATGTGGCCCACACAGGTCACCTGCAGAGAGAAGGAACACATCATGCACCTCGTCTCAACAGGACCACCTGATTGGTCGATTATTCAAACACAAACCTGGCGGTTAGCGATGACAGTCTCATCGTAAGCGATTGGTCCAGTTGCGTTACAACCGGGGATATCCTCAGCAAACACACAACAGACCACGCCGGGCATCCGCTCTGCTGCTGAGGCATCTACAGAGCTGAGACACACACCTGGTCAGTGAGGACAGGTGTGCACACGTGTGTGTGTGTTGTACAGGTAAGAGTGTGTGTCTTACAGGATGTTAGCGTGAGCCTTGGTGCTGGTGATGAGTGCCAGGTAAAGCTCGTTTTCATACAGAGGCACATCGTCACAGTAAACCGCCTCCCCTGTGGCCTGCTTTAAAGCTGACAGGTGCATCATGGGACGGCCCACTGAGTCGTCCTGGCTCCGCCCCTCTGGCACTGCCTACAAAGATTCAAAGTGGAACCATGAAAAGTTAAATAATTTCCCACCTGTGTTCGTTTTAACACTCAGATCCTGTGAAAGTGACAAACCTAGGTGTACCTGGTAGACCTGGACACTTGATGGAGTCTCTGGGTGAAAAATCTCTGCAGCGCTCAGACAGTCAGAGGGAACCTCCTCCACAGCCACGCCCTGAAAACAGGCAGCATCACGACATCATGACCACGAAACGCTAACACCGACACAAAACGACTGTTGTCTAAGAGCATAGAGACCTGCGCTCGGAGCTTCTGCAGCACCGTCAGGTAGAACTTGTAGAAAAGACTGAGGGTCAAAGTTCGCCGGTATGTCACCATGCCGCCTGGCACTGAAGGGTCAAGGATCATCTCCTGAGCCAATAAGGAACAAGCGTCCTGCAGAAGCTCCTCCCCCCAGCGTCTGATGGCATAAAAAAGAGTCAGTTTGTTTGTTCTCATCAGGCTTTTATTTTGAAATATAATCCTCGTTTGTTACTTTTTCAGAAGTCTGTTTGCAGTCTTCTTCGCTAGCACCGTGGTCGCCGCCATGCCGCCATAGCTTAGCTTCAAGTCCTCGACGACATCAGTCCCTGGAGTGAAGGTGACGTTCATCGCCGCCGTGACGATGCTGATGTCATCCTCCCGACGAGGTGATTGTTTGAAGGCGGAGACGAACTGAGACTGAACACAGAAACGGAAAACAACAACGTCAGAGTCTGGATGGTGATGGAAAACAGACACTGACAGTTGTTGCAAGGTAACAGCGGGTTGTTGCTAGGTAACAGATAGTCATTACATGGTAAGGTTTTGCAAGGTGACCAGCATGTTGCTAGGTAACAATATGGAGATCCTTGTTACATGCATTGGTTGTTGGGTATAAGATTGTGGTTGCAAGATTTACAGTCAGTGCTTGCTAGGTAATGGTGTATTGTTGCTGAGTTATAAGTGGTTGCTAGGTAACAGTCAGTGTTTTCTTAGTAACACTTTGTTTTTCTGACTTGGTAACTGAAACGCTTGTAACTCGGATGTGACGTAACTCGGACTTCTGACTTCCGAGGTAACTCGAACGCTGCATTAGTGTTAGCATGGTTATCATAAGTTGTGACTGGGTTACGGTCTGATATTGCTGTGTAACAGTCAGATGTTGCTAGGTAACAGACAGTTGTGGTATCCAACCTTCTTGCTGTAGGGGAGCTCAATGGACAGCAGGATCTCTTGTGGTCGCAGAATTGTCTTCCTGTATCCCGTGAAGAACCCGTCGTCCATATGAACCACACGGCTGCCATCTGTAAGAGTCAAGGGTCAAAGGTCAGCAGAGAGGTCAAGATTTAATTACCTGAGCACCTGGTGTGTTTACAAACAAATAACAATCAACAACATGACTCTGGATATCATTGATCACTTTGATTAAATCAGTTTATAATTGAAGGTTAATGCGACCAGCGAAGCCAAATTACTGCGATCTGAACACAACTTTAATTTGACACATCTATTCATTTCACAGTGTCACGTTCTACAAGCTTCTTTAACTGTGATAAAAACACTTTTATGAGCACAGATTAAGACCCAGGGGTCTGAAACTTTCAAGACTTTGGACTTCAGAGGACCTGAACACCTACAGACAGGAATCCAGTAAACACACCACAAAAAAAAAGAGTTCTCACATTTATATTCATGTTCATATCAACGTTGGTGTCATGACAACTCTTTAAAACTTCACACCGTAAAATGATTTCAAAATAAAACCAAAATAAGGAGATCAGTGAGGTCAAAGATGTCCGCCAAAGGAAACGTGGATATGTTTACGATTTTAGTTTTATCTCTGAACTCTGACCTCAGTCAATACATACAGTCTGCCGTAACAGATATGTGTGTGTGTGTGTGTGTGTGTGTGTGTGTGTGTGTGTGTGTGAGTATAGGTGTGTGTTTTACCCTTGTCCATCAGAGTCAGTTTGCAGCCTGCAGCCATAAAAACAGGGTTGAGGTCTGATATGGGGCTGGCTGTCATGATGTTTCCTCCGACAGCCTGAAAACATCAAAACATGATTGTTGTTTAACATATTAAAACAAATTTAGTAAAATATGTGACAATTTATCGTTATCAAACTCTTTTTAAAGCACGGTAAGATGTTTTGAGGTGTTTTTAATTTACTCTGGGCAGACCTGAACCTGATTTGTGTCCCATTTAGATCAGGGCTTTTGTAATCTCACATCTTAAAAAATGAGGAATTGCACCTTTTAGTCTGCTGCTTTGCACAATACGCAACTTACGGCTACATTACGAATCTGCAGTCCAGCAAACCAGCGCAGCTGCTCAAGGACGGCGAGGAAGACTTCTGTCTGATGAGGAGGAAGAGTCTGCACAGCCTGCTTCAGCACCGCCCCCATGTGGCTGAGGGTGCACGCTGCACCAAAAACTATACCTGTGAACAGAGAAGTAAACACCTAATAATTTAAATGTAATGACGTAATTATGATTCGTAGATCCAGAGGAAGAAAAAGGAGGATTTTTAAAAGAAAACCTCCCGGCTGAGGTTTGTTTATCTGAAGAAGTTTGGTAATAACGGCGCACTCACCGTCTTCGGTTTGAGTCACTTTGTTCAGTTCAGGGATGAACGCCGGAGCCAAAATAACCGGGTACACCATGTTCTTAAACTTCACTTCGATCCCTAAAAAAACACAAACACAGAGAGTGAATGAGTGAAAGAAATCATGTCTCAATAAACAAATAACAGAACAAATATAAATGTGTGTTTGTGACGGCACACTCACCCACTTCAGTGTTTCCCACCACCACTCTGGCATCGGGATGCTCCGACTTCAGACGCAGGAACTCGTCCAGACTGTTCGGCTGTAGCCACACCGCTCTCTCACCGTGGAAACGCAGTGAAGCTGACCTTTGACCTTTGGTTAGAGACTTCATGGAAGCAAGAGGAGAGGACAGAAAATGCTGGTTTGACAGAGATCACTGTGTAACTCGACAACTGATGATTCACGGACAAGTTTTGGGTTTTCTCTTGTTCTAAAACAAGTTAATAAACTCAAATTCAACAAAGGACCAGGTAAAGGTCTGTCATTAGGAAACAGAATATTCACACTGAATCAACCTTAGTTAATGTGAGTTAATGTGTAAAGTCTGTCGTTGTTCCAAATATGTTCAGCTGTATGCCGATGATGTCCCTATTCATATCAGAAATTAATCGTTTCATATGAATCGTTGTGGGTAAAAAAAAAAGTATCTGTGTGTGTGTGTGTGTGTGTGTGTGTGTGTGTGTGTGTGTGTGTGTGTGTGTGTGTGTGTGTGTGTGTGTGTGTTGTGTGATGTTTACCATGAGTTCAGGGGGGAAGATGACTTCCTGTGTGGGGTCAAGGGGGGCGAAGTCTGCTGGATTAAAAAGAGACGTGGCTTCCTGCAAGTGACGCACAGTCTACAGTCAGAAACATTCAAAAGGTCAGTTATGCCCCCTCTCTCCGGCTCCTTATCGTCCCTCTGACTCCTCTGCAGAGGCTTCACATGATTCACAGATTAAAATGATTTATTTCAAACAGGCTTCTCAGGAGACCCTCATCGCAGCCCCTGTCGAAATATTTCACATCAGCTACGGTCAAAGCATCCTTTAAAAGTCCCCTTGAACCTCTTATTCTAGAATTCTGTACTGTTCCAGGAAGAACGTTCAAGAACCTTGCATTCCGTAACCCAAAATTCAGGGATCCAGCATTCTGAAAGACACTCTTTGGATCCTGGGACACTGCATTCTAGAACCGAGCACACTGGAACCTGGCACTTTGGAATATAGCATTCTAGAACCCCACACTCTCGAGCATCACATTCCGGAACCCAGCACTCTTGAATACAGCATTCTAGAACCCCACGATCCGGGACATCATATTCCGCAACCCAGGACTCCTAAATATAGTGTTCTAGAACCCCATGATCCAGGACATCACATTCCGGAACCCAGCACTCCTGACTACAGCATTCTAGAACCCCACGATCTGGGACATCATATTCCGCAACCCGGCACTCCTAAATATAGCATTCTAGAACCACACACATCAGAACATCTCTTTCCAGAACCCATTACTTCTAAATATAGTGTTCTAGAACCCCATGATCCAGGACATCACATTCCGCAACCCAGCACTCCTCAACATAGCATTATAGAAGCCCACACCCCAGAATACCACGTTCACCTCTCCACTTGTAAATTTACCCACATCTATTTTGGACATCCAATATTTTAACTGAATATTTACCTGTAAAATATTGTATTAAATTATATTCTAAAACGTGTAAAAACAGGTCAGAACAGGAAGTTGGACTCACATCATCATCTTTGTTTGAGCTCTCCTCGACTCCGTTCCCGTTGGTCATACAGCAGCCATTCTCCCGCCCCCGGCCTCCACAGCATCCACCCTCCTGAAGGAAACACTCATCAGGTTTTTCCCTAACCTTTCTATCTCAAAGGACATTTCTGTACAAGAGAAACTGTCTGAGTCTCACCACAGTGAAAGTCTTGTATCCCTCCAGTATAGGTCTGTATCCGGTGCAGCGACACAGATTTCCTAAAGAAAAAGAAAGTGTGTTCAGGACACATCTAGGTGGTGTTTAAAAAGTGTATTATAAAAACCACAGATCCATAACTATGCCCATAATCTCCATCAGTACCATGAAAGGCCTCCTCCACATCTGCCATTTTGGGTTTAGGATTGTTCCTCAGCAGGGCGTACATGGACATGACAATCCCCGGAGTACAGAAACCACACTGAGAGCCGTGAGCCTTCGCTATTCGCTCCTGTAGATACAAACACAAGCATTAATTGATGTTTATCAACCACAGCATAAAACCCTAACGCTGCGACTCGTCTGATTTTGTGTTTTTAAAAGTGCTCTGCTTAAACTTTGGGTGAACATGATTTACACAATCAACAATTTTATAGTTATTCAAAGAGTTCAATGTTTAGTTATACCTGTACAGGGTGAAGTTTTCTCGCCACACTGCCGATGCCCTCCACAGTCGTCACGGCAACCAAGTGTAGTGAACAGAGGGGGGCGAGACAGGCGTTTACAGCGTAATGACTGGATGGGAGTTAAAGGCCTTCTGAGTAAGTGTGATTATCAGCTGTGTGTCAGTGCGGGAGGCTTGAGATGTCAGATAGGAGTGCGTGACCTCGGCTTTATCATCATTACATAAACACACACATATACACACAGAGTGTACACATAAAGAGACTCGCACACTAACACATGCTTCAAGGATACAGCAGCTGGTTGGTGTGTGTTTGGTATCTGGACAGCATGACGGTACACGCTCCACAGCCACCCTCTGCACAGCCCAGCTTGGTGCCTGTTAAACCCACTGAACACACACACACACACACACACACACACACACACACACACACACACACACACACACACACACACACACACACACACACAAATGTACGTATTGTAAAATCGCAGGATCATTGACAGAAATCTTCATGTTTCACGCTCAGTTTAACACTTTATCAGTTGTTCTTCGGTCTTGTGTTAAACTCCGTCACATTTAGTCTCAGCTGATCAGCCAGGGGCATTTTTTTTTTTTACGGATTTCTTTAACTGGATTAGAGTTTGAATCCTCAAGGTGTCCTTAGAAAGCCTGGATAAATCCTCGTTGGAGTTCCAGTGGAGCTTCAAGGAAGCTCCTTCAAGACTATTTGAAGTTTCAGGGATTCTCAAGGAAGTTTCAAGGGTCCACAGAGTGATTTTAAGGGTTCAGAATTTTAACCCTTTAAATGCCAGTTTGATTACATGATGTCACTGTTATTTTTAATGGGAAAAACAGGAATTTGGAGTTATTTTCCATTTATTAGATGCTGGACAGGAATTTCTTTTTTTTTTTTTAAATCAAGGTCTATCACATCATAGGACACATCATAAACCGACCCAGCATCTTATATATGGAAATTAACTCCAAATTCCTTTTTTTCCCATTAAAACTAACAGTAACATCATGTAGTCAAACTGGCATTTAAAAGGTTAAAATTCTGAAAAAAATTGATATTTGATAGATATGATCAAGAATGAAGTTGATTAAAATATTTAAGCAAAAGAAAAGTGGAAAAAATATTAAAGTATAATATTTTCATGGCACTTTTAGGACATTTTTGTCCTCTAAGGATCTGACCCTCACTGACCTCACAGTCGCTCATCCCGCTGCGTCTAAAAACACCAATAAGCCAAACCTCATTTCATGAAAGACTTATTTAAGAACTTTAACCATCCGGTTTAAACTTGCCAGAACTGAGCAGGAGCCAAGAGATTTCACCCCTTTCAAAATAAAGACTGATTTATTGCTGAATTTGTTCTTCCATAATCTGATATCTGATTTCTGCTCTATTTGTTGTGCCAGAGCATATATACAAATTCAATGTGGAAAATTGGACATTTAACAAAGAGAAAATATCACAATGTGTTCTGTTGAGGGAGGGTTTTATAGTCACACATTCTTAAAAGAGTGTGTGTGTGTGTTTTCTGTGAGTGCGTGCGCCCCTACGTTTCCTCCTCAGATAAGTCAGCAGGGTCATCTCAGGATCTGCATTTCTCTCCACGATCTGCAGCACAAAGGACAAAGGAAACAGAAATAATCATGCAAACTGGTGTTTAAATGTGAAGAGTGAAACAAGGAACAAAAATCTCTGAAGATAAGGTTTTATTCATCATAAGACGCAAATTAGAGAATAACCATTATTGGTCAGTGTATCGAGTATTCACTGGTGTTTCCTTTTTTTTAATCAGCAGCTTCCAGTAGTTTTTTTCTGCATGTGTGTTTACAGTCAATTATTGACAAAAATCGGACCACAGGTCAAAACGCTCTGTTAAATCTGTCTCTTTTCTAAGCTATATGAACCCGTGAAAAGTCACATTTTAACCCGTGTAAATCTATCCCATTATATGATTTTAAACTGTCTTTAATGAGCGGCAGATTTACAATTCACAAATACTTCTGAGTTTGGAGTTATTTCTAAACAGGAGCTGAGCGAAGGTTACAGAACTACAGACAAACACAGAGAGATTATATAAGAGCTGGAACAAAAATAAACACCAAAGTTTCAAAGTGACTCCTGCGTTTCACTTAAGCTATAATAATTTAACAGCTCTTGACTGTGCCCAAGCCTGAAGAAGACCCAGAGAGGTTGAAACGTCACATGTGGGCATATCTTTCATACTTTTCCTTTTCTTACTTCCTTTTAAAATTCCTTTTATTTAGTTTTTTTTACTTTATTTCATTTTCATTTCAGAAAAAACACAAAAAAAATAAAAAAATACAGAAAAATTAATTTAATTTGTTATTTTTCACATACTTCCTTTGTTTTAAATACACTAACAAATAAATAAATACATAAATACATTTATTAATAAAAGCTATACATTAATAAATATGAATAAATAATTAAAAAGGTTAAAAAATCATTGATGGTTTTGTGTCTTTTGGACACGCGTTTCTGAGTGTCGCTTGTATTAAATAACAAAGAGTATGATCTAATAATGTTTTAGTTTATCTTGAGACAACATTGAGTGGGAACTGGCGCTATCTAAATAAAACTGATTGGTTTAACATGTCTGATACAGCCTCTCTGGTTTGTGGTGTGCCTCAGGGTTCCATGCTAGGTCCTCTTTTATTTTCTCTATAAACTGTTTTTCTTGTTTTTTAAGCCTCCTGTCAGTCTGAAAAATAACATGATAATGAATTTATTTGTATAGGTCTTATCAAAACTACCACGCACTGGTTCTGGTCCTTTTTTGCTGCATTGACCCTGAGATAAATATTTTCAATGTATCAAAGAAGAATAGAAACAATTTGATGGTAAAATTAATATTTTTCTGGTCTGTGCAGAAAATTTATAGTATTACTGTTGCTATTGATACAGTATTTATCGAATTAGATGTGCATTTAACCACAGTATGCATGAACAGTCAGAGCAGGACTCAAGGCAGATAAGTAAACAAAATATATGCATCTAACTTCAGCGAGCGCACAGCAGCCATGACTGAAGCACAAACACTGGATTCAATTTTATATGTATTCCTTATATTTTTATGCTTTGTGTCAGTGTTTCCACCTGGATTCAGTTAGAAATAACTCTCATAAAGATTTCAATATATCCTGTGTGTATTTTGAGATCTTGTCTTTTTCTGCTCCTGCACATCTGAGTTGCCCGTAAAGTGACTAAATCCACATTTTTGTTCCGCATTCTCATGTTTCCCATAGATCATCACATGTTCACTTTTCCATACTCACTCTCTGTTGCACTCTGCTGTAAAGTAAGTTATTTCACTGCTTTAAAAAAGTCTCTTTCTCCTGAATTTTCACTCCTAAAAATATTTGGGGAAGTTGCAGATGGTTATCAAAGTTCAAGTAGGAGAAAACCATATGACTGAATGAATCACACAAAACCAAAATGAGATGTTGTAATTTATGGAAAAATTGCTGTCAGGTATAAATAACAGAAGCTTGACACACTGTAGATAAATGTAAATATTCATTATCTGTATTTAGGCGCTCTGACAGCTTGATATCAGTGAAGCATCAGGGTCACGTTCAGAACTCCGTCTAAATTTTATCTAATTTAACGAGAATATAAATTATTTTTACCTTCTTTCCATTAACAAAGAAGATGAGCTCGTCAGATCCGGACCCGGACCCGGTCTCGCCTTCGGCCTTGGTTCCATTCACGTCCCTCATCTCTTCGGTCCTCTGAGCCCTCTGCTCGGTGTCTGTCCGTGATGAACCGGTGTGTCTCCGCTCCGGAGGTGGACTCTGAGCAGGGAGGTGTGTCCTTCATGGACCTGTAGAAACAAACTGCTCCTCCTCCCCTCATAACACCAAAATCAAACAATGTCACCTGAGCCGATTCCGAGGGTCCCTTTGGTTGCTCTTAAATCACACAGAAGTTTCCCATAATTGTTTAATTTAAATCGCTAAAATCGATATTAATTCACTCTTCTCAGATTTTTCTATGGGGTCTGGTGAGCTACTTTCTCCCTCTCTTTTCAGGGACAGCAACTGTTTTTGTAAGAACTGTACGAAGGACTGACCTGCAGTACCCGACGTAACCTTTGACCCCAGATATAACGCAGTGTTTACGCCCCTTGTTGAGCCAATTATTCACAGCTCTGCTCATACCTAAGAGTCAAGGGTCACCTGGCAAAGTCACGATAAAGGTTTTATTTAAAATGTCACTTTAGCGAAACAGAAAAGAAAAGAAAAAAGGTTTTATGAAATAAAAGATGATTTTAGTAAGATAAATAACTAAAAATGGAAGCTCGTGTTACAATAATAATGAACTGGCCTACCAAATAAAACAAACAAAAATGAAGACAGATTTTTTTTTTTTTTTTTTGCCAATTTAATATTTAGATGGCAAGTATTTTGTATGTATGTATTTATGTATGTATGTATACATGAGCACATATATATGTGTATATATAGTACTTTCAGGATATGTAGATACTTTACATGACTGCCGACTCAGGAGCTGTCTGTTATTGTTTATGGATTGTTGTATTGTGTATTTGTATGCATTCTCTTTGTTTATTTTTTGTGTTTATGTATTGTTTATGTTTATGTATGTATTGTTTGTATTTTATGTATTATATATATATATATATATATATATATTTTTTTTTTTTTTTTTTTTTTTTACATGGAGAGGATTATACATATCAGATATTTGCATTGATTTATTGTGAGTTGGTTTAAGGACCCCAGGAAGAATAGCTGAGGCTCGGCTAAGGCTAATAGGGATCCCAAATAAATCAAATCAAAATTAAAAACTAAAAAACATGTTCTGATCACTTTTTTTCCCGCTTAAAGCTCCTGTGAGTAACTTCTGTGTTGATTTTGGCTCCCCCTGTGGACAAATTGGTGTATTATTAAAAAAAAAATACTCTACCCTATAATAATGGTCAAATTTTTTAATTATCAAAAATGCACAATAAAAAAACATACAGAAAAAAACATGTGTAAAGTTCATACTGTATGACTGTTACATATGCCCCCAACATTCTTAGACTACAAAACTAACAGTTTAAAATGATGAATTTTGATCCTGATGGTTTTTTTTTGCTTGATGGGTCATTTATTAATTTCAGTGTGTTTCATAATCAGCGAATATTTCTTCACAAGAGCTTTTAAAGAGAAATACTCTAAATGAACTAAATTTACTGGTCAAATATTACTGAAAATCTAAATGGCAGTAATTACTTGAAAAGTAATTGATGTATAACACAATGAATAGCTGTTAAATGAATATCGTATGATGAAATTAATACAATACAAACAGTTTTTATGTGGTTTCACAGTGAATCAGACACACATTAACAGGATTAGCATGCGTTAATTCTGAATATGCTGACAGGAAAAACAGAATTTACTTTATCTCATAAAGACACATGAAGTTTCGATGGGTCACTCTGTGTGTGTGTGTGTGTGTGTGTGTGTGTGTGTGTGTGTGTGTGTGTGTGTGTGTGTGTGTGTGTGTATGTGTATTTTCTCTCTCCGTCATGAGAGTCGGTCACTCTTCCTTCATGTGATTTCGCTCTCAGCTCAGAATCGGTTCGACTCGGATAATAAAGACTGATCCGGTGTACTCGCCGTCCCCTCAGTCACAACTCTAAAAGTCTAAAGTCCAAGTCGGTGGGTCAACGGGGTCGAGTCAGGTCTGAAAGTAACATGACAGAGGAAGTTTAGAAAATAATTTCAGGCATTTTAAAGAGCTCAAACTTTGTGATAAACTGTGTCAGTCAGTCTGTTAACTTGTGACCGTTTCCGGATCTGATCGTCTGAGGTCGAGGTTTGGCTCAACGCTACACAATGAAAAAAGCAGTCAAATTATTAAATAGTAATTAAAAATAATATTAAGTCACTGTTAGTAAAATAAAACAAATTAAAGTTACGATTTTAAATTTCATGATCATTTCTTTATCTTTTCCTTGGAGTAATAATCATCATATTAATCATTTTGAGCTGGAGACGCGGTAGTTCTTCTGTCTTTGCGTCTCGGTCTGATTGTATTTCCATGAAGAAATGATCATAAATGTTCTTCCTTGAGCTGCGGCACCCCACAGGGGACCCTATAGCATTATTTGTGGCTATAGAGTGGCGTTTTGGTTGAGGTTTGTTTCTGGCTCCTCAGACCGCTGTGTATTGCTATCCTGCGGTCGTTACTAAAGTTGGTATAACTAGAGAAGTAAGCGGTCGGCAACATTCATCCCTCGACGGGGTGTCTAACTCGGTGATACAGTGTGTTTGACCCTAACTTAATTTCACGCCGGAATATCCCTTTAAGGAAACATAAGTGAAAATCATGGACAAACCTTAAAATACCTCAGAGGGTAACAATAACCCTCCAATCTGGGCCCTGATTAAGGAGAGTCAACAGGCTGGATACTCTGGTTCACACAGGGGAGGGAGATCACGGCAGACTTCCTAGAAATAAATAATAATAATTCTATTAGTGATAAGCCTACGATCTCATGAAGAACATCAGGATTTGTAGTCTACAAGACACACAACAGTCAGGGTGAATCAAAGCTCTTCCTTACCTGCACACACAGCAACCAGGATCAACTCATCCTACCTACAGAGGGCAGTGTTTTTCACTTTTGTTTCAGCCCTCACATTAATTATATCCAAACATATCTGAGAATCGTTAATTAATGTGCAGTTTTAAAACTCAGTTTCAGAGCGAAGATCATCCTTTACAAACACACGGATAACTTCGATTTAATAAACAGACAGAAGCTTGTTTATTTCTTTAGTTATTTTAATTCTCACCTTCTCATTAAAACAGACATGGTGTGCATAAAATTCGTAATTTTCTGTACCATTGAAGTCGTAGTAGGTACACAAAGAGCTGCAACAAAAAGACATCTGGTTTAAAACACAGAAATGTGGATAAATTTGAGGATTGTTCACCTTCTGTGGTTCAGTTTTTATGTTTTTAAGGATTTTTAGGAGCTTTTAGGCTGTATGTCTGTTTCTACTATCATAAGATTTTCCATTTTTAACTGTTAACCTTTTTTTTCCAGGTTTCTGTCACATCAGGATAAACTAAAGTGTGAGAAAGTAACAAGTGTTAACAGCTGCCGCCAGAGTTATCAGCCTCAGTGATTATTAACCAACAAGATGAAATCTCTCACACTCACTAAAAGGGGTTTTACTGCTGCCGTCATCACTGGAGGTTTTATTCAAGACAATAATTTAACATTTATTATAAAGTATTTGAGATGATTGTGAGAAAATATCCTTGGACAGGCAGCTTGTGTCCAACATGACGGATTTATTTAGAGATTAATCTCCTTAAACCTCCACGCTCGATGGCAAAACACAAAAAATTCAGTTTGTCTTCATGATATTGAACGTTTTTCTAAATCCAGAGGTCGTGAACCAAAATCTACAGCCGGTCGTGTGTAAAAAATGTGCAAAAAGAGAAAATCTCACAGAAAAAAACTGCAGTTCAACTTAAATCCATCAGAGTCTGTTAAATGAAACAGCGCCCCCTCTGTCCAGTTCACGACGAATAATCAACTTTATTGTTCTCAAAGTGTATCTGATCATGAGGTTTGAAGGTTTTGTGTGTTGAAGTTCAGCGCCATGTCAAAGTTCAGCGCCAACGTGACGCTCCACGTAGAAACGCCGAAAAAAAACTGGACGCTATCTCCTACGACGCCTCCACCAGGTGAAAGCCTCCGTTCTCCTCCATCAGTTTTTCCCTCTTCCTGGCCTGAACCAGACTGTAGACCACGGCTCCCAGCGTGTTCCTGTTCATGCAGAAGCCCCGCCCTGCGCCGCGCTCCAAGAAACTGGACCGCTCCTCACGGCTGCTCACGAAAAACGTACGCACCTAGACGATAAAATGTTACGATGAGACTTTGGAGACATTTTCGTGACTGTATTGATAACTTTTATACTTGTTCACCTTCCCGTGTCGCTCGCTGATGCCTTTAATGTGAATGTTCCCTCTCAGCTGCCGTAGAAAACCCCGCTCTATCAGGATAAGGCTGGTGGACTCTGGGACCTGACATGAGAGAAGGGGAGGTGGTTATTAATGTGATTATATACACAAAGACACGCCCCCTCAGACAGGTGACCTCACCTGGATCCTCCCGTAGACGCCTGTGCTCTCCATCCTGCTCGCCATGTTCACCGTCAGACCCCAGATGTCGTACTGAGGCTTGGTGGCTCCGATCACGCCTGCGATCACCGGGCCGTGAGCGATGCCTGCGGGTGATTTTAACAAATCATGATGCTAAAAAAACACACGATCCAAGAACGCCCAGAAACTGTTCCTGTGGTCCTACAAATCAAGAAGGGGCTTTATCCATTGTTCAGTTTATGGTTCTGAAAATGTATGTAAATTAGTGCATATTTAATTAGATATGACCTCATTTACACGCCATCGTGAAAATGACACCCTTCCAACGGTCAAACTTTGGTAAACTTTTAGCATGTTATTAAGGACATCTAATACTATAAAAAAACAGTTGGGAGACCTTTTGTTAGATTTTTTTTAGCAGCAGTGATGTTGTTGCTTTTGTTGATGTACGCACCGATTCGTAGCAGGAAGTTGTTTCCTGTGTGCGTGTTAAAGTGTTTGAGTGTTTCCTGCATGGCCAGAGCAAACAGGACCAGCTCGCTCAGGTGATGCCAAACGTCCTCGTACCCCTGAACAAAACACAAACACAGAGAGAGAGAAGGATCATGGTCCTGCTTTGTTATGAACGTCTTCTTTACAATCTGATATCACGTCAGAACTCACCTGTCCGTTTGGTGAGAGACCTGAAGCTGCCATGTAAGAACTACCGATGGTTTTGATTTTCTCCACCTCTTGAAAGAAACACTCGTCCAGCAGCTACAAACACAAAATCAGATTATCAATGATTGTGTAAGTGATGCTGCAGAAATGCACATGTTTTTTGTGTTAATGCGTATGTGTTACACCTCGTCAAAGTCGCTGATGATGTGGTTGAGGAGGCGGAGACACTCGATTCGCTGATGGACTTGTTCCTTCTGCTCAAAGAAGTCGGAGAAGCCGGGCAGAGAGGCGAAAAGGACGCCCACCCGCTCATAAGACTGAGAGTACAGCTCCTGAAGACACAAACACACAGTTTACACACACACACACAAACACACGCACACACACACACTCTGATATATACACCTGGTGACAGGTAGCAGGTACCTCGTCGCTGCGGTCCCTCTCCAGGAAGTGCTGCGCGACATGCGAGGGTAGGATGTTGAGCAGCAGACACTCGTTGTGCTCCCTCAGCTCCCTCATGTCCTCCACTTCCTTCCTCGCCTGCAGCCGCCACAGGAAGTCCAGTCGCGCCGTGGCCTCCAGCTACCAAAGAAGAAGAAGAACGCGGGATAAAATCCAGTTTAACCTGAAAGAACCGCCGAGGTGTCGGAAACTTTCAAGGTGAACTCACCTGTCTGCTGTTGTAGAGGACAACCACCACAAACATCACCATGAGGACGACGCAAACGCCATTTCTGCACAGGTGATGAGACCTGAGAGACATCACGCCATCCATTTATAGAAAGAAATACGAGTTATTCTCTTATGCATTTATAAACGAGCTGATATTAGCCGGTCAGAACTCGATCGCTAGAGTAATGCTAATGATAAATCTGGTAGCTTGTTGCTCAAAGTTACCATGTAATCAGAACAATTAGGTCGTAAAATGCTAAATATTGACTAAGGTAGGAGCCAGTTAGCATGAAACTGCATTAGCACTCCAATAGATATGTTAGCTGAGAGACGCTTTCCGCTAGGAGCTAGCCATGTCAATGTTATTCATTGTAAAAAATTCTAACGTATGTGGCTAAGGTGCGTTTGAGTTACCTCGGAAGTCAGAGGTCGGAGCTGAAAATGACGTCACACCCGAGTTACCGGCATCTCAGTTACAAAACAAAATCGGAGGCGGAGACATGATGGCTAGATGGCTACAAAGTTATTTTAGCGCTTGCCTTGTCCAAATATAAGGCAAGCGCTTAAATAACTTTTGTTGATCTAGTCATCTTGTTTTCGCCTCTGATTTTCTCAGGTGTGACGCATTTTCAGCTCGGACTTCTGACTTCCTAAGAAACTCGAACGCAGCACAAGTTGCTTGCATATGACTGGTTAGCACTAGCATAGTTCTTTGAAGTCACCTGTGTGTCTCTATGAGGTAGGTGTAGAGGGCGGCAGCCAGCAGGAGCACGGCTAGCTTAAGCACGCAACTTAACCTGAGGAACACTGCGCAGCTAACCATGGCGACAACGCCGCTCAGCACCATGTACTGCACACACAGAGAGAGAGAGGATTGTTGTATTAGTTTAATAAGTTTGATTAACATTAACGCTACATTCGTGCCAACGCTTACCTCTGGATGTGTGCAGATGTTGATTTTGGGCCATGCGGAAGGGGGCGGAGCCAACAAGGAGTCGCTGCTGTTGATGTGAGAATCTGAGGAATCGCACCACAGCTAGCAGAAGGGAAGGAAATGAGGAGGGAAGCAGAGAAGGAAAGGAGAAAGAGGACGATCAGACAGCGACAAAACGGTCTGAGGGGCGACTTCAGGACCAGTTTTACCCCCAATTTCCACCGCAACCAGAACGGCTACGAAAAGGCCACATCCGCCGTAACCGTTCAAGTTAATGTGTCAATTTCCACCATCTTCTTCAACGGGTGGAGACGAACAAGTGAAAGGTTTTTAGACATCATTTCACCCCGATGACACCGTGATGAGGAGATGCTGATTCTAGAAGTCTAGAAGTAGATTTCAAATCCGGTAGGAATCGGCGTACAGCGAAAACTGCAGCCGTTCTGGATGCGGTGGAAATCCTGGGTTAGAGTTTAAGACCCACCACGTCAGAGGACGCAACTCCAAAGTTGATAGCGATGGCGATGAGCGTCAGCAACGTGCGAACAAACTTTGTTTCATGAACCCAGCAGCAGAGAGACTGTAAGGGGGCGGGGCAATGCTTAAACTCCTCCCCCAGAGTCAGCAACAGGAGCAGGAGGTAGGCGCTGCTGCAGAAGACGAACTGAGCAACCATCAACAGCAACCTGAGCAACACAACAGAGAAAGGACAGGTGTGTTTAATGACCATATATGGAAAAAGAGAGAAAAAAAATGTCAGGTAAACAGACAGGTGTACCTGGGGGCGGGGATAAGCGCCTGCACCGCCATCAGCATCATCAGCAGGATGAAGGAACACACCATGTTGGACTTGAAGAGCTCGTCTCTCATCTGGGAGTACTAAAGGACAGAAAATAGTCACATGACCGCTCTTTACATCTGACCCTAAGCCCCGCCCCTTGACAGGAAGCGAAGTAATCACCTTGCCCTCCATTTGGGAGTCCTTGAACACCTGAGTGAAAGTGGTGATGTGCTCCTTCCTCATCCTCTCGCTGCTCCGCACCTCGATGGCCTGACAGATCCTTTTGTTGACCTCTCGTGACCCCGAGCGCTGCGCTGCGATGTGATTGGGCAGCTGGGTTAGAGAGCCGTTTGTGAAGGTAGCAAGGATCTGCAGAGAGCCATAAGGGACAAAAAGGATTAAAAATCAGATCAGTCCTCTATTACAGCTCTGAGCCGTCTTTGAACGCATCCTCACAAAGTTCATCCCCAGTATGTCTCCGAACGGCAGCTCGGCGCTCCACGTCGTCATCTCATCGTAACTTGGGCGCCTGGCTCTTGGCGGTTCCGCCTCTTCTCGCAGGGCAGGGCGGATCAGGTACGTGTCGATGTTGTGTTTCCGTAGAAACTCATTTCGCTCCTGGCCGTTCCCAGCCTCAGTTTCGTAGATCCCACCGAGACAGTCCAGAGTGGCCCGAGAGATGTGGATCCTCCTGAGAGACGACGGCGTAGATACAAATTAAACGTGCTGTCAGGTACAAATTAAAAACCTGAACATTCAAGGTGAGAAAAGTTCCGAATTTCTGCAGCCCTCTCTTCATTTTGACTACAGGGTCTAATTTTTTTATTGCACAACATTAATTTTAATGTTTTTAATGTTTTAATTTTCTCACCCCGGCACTCCTGCGGCCTCCAGACTGTTGGCGATGTCGACGTCCCAGCTCCAGATGTCAAACTGCCACTTCTGCAGGCCCAGAACTCCACACAGAACCGAACCGGAGTGAACCCCGATCCTCATGTCCACCTCCTGCTGCATCTCCCGACGCACATACCTGCACACAAACACACTGTGAAGCCTCGTGCGATCGCCACGTTTGTGCGTCTTTGAGTGTGCGTTGGTACCGTATGGTGTTGATCATACTGAGGCCCATCTCCACGCAGCAGCGGGCGTGGCCCCTCTGAGGCTCGGGGACCCCGGACACACAGTAGTAACAGTCCCCCAGGATCTTAATACGCAGACACTGGTGCTCCTACACACACAAACACACACAAACACACCGTCATTATAACAATCACACAATGAAACGTCAAATAAAAGATGGAGCAGCGATGGTGGTGTGACCTCAGCTAGCCTATCGAAGCGTCCGAAGAGCTCGTTTAGAGTTTTAACGAGCTCCTGAGCCGACAGGATCAGAGACAGGGAGGTGAAGCCGATGATGTCCGCAAACAAAATACTGTAAAAAAAAAAACAAAATTGTGGAAAGTAATTTTATACATCTACTCTACAGCATTTAAGTTTAACTGACATTTACTGTCCACGGGGGGCGCCAAAGCTCACACCTGTGGTCGCCTACCTGACGTCTTTGTAGTGGTGGATGTAGATTTTGTGGAACTGTGGAGGCAGCAGGTAGTCATCCATGGACGCCATGTCAGCCGTCATCTCCAGAACCAGAAACCGAGGTAGGATGGACATGACCAGACGCTCCTGGACCACACAGAGGCAGAGTGACATCATCAGCACACCTGGACTCACCTGGTTTGGATCGTCTTAGTCTTAAAACCTCTGATACCTGTCTGCGGTTCTCCCTCTCCAGTCTTACTCGCCCTTCTATGCAGCGTCTGGTCTCTAAGAAGGACTGTCTCATAGTTCGGTCAGACAGGTAGTGGATGAACAGACCTGCTGTGTTCATGGCCAGGTACAGCAAGGTTTTGGACAACACCTGGACAGGTAAAAAAAAACAACAAAGACATGCAGTTTAAAAAGCTGAAAGTACCAGGAAAGCTGAAAAATATCCAGAAAGGTAAGAGTCCAACCTTTGTGATGAAGGCCTGGTCACCATAGCGACAGCAGACATCCAGCAGCAGGTGCAGGGTGGATGTTGTTGCCCCGGCGATGATAGACCAGAGGAGGGGGAGAGGCAACAAGGTGTAGGTGGAGAAGAGACAGAAGAAGACGTACCAGGAGTGGTCGCTCTCCGCCCAGCTGAACACGCCCACCAACACCTGTACGGTCTGAGAGAACCAGCTGACCACGGACAGGTACCTGAGACAAGAAGACAGGTATACACACTCTTGAGACAGGCAGACCGGCATACACACACTGAACACAAGAAAACAGGTATACACAGAAATGAGACAGGCAGACAGGTCAACACACCTGAGACAGGAAGACGGATATACACACACTTGAGATGGGAAGACAGATATATGCACACTGAAGACAAGAAGATAGGTATACACACACCTGAGACAGCCACAAAGGTATACACACACTTGAGACAGGCAGACAGGTATACATTCACTTAAGACAAGAAGACAGGTATACGCACACTTAAGACAGACACACAGGCATACACACATCTGAGACATGAAGACAGGTATATACACGCTTGAGACAAGAAAACAGGTTCACACAGAAATGAGACAAGCAGATAGGTTAACACACCTTAGACAGCCACAAAGGTATACACACACGTGAGACAGGCAGACAGGTAAATACACTTGAGACAAGAAGACAGGTATACACACACTTAAGACAAGTAGACAGGTATAGACACACCTGAGACAGCCACACAGGTATACACATACTTTAGACAAGAAGACAGGTATACACACACTTAAGACAAGTAGACAGGTATAGACACACCTGAGACAGCCACACAGGTATACACACACCTCAGATAGACAGACAACAGAAACAGGAACCCCACTGACACATCAGACAGTCTTCATCAGTCACTCTGTTTCCCAGCGTACCTCAGCCACTGTGATGACATCACTTCCTTTCTGGTCAGTGCCAGTACACAGATACCTGCCCACAGGATGACTGACAGCACAGCCAGCCAATCACAAGCCACACCCCACCATCCAGACGGCCAGGTGAGTATGAGGATGGACAGCCGGGTCAGAATGTCGATGACGTTTGTCACAACGAGGGAAGTTCTCCTCTGACCCGAAGAAAACTGCTGATACACCTTCTCCAGGTCCTGAGACCTGATCGAGAAAAAACCCGGACAGCTGACAGAAACCTGCTGTTTATGTCACACATAAACATCTGTAAGTGTGTCTGCGCTTGTGTGTCTTTACTTGAACGTGTGCTGCAGAGTCGGAATGAAGACGCCTCGCACCGTCGACCCGCGAGACACAAAGAAGTCGGCATCAGTGAGCGAGTCTTGTGCGAGACTTGTTGGCACAGAGATTTTTGGTGTTGTCGGATGGACACGAGCAGCTGACGAGCGCCGTTTCTGCCAGAAGGCACCGCGAGATGCCTTGTAACGAATCTGCCTGCAAGACGAGAGCTCTGATGTGACAACAGCCGTTAAGTTAATGAGGACGACCTTGACCTACACCTATTGATGATGTCACAGTTGGTACCTGTTGATGTCAGCGATATAGGCGTCGGTCACAGTGATGCGGTGCCTCCCCCTCTCGAGCCCCCCGGCGAGCCTCAGCGAGTAAAGGTTGTGCTGGTCGATGATGTTCCTGACGGCGGTTTGCCACAGCAGCTGCTTCCTCCTCAGGTTGGGGGCGGGGCTTATGGTAGCACTGATGCTGATGTCCGTTTTTGGCCGTGCCGCCTCACAGTCGCCGTTCTCCTTCACGGCGCAGTTTTCATTGTCCATGGTTACGAGAGCAGTGACCTGATCGGAGGAGGAACACGCAAAGAAAATGACATTTGAGTTTAGATGTTCGAGTTTCAAATATTGATGTTTGTTGGTTGTTAAAAGTCTACATTTGATTGAAATTAGAGTAAAGGCGAGAAATCAAAGGTTAAAAAAAATGTGCTTGATTCAAGTTTGATGCAGCTGGAAAAAGGTCTGAGAACAAGATAAAAACACTAAATCTGAAGGAAAAGGGACTAAAAACAAGTCAAATTATCCGTCCATGGAGCAGGATTTCTTCACTTGACAAGATTTCTGAAATTAAGATTATTAAATCTAGAAATAAGCATGTCTACAAATATATTTGAAAGGCTCAGAGTAAGACAAAAAAGCTGATTTTAAGATCAGATTACTTAAAATTTAACTTTTACAGCCCCAGAAATAAGTGAAGTTAAAAATAAGTTAAATTCACTAAATATAAGCATTAAATTTTTTCTTTTTTATCTAGGTCTATGATGTATCAATAATTGACAATAACATCAATTCTGATGCATCATTATGTTTGATTTATTCTGCGATTTCTAAAAAAGTTACATTTAGGTCCTTAGAGGACGAAAATGTCCATCTCCTAAAAGTGCTATAAAAATATACATGCATATTTTTTTCCACTTTTTTTTGCTTAAATCTTTTAATCAACTTCAGTCCTGATCATATCTATCAAATATTGATTTATCTTCAGAATTTTAACCCTTTAAATTCCAGTTTGATTACATGATGTCACTGTTATTTTTAATGGGAAAAAAAGGAATTTGGAGGGGAAAAAAAACGGAAAAAAAAAATCATCCCATTTTCAATAACGCAGCCAAAATGATCAACAAATGAAAAGTAAAAAGTCACACAGAAATGGACAAAAATGTCCTAAGAGCCCCGGAAGGTTAAACATTTTTTTTGTCTCGGTAAGAACAAAATAATTTAGAGTGCACAGAGAGGCTGAGTCTGTTGGAAGTAAATCTGGGAAGATTCACCACTTTGTGAGAAACTGCGTTAAAATCAGACATGACTCTGCAGTTGAAGTCACTGCATCAGATCTTACTCTATTGTCTATGAACACAGGTAATCCAGGTGGACTCCTTTAACCCTCTCTACAATCAGCTCACGGATCATGGTTGTTATCTCAGAGGCTCAGTAAATTCTCCGATCGGAGGTCGTTTGGATGATTTTGCTGGACTCTGGTCCTGCTGCACACTCAACTGATCTGATTGTCTCTTTGCCAAAATGCTTACGGGCTGAACACCTGGCGTTGGCCCGGATCAGAGGCAGGTTTCAGGGTTAATCCAATCAGGTTACAGCATGGTGGCCTGCTGCTTCCTCTCTGACACCTGACCGAACAGGAAGTCTATCTGACGGTAAAATGACAGGACAAGAAAAGAAACGTCTTCGTCTTCACACTGGAGACGTAAAGAGTCAAACTGTCACCCCTGACATGAGAGCATAATAAACCAGGTGTGTGTTTGAGCGTACCTGCAGAAGAGAAGCAGAAGAAGAAGACGCAGTCTCATCCCTCCATCGCTCCTCACAGGAAACCTCTTTATTTGTCCTTTTTCTCTTCCCGTCCACTTCTCATCGTCCACTTCTCACCATTCTGCAGTTTTTCATCTTTTTTCCTTTGAATCTCCGTTTCCTCGGCTTGCCTTTCTTGTGTTTCCAACCTTTATCTCCATTTCTCCCCAAACTCGAGCTTCAAGTTTTCAGTTTGAGTCTCACTTCCTGCGTCCACGTCAAGTTGAAACAGCTTAGATCTTCAAAATAAACTTCCAAATGTTATCATTTGTGCACATGTACACCCTTTACATCCATCCCCGGCTGAGTTTGAGCCTCAAGTTCAAGTCTTTAAAGCACTTAGTCGAATTAAAACCACCATAACGAGATGATAGTGACGTTTCTCTCCTGTTAAGTTTACCTCAGAGTGAGTCGAACCACGAGTGGAGGGGATCTCAGGTGATGAGCGCCGTTTTTCCAAACTCAAAACTGAAGAAAAAGAAGAACAACAAACAGGATCCGAGGAGGAGCGTTAGGTTCGACGTGGAGGTAGATGGAGGTGTGTGTAAATCCTGATGGGAATCCCTGAAACAGAGACAAATGGCCGCTCATTAATCGGACAGATTAAGCGTGTGTGTTCAGGTCCATGATGGGATTGGCGGTCGTCCAACTAGGTCACACAACGCCAACCTGGAGGTGTGTCAGTGTGAGTGCAGGTGTGGTTGAAGGTAAGAGGGACTCAAGATTTAAGGAATCGCCCTTTAAGAAAAAAAAAAGAGAATTAAGAGACAAAGAGAGGCTTCATCATCTTTCCTTATATAAATAACTATCTACGTTTCTAATATTATCCTTTATTCTACACTTTAAATGTCTTAAAGTACAAATAAAACATCATTTTCTAAATTCGAACATCTTAAAAATGTCCAACCCTTTAAAAAAGCATTCAAAACTGAGAAATGACCTCCACTCTCATCAAAAATGTGCTAAAAACGTAAAAAAAGAAAGAAAACACCTCGACAGAGAGAAAAGTCCTGATTCTGAAAAAAAAAATTAAATTTGTCAAATATTTCAAACTTTTACAAAAATCTTTGTCCTTATAGAATAAATAAACTTTACAAAAACCACGACATCCTTTTTAAAATGTCTGATTTTTCTAAACTTTAGTGAAGTAAATATTTAAAAACTGTTCTTTAATTTGAAAAAACAACCGTCAGATGCTAAAATGTTAAATGATTTTGTTTTTCTTGACTCACAGAAGGTAACAGTGATTTGTGCGCTGGCCTGTAGTTCCCACACTGAACACAGGGGGCAGCCTTGGCACACAGTGGGCTCAAAAAACAAACAGTTTTTGATTTTGTCGGTGTAGACCGTGTCTTCATTAACCAGTTTTCTGTTTTACAGGATTATTAGAACTCTGAAGAGGACAACAACGTCCCAATTCCAGACCTGCAACCTTTGTAAAATGGAGCAGCATATCTAACCCTGAATTTTCACCGCATTCGGAACGGCTTTGATCTGGAATGGCAGCAATTTTCGCCATCTGCCAATTCCTACCGGATCTGTTTGTGAGACGAATTTCGGAGCGGATACAGACAACAGGAATCACGAGAACTCACAAGACCCCGCAGATTCACATGCAAACGTGCGATGACAAGTTGTCTGTAGCCACAGAGACTAACCAGATACGCAGTAGATCGTGTCCTTCCAGAGGAGGAAATCTACTTCTAGACTTCTAGAATCAGCATCTCCTCATCCATGGTGTCATCGGGGTGAAATGACGTCTAAAAACCTTTCACTTGTTCGTCTCCGCCCGTTTGCCTGGTGTGAGATACGATCCTCCTGAAACACGGAGTGTATTATTTTGAAAAGAAGCCGGATGTTTTATTTTGTGTCTGTGCCCGACTTCCTTTCTGCGGAGTCTGACGATCCACCGAATCGAAAGATTAGGTCCCCTTAATTCGATAAAAACAGACGCACACACTCACAAACAGATTCTGGAGTCCTGAAATGATTTTTTTGTCTTTTTATTATTTCAAAAACAGACAGATTGAACGTGCATTTAGAGGAAACACAGCGAGACCGTAAAACACACACACACACACACGCCCACACACACACAAACATACACACATCAGAGGTACGCAGAAATTTAATCTCATCAAAGTGTGAAATGTTTCAGACTGTTTTCAGTGTTTTTGTGATTGTGACCCTAAAAGAGTGTCTGAGGTGACAGGAAACGCATCATCAGAGAGAGAGAGAGAGAGAGAGAGAGAGAGGACACAGTCATGAGGTACTGAGTCTAAACTGAGATTAAATACAGTCCCAATAATAATATTAACAGTCTCACACACACACACACACACACACACACACACACACACACACACACACACACACACACACACACACACATTCTGTCAATTTAAATATTTCATGTTTTTTTTTAAATAGAAAATTAAATTGAGGTTATAATTCAGAACATGCTGATGTGCAAACTTATAATAAATCTGTCTAACATGTTTGATATGTGGTCGGCACAAACACTGGTTTTACTTTCAGCATTTCCACTTTTAAGTCATTTTAAGTTTTGTTCAGACTTGTTCACACCTTCGTAAAATTAAGTTTTGTTAAACTTGGTTTTAAGTTTAAATTAAACACAGTTAGTATACTTTTGACAGCTAAAATAAAGCTGCGGTTTAATAAAACAGTCAGATATTTTGAGAAATGAATGATAAAAATGCTGGAAATGAACAAAATTTAATGAAAAACACAAAAGCTGTATAAAAATAAATGTATACTCAACAGAAAGAAACAAAAATTAAAGCTCCCATGAGGAACTTTGGGTTTCTGTAGATTTTGGCGCCCCCTGTGGACAAAGCAGACTTCGCAGATCCTCTTTCTTCTCTCTAACAGTCAAATCTATCATGTATTTTAAATAACGTAAAAACAAAGAAGAAGCTTTTTCTTCAGCCTACGGTGACGCCTAACTCCCCGCACTGATCAAAAACTACAAAATAAAAGTCTTCAACCTCGTCACCGATGGTTTTGTTCGCTTTTAAATAACATAAAAAACATCAACATGAGTTTCCATCTATTTTATAAACACAGGAGCTTTAAATTCACAGATATAAACAATATAAACATGAAGGTGGAAGCTCTTTTTTGTTCGTGCCGTCTCGTTTGTACATATACGTATAAAAATAAAACTGGAGAACATACTGTGTTCATGCTGTCGATCAGCTTTTAATCATATAAAACACTTTTCCTGCTCTATATTTGAGTCACGCAGTAAACCTTTAATCTGCCGTCCTTTAACCGTGTAAACGCTCTGAGAGAAGAGGAAGGGACAGGCGGCGAGACGAGAAGTTGGCAAATATAAACTCTAAATTTGACCTTTAATAATAATGTGAAGAACTTAAGGTGGAGTCTTACGAGTGGAGAGCTGTGATAGTTTTTTTTTGTGTAAAATGAGGCACGTTATGTGATGATTTTGTATATTAAGGGGGAGAATTTGAGATATTTCTTTAATTATGAGGATATTTAATATTTTACAGGATCAAATTATTCATTTAGGAGCATAAATTTAAGATACAATGATAAAAAAAACTTGAAATAAACTAAACAGAGTGAAAAATATCAATTTTGAGATTTAAAATGTTTAATTTTTGAGCAGAAATGAGTCAGACGAGAACAAATTAATCAACTTAAAGGGAAATATCTACGAATTAATGTTTTTAGCTGTGAAATATTTAAAAAAAGATCTTAAGGATGAATTTTACATGTATAAGAACAATTAAGGTAATTAAAAATAAGATTGTGGGCAGTGTATTTGGTAATTTCATGGACTTTAACTTTAACTCTTTGTCAAACATAATTAAGTTAATTTAGTAAACAGCAGGTGACTGCTTCAGGATGAAAGTATTCATTTAGGAGCGTAAATTTAAGATCAGATAATTTAATAAACCAAGTTTGGAGACATGAGTAAAGTTGAGTTTGGATAAAAAGTGTGAAAAATATTAATTTTAAGGTTTGTAGTTTTAATTTTTGAGCGGAAATGAGAGCAAATTAAACAACTTTAAGGGAAACATTCACAAAATAATGTTTTAAGCTGTTAAATATAAAAAAAAACTTAAAATTCAACATTTATAAGAACATTTAAGGTCATAAAAACCAGATTGTGAGCAGTTTTCTTGGCAATTTCATCAAATTTAACAGAATCAAACGACCGCAGTGTTGATCATTTATCTAATTTAGTAAACAGCAGGTGACTGCAGGTCGCTGCGTCTCTCTCACACACATCAGAGGCTTGGAGGTGTAGTAAATGTGTAAAATGAGTTAAAAACTGACGGCGAGTTGGCGTACAGCACTGTGGCGAGCGAGCGAGCGACATGGCACAAAGAGCTGAAGATGTGAAATAAATATTTATAAATAAATAAATAGAAATACTGTTTCTGTGCTCGGTCAGTCCAGTGTCTTATTTTATGTTCTTCAGCAGAGACGTGCGAGCGTTCACCACCGCTTTGAAGGCGTCCTCGCTGCCGGGGGCGACGCATTTATCCGGGTGGAGCAGGACCGCCAGCTTCCTGTACGCTTTGTTGACCTCCTCCCTGGAAACAAAGAGGGAGGAACCAAAATCAGATGCGGGGGGGGGGGGACGGTAAAAGAGACGCACAAATGAAGTGTTTCAACTCACCGTGTGGCTCCAGGTTTGACCCCCAGCATATCCCAGGAGTCTTTGCTGTTTCTGATGCGTCTGATGGTGTCGGCCTGCTCTTTGGTGAAGCCGGCGCTGACCTCTGCCGTCGGACGCTTCCCGCCGTTCTCACACATGTCGGTGATGGACGAGAAAAAAGCCTGAGAGAGGAAAAAAAGACACTTGAACCCGTTTCCTGTTTTCTTCAAATGCTGGTCAAAGTCGATCAGGCGTACCTGAAACATCTCGTTGATTCCCTCGCCGCTCTGAGCCGACGTCTCAAAGTAGTGAAACCCTCGAGACTCCGCCCACAGGCGCCCCTCCCCCTCGTCCACCACCCGCCGCTTCGTCAGGTCCACCTGCGGATTCAGGCGACAGTTTAGTTTCACGTTCAGGGTTTAACCTCCTTCACAAACATCTCTGAGATGATTCCCACCTTGTTGGCGCAAACGATGAACACGATGCTGTCCATGTTGGCCTGGGAACCCATTTCCTGTTTCATCTCGCCGAGCCAGCTGTCGAGAGCGTCGAAGCTCTCCCTGAGGCCGACGTCGTACACCAGCAGCACGCCCTGACTGTCCTTATAGAACTCGTTACGCACCTGAGGAAGACGACACTCACTTAGAAACTGTCTTCTGTCCTCAGGATGGAAAAACTCAAGACTTAAAAGTGAAAAACGCAGATTTGAATAATTTTAAAAGAGATTAAAAAGTAAACAGAGGAGACGTTTCGAGACTCACTTCATAGAAGAAAGGATGACCGGCCATGTCGAAAATGTTCACTTTGATTTCTCTGTCTCGAACCTGCACCCTGACACACACACACACACACACACATAGCAGGGCATTTAAAGAACGCATGTGATCACCATGTCACCAAAAACGCCAGGGAAAAAGACAAAACATGAAACTATCATGACTCCTGAAGCTCACTGCCGTCTGCATGTTGTGTGTTTGTATGAACAGCTTCTCAGATTTCACTTGTAATTAAAGGATTTTTTTTTTTTTTTAAATCAAAATTAAGCATTAAAGGTGTGGTAGTCAGGATCTGATGAAGTTCCAGTTTTTAGGAGAAATCTTGACTGTAAACAACCCTCTCGGCGGGAACTTTCCCTGGAGTAGATCAAGTGCCCCAAAACTAAATGTAATACCTGGTTCTTGTAATCAGGATGCAGTGTTCCTCAAAAGGTTTCTCGTTCCAGAGTTGAAGTCTCTGCCCCAAAAATCACCTCCAGATAGTCGGTGTTAATTAAACTATAACTCTGTGTTAGAGTTTATTTAACAGCGTGTTCCATAACCAGGGTTGACTTACTTGGTGACGCCATAGTCGATGCCGATCGTCGCCAGATACTTGGGGACGAACCTCTTCTCACAGTAACGTTTGATGATGCAGCTCTGAAACAGAAACACTGATTTTACTGTGAGCCGCAGCATCGAACAGAGCGAACTTCAGACAGAAATCTGTTTTAATTCAGTTTATTTAGGGAGACTGCAAAGATGGTGTTAAAAGCTAAGTAACTGATGATTATTTTATTTTATGTTGCATGGTTCTTGTACTGTCTGGGTTCCTTATGACATGAAAATGGCCTTTAATTCCATTTTAATTGAGCTTTTTGTTTTTATGTCTTTTTCCATGTGCTCTATGACTACATGTCAAAGCAGTTTGTAAACTTAGGTTTTTAAAAGTGACATACAAATATAGTTATTATTGTTATTATCATTTATTTCGATTAGGCAGTCAAATTAACAATGCAGACAAGACTTCATTTGTATTTTGAGGTTTCCAATTAGAATCAGTCTACTGTCGACATAACCAAATGAAACGCAAGCCGAATTCTCCATCATAGCTCTTTATTCAAAACTTTATCCACAATAATAATGTTCACATTGAGAGTTTTAAGAAACAAGCAAAAAAACGTTACAATTACTAATTTTGTTAAAACTGATCATGACTTTAAAGGACACCGCTCATGTTTCTCAGTGAGTCTTTCTGCTGTTTTGAGATGTTTTAATTTTACACAAAGAAGCTTTTTGAACCATCAGGTCTCTGTTTAGATGATTTTAGTTGAACCTGGATGAAGTGGATCTCAGGTGTGCTGCTGTCAGATCACCTGCTGCTGCTCCTCCTCTCTTACCTTTCCCACCTCCGCGTTCCCGAGGCTGATCACCTTCACCCGCAGAGATTTCTTATTATCTCTCCGTTTGGGAGCGTTAGTTTCCATCTGACCTCCTGTTGGTCTGTTATCCCGGTGAAACTGAGCGGACTGTTGTTGTTGTTTTTGTTGACAGGAGGGCTAGCAGGGCTAACTAGCCGTTAGCAAACAGTCCGATGATAAACACGGCCCTAAATCATTTAATTTATAACAGATGATTACGCCGCATTGTTAAGCTGCAGCGTCAGAGCTAAGAGTTGGTTTCGCTGCGGGTGGATCACACAGCAAGGCTGCAGAAATCCGGACTGACTCATATCCTAAAAAACCGCTAATGGAGACTGGTGTCAGGTCAGCCGTGATGATGGGGGCGGCTTCTTCTTCCTCTTCTGTGGTGTTGACACATTTGAGGACTCTCTACCGCCACCGACCGGATTGGAGGTCAGAAACTCAAACCGGCGCAATAGAGGACCAAAGTTCTTCATTATTCTTTTTAATAATCAGATTTTTTTAATTATTTTCAGAATTTACATGCAGCCACACATTATTTTAATTCAAATAAGGTCTGAATACATCCCACCCAAGCATCTTCATTGTGTACACTTTAAAGGTCAATATTGTGTTAGTTATAACTCTGTAGACTATTATAAAAGTATGTAATAAGACCTTATTCAATGTATAAACTCATCAGCTGGTCCCTTCAGTGTTTCTGTTTGAGGTTGTTCATATTGATGTGTTGTAGTTCAGTTTTTGACCATCAGGTGGCACAAGATGTGTCTGTAACGTGCATAAAATGAGATTCAATTGGACATTTTTATTATATATTTCAATATTAGACGCAAAAAAGATCAGATTCTACAGAGTAGAGCTGAACATATAAACACATTTTAAAATAATACATGAAATATCAGATACAAAACAGCACAAATTCTCAGGAAAATGACTTAAAGTTCATTTAAAACAGGTTTCATAATAACTATTGTCCATATAAGAGAGGAAACGTGAAGAAAAAGGTTCGATATTTAAATGAAAATGTAAAAAAAGAACTGAAGAAATTTTACAGAAATGCCAAACATGTCAGATATACAGCTGCTGAGATGAATGATTCTGCTTCCTAATCATTCTTTCATGACAGTCAGATAACAGGGAATAAAAGTAGTAAAATAAAAAACACTGTCCTGTTGAAAGTGTTTGACATCAGCACCAACAGGTGGACAAATTAACTCTCTAGAGTCTGAGCTCTCGAATTCAATGATCTACTTCAGTGGTTCTCAAGTCCAGTCCTCGAGGCCCCACTGTCCTGCATGTTCTGGATGATTCCCTGCTCCAACACACCTGATTCAAATGATCAGCTCGTTAGTAAGCCATTACAGAGCTTGATAACGAGCTGATCATTTGAATCAGGTGAATCTACTTTATACCAGAACTCGTACCTGTTACACTGTAGATTAACTTCATTGTAAACCTTCATTTTGGTCAGTTTTTAAAAACTTAAACATGAAGAGGAAAAATCAAAAACTGCTGTTTTGTGTAGGTTAAGAGATTTTAAAAGAAAAACATTAAAATTCCCAAAGTGACGCTGAATTACCGGAATAAGAACCATTTCATCTAAACTATGTTGGATCACGAAATATTCAAGGAGCAGAATTCACAAACAAATGGATTATTTTTATGGTAAATCATTGACGTCTCTTAAAACTCCAACAGTACTTAAGCGTGATTATAAACAGTGACATCGACTAAACCTTCAAAATAAAACTCTGATTTCAAAGAGAAATCTGCCCGAGAAAAGAAAAAGTTTCTCATTTTTTTTGTTTCAGAAAAAAAAAAAGTTTTTTTTTCTTAAAACAGGAAAATACAAGATAGTTAAGACAGCGTCGTCATGGTGACATTAGCGAGCGGGGAGCGGCTGCATCTGCAGCTGGTCGTACGTGTCTCTGGTGGCCGAGCTCAAACCCTGCAGAGACAGAAAACGTCAATACTCCAGGAAATAGACTGCACCCACTGAGCAACAGCTTTACCTTTAAAATAAAGTAAAATGTGATTTGATCTCACCTGATAAACCTGCTCGTTCTTCCTCTGACGCTGCACAAACACACAAAAATCCACATTTAGACTCAAACAGTCACATCAGCTTCAACATTTTAGACTTAAAAGGGTAAAACAGAAAATCTTTTAGAAGTTTTTAAAGTCCTGAGTCAAGCTCACCTCTCTTTTAACGGGGAGCTCCCGATACTCTCCGTCTGTTCGTTTCACCAGGCCCTAAAGTTGAAAATCAAACATCAGTTATGACACAAAGACACACGGCAAACCTCCTCCCTCAGACATTAAAATATGTCGCTCAAAAAATCTAAAAACAAAAACCATGAGAAGTGTTTTTTTACCGTGTATTCGGACTCTCCTTCAGCCGGCCTGCGGTTCTGAGAGAGAAAAACAAACAAAACAGAAAAGTTTGAATCATTCCGCCTCCGCAGCAGTCCTGACTAAGAGTTTCTTATTTTTCAGGAAACATTGAGCAGCTTGGTTTCAGTCCGTCATGGGTCTTTGGGGTTCCTATAAATCTCTGAAGTTCATTAAGGTTCAAACCTTTAAGAGTGAACCTGCCTGCCTGGACTAGCCCCACGCTCAATTTCAACCACTCACCCTTCCTCTTTCAGCGTCTCTCATCAACGGGGCGTAACCTCCAGTGTCCTGACCCACCAGACCCTAAACGCAACACGACACATAAACACAACATGGTAAAAAAACACAACATCCTCTATTGGAAGATTACGGAAGGAGATTAGGGACACAAATGAAAAACACGCTTAAACTCACGCTGTAGACGCTGTCCTCTGTCGACTGCACTTTGGCTCTGAAGAACTAAAAACATTCAAATACAAGAAAATACGAGTTACTGAGAACAAAAGACAACAGATGGAAACTTAAAAAAGGATAAGAGGTGTAATTTTGTCCACAGGGGGCGCTAAAATCACGACAAACTGAATATTCCGCACTGGAGCTTTAAAATATCATTGTTCACAGAGCAGTTAGCAGGAATGCTGCGTTCGAGTTACCTCAGAAGTCAGATGTCGGAGATGGAAATGACGTCACACACGAGTTCCAAGTGATTCAGTTACCAAATTGGAAAAAGCAAAATCAGAGGCCGGAAACAAGATGGCTACGTCTACGAAAGTTGTTTTACCGCTTGCCTTATGTTTGGACTGAAAGTGCAAAAATAAGTTTCGTAGATGTAGCCATCTTGTTTCCACCTCCGATTTTGCTTTTTGACGTCATTTTCAGCTCGGACTTCCAACCTCCGAGGTCACTCAAACGCAGCATTAATCCTGTAAAAATGAAAATACCTTCTCCTTGATGAACATGCCGGTGATGATGAGTCCATACAGGCCCAAAAAGCCGTCCAGGATATAACACAGCTGGGGGTCATACAAGGTCAACGCCTCTGTAAAGGTCAAAGGTCACACATACAAAAACAGACATCTGTCAGTGGAGTATTTTTTAATTTTTACACGGTCAACTTTGAGAGTTTAATCGGTCCTGAGAGGCAGTGTTTTTAGTGATTAATACTGTCCTGCTTGACAGATAGTCAGACCAATCAGAATGTGAGTTTGCAGTTATAAGAAGAGGGCGGGGCTTACGCTTTGAGCTGGAACAGAGAGGGTTAAAACAGTTGTGCCGAGTGTGTGAGTGTGTGTATGTTTGTGTGTCATGTAGCGCAGTGGTTTCCCCCAGCTCTCAGGCAGGTGTGTGTGTGGTTTAGAGCGTGCTTGTGTGTTTGTGTGTGTGTGTTTGTGTGTGTGTGGGTTGGTGTGAAATAAGGCTGTAGCAGCAGAGTGGGGATGAAGATAACTGTACTTTGAAAACATTAGACAGATAAGATGCTAAAAATAAGCAAACAGTAATGTGGCGTCATTAACCCGTTCATGTTCAGGGTGGAGGAGATCTTTGGAAGAAACTCACCATAAAACAGACAAAATTTTGCCTTTTTTTTTTTGCAAAAACAGACAAAAAGTTCTTCATGAAGATTCACCTATAGTTATATAGTTCTAATCTTTAGTTTCATACTGATGATAAACTCAGGTGCTAAACTGAGCTAGCACAGGCATAACTGATGAGTCGTTGGCGTTTTCTGTGAAGGAACAATTTTCGTGATAAAGTTGTGTAAAAAGTAACACCCCAATGTTTTGTGTTGCAAATATCAATGCTGAACAAACTTGACCTAGAACCCGTGTTTGATGCAAGTCAGGTGTTTAGTTTGAGTATTGCTGCGTTCCAGTTGTACTCGGAATTTCCAAGCTCTGAGTCGGAAATTCATCTGGAACGCCCCCGTGAAGTTAGATTTCCGACTCGGACAGTCAGATTATCTGTGCCAACCCCGACTTGACAACAACGTCATAATTTAAGATGTCAGCGCAGTGCAGCAACAGTAAAGAGTAACGATGAAAGTTCTTGTAATGTTTTTTTCATTCGCACTTCTGATTTGTTTTTGTGAAATTATATAAGTGGTATGCTGTACTGACCAACGGCTAACTGTGAACATGGTGCTATGGTGTTCGTAAGAGTAAAATACTGTGTTATGCGTTGTTTACAACTGGTATAGCGGACAACATCAACGAACAACAGCTGACAACGGCTAACGACAGCTGACAATTGTAAACATTTCAGACTTGTTAACTGGAACGCCATCAACTCAGGTGTAACGTCATTCCCAGCTCCAACATCCGACTTCTGAGGTAACTGGAACGCAGCATATGATTGGGGGTGTGGCCTCTTTGAGCTGCTCACTGTCTGCTAGGTATTTTTAAAAATGGAAATATTGGACAAATTGTCGTTTTTTAACCGTGCAGCTTATCCAACTCAGTCCAATTGTGACACCGTTCTATTTATATTTTGTCTGATTAGCGCGAATTAGCCGTGTACCTGTAAGACAAGACTCGGGGAAACATCCCATGCCGAAGTTTGAGTGCGAGCTGCTGTTAGAGGAAGCCAGATGTCACCATGGTAACACTGATGTTATAGGAAAGGGCAGTGACGGTCCATCTGATTAACACGAGGTTAGATAACAGCAAAGACACACCAAATACGCACACGCAACAGGAAGTGTGTGTGTGAGTTCGGGTGGGGTGGGGGGTTGTGATGCTGATAAGTGTCGCTGGAAATGAAACTGAGATGTTGCCTGTATGATGCTGTAAACAAAGCTGACAAATTGTTGAGAAGTTGCTGCCAACAAAGCTGAAACATTGCTCAAACATGTCGTATGTGAATCTCTTCAGTTGTCAAAGTGTTCAGTTGAAGAGATATTGTTGTAAATGTGGTCGGCACGGTGTGAAAAAGTCTCTATTTTTGTAACGGTCTCTGCTGCCACAATGTTGCGGTTAATGTCGATTGCTTGGCACCTAGATTTTTTGTCGAGGACGCTGACATGTTGCATGAAGGTTTCTGTGGACTGTTAAATTTTTGCCGTAAATTTAGCTTTTTTTGTAAAAGTTGCTGTACATAAAGTTGACATGTTGCTCTAAAGCTTCTATAATTGCTGTTGGGATATTGCTGTAAAGGGACGGGCAGTATGTGGCAATGGTTGACTAAACTAAATGTTGCTCTAATGTTGCTGCAATCGTTGCTTTAAAGTTTCTGTAAACATCGCCCTAAACTCGCTGAGATTTTCCTACTGATTTGTTTCCTTTCTCAGTAAAACTCTGTTGTTGTTTTTTTAACCTTATTTTAAGCGTTTCTGTCATCGCGTCATCGCCATGGAAACATCAGAGGAGAGTCTGAAACCGTCATCTCTCTCTCAATCTGAAGAGTTTCTGTCTCTTCTTCTTCATCATCATCATCAGAGCAGATGAAGCTCAGTTTGGGGAAGACGCTCATATTCGAGAACCGCAGAGCTGCTTCCTGTTAGTGTGTGTGTGTGTGTGTGTGTGAGTGTGTGAGCGTGTGTGTGTTTGTGTGCAGAGGAGGGTTCACTCTCTGTGGTCAGTTTTATCATATTCGCACTTCAAAGCGAGTTTGTTACATGAAGTTTTTCACCTCCACACACGAGACATGTCCTGTTTTCTAAAAAAGTCGCTATTTGACTTTAAATATCTGCTGAGCTTGATTTCTTTCTCTTATTTTAGATTCAATCTGTTTCATTCAGAGCAGAAAACTTCTTTTTTTGTTCAAAAACTAAACAGTACCTCGAGCTACAGACTAAACTTTACGTCTTGATATTTTTCGCACACACTTCATGAGAACCCGCATGAAGCTTTGTCCTAAAATACTTTAAATCACCTGAGATAAACTTTGCTGTTTTATTTAGTGAAAAACTGAACGAAGAGGATGTTTCGCGTCCGTTTATTGATTTGTTAATCGAATGTCAGAGTTTCTGACAAACCACAAAAAGTGTAAAAGCAGAATCGCTGACTCTAAAATACGACTTCAATCTCTGAATTCTTAGACCACTTTTAAAAGACGGAGATATTAAATCAGATATTTCTCACTCGATTCTCACTGAACCTCGTCTTTCTGCTTGTGACATACTTGTTTCTGGTTGAATAAGCAGAACATAAACATCCCAGAGAAAATCTGATCCTGAATTTGTTGAATTTCATGTGATTTTAATAAGAGGGTTTCCGTCTGTCTGTCCGAGTCAGAGTGACGGAAGTTTTGATCTCGTTATGGGTTAAACTGCTGATCGCCCATGATCGGAGTTTTTACATTTAAAATAGTTTTAAAGTTGTGTTTCATTTACAAAAGGAAACGCAGATATAAAATATAAATCACACTTATTTTCTGATCTCAAATGTTAAATAAGAAAGAAAGTCGACGTGATGTTTCTGTTCTCGCTCAGGAACCTGTTAAATTTAGATTTCCTGCACTTTTTACATCTCTTCCTTTTCTTTGCCTTTCACTCTTTGATATTTCGTACTTGTGCAGGTTAAACTTGAGGCTTATCTTTAGATGTAAGTACCTTTGCAATCTCAAAAATAAAATTTTTAAAAGGAGATATTGTTCTGGATCATGTTCCCATCACAAAAATGTCTGGTTTGTTTTATTCGGGTTATTAAAGATCTGTTATTTTTTAAACTTTTTGTTTCATCACCCATGTCTGTGTCAACACTGGTCCAAACTGGTCAGTTTTGATGATCCAAACTGGTTACTAATCATTTAAACTGGTCATTTCATGGTCTACGGCTCCATCAAACACGCCTCACATCAGTGTTCGGACTTCAGTCTTCAGAGGGTCTGAGGCTCCTTTTTTATTTGGCTTAACTGGAGTCTAAGAGGTAAAAACACTCCCTGAGTTAACTGATCAGTGTGCACAGGTACTAAAGGACGTCATTTCAGTTTAGTTTTAGCTGATAATTTTGTGGTTTGAACAGTTTTTTTTTTTCCACATCAGATGTGATGGTTTTATGAAGGTTCAAAAACTGCATCGGGGCCGCCGATCGATCAGATTAAAGTCCTCCAGTAGTTAAACCTGCGTGAGTTATTTAACTGTTTATGTGCACAATAGTTGATTTTTGATATGTCCCATATTTCTAAACTTATATTGGTCTGTATTGATATCAAAGTGTGCCGTTATCCTGCAGAAACGTGCCTCTCCCTCCATCTAAACGGCTGACCATTCAGACTTTTGATATCTTAGTTTTGCTTTTCCTCCTTTAGTGCTCTGTGTTTTATTTCTACACTTTAATAATGACTAAATGTAATAAATTTAACTAAGAGCGCTGACTCTCTTTTAAATTTTTCGTTGACTTGATGTTTATTAAGATTTAAAATTAACTTGGTAGTGTTATAGAAATGTTGTTTTCCTCCTTCAATCTTCTGTGCTTCACATGCATTTATAGTGATTTTGTTGCCTGTTTATGATGTTTTTGGATACCCTCAGCTAACATGTTTCTAAACGTTTTTATAAATTATTATTATCTCAGGCCTTTTTATGCTTTTATTGGAGAGGACAGGACAGAGTTGAGAGAGACCGAGGCAATGCGCAGAAAAGAAGCTGTAATTTGGTATAAAATCGGGACCCTACAACTGAGTCGCTTGGCTAATACCCAAAAAACACAAACATTTTATTTTCCAGTTGCATTCATTATTAATGTTTTTAGATTTTACCTAGTGATCCATAATCTTCCAATTACACAGAAGTCCAGTAACCGGTTTTCCTTTTAACGTCCACAGATGAGAAATATGTTTTTACGGGATACAGGGATACAATCATAGTAACTATTATCATTATCATCGTTTTGTTATTTTCACTGTGGTAGTTATTTTTATTGCTATTATTATTATGATGATGATAATATTATTATTTTATAATATTATGATGATGATAATATTATTATATAATATTATGATATTAAAACCATTAGTGTAGAAGAAGGGGTGGGACTAGATAAGTCTTGACTTCTTCCCACTCCTTTTTGAACATGAATAACTTTTTGTCATTTGTTGTTGTATTCTTTACTTTTATTATTAGCATGATTATTATTTTTATATGTTCAAATAAACTTCAATTTATCAATCAATCAGTGAGTGAAGAAAAAATGTTTTATGTTTTAAGCCTTACAAATACAAATAAGAACAATAAAAATTAAAATATCGGTCGGACTTTCCTGCACAGTTTAAATCTGTTTATGATACAGCTTTTATGGATGTTTTCAGGTTGACGTTGATCAAAAGATTATCTGGTAGTGAAGCTAAAGTTAGCTAGCTCTGATGTTTGCTGTCACATTTTTCTAGATGATGCACACCCAAAATAAAATACAGAATAAAATTAAACATATATGAACAAATATCAAACAAAATAACAAAGCTATGTACTTCTAAACCTCGTTTTTGATATCTGACTTTACAGGGATAGAAACCTGCTGCACTTTCTTTTAGCTTCTTTCGAATACACCCGTTTGTGCTTTTCTGACTTGTAGCTTTAACACAGCTTCACTAAGAAGCCAGTTAAATTAGCTTAAATAATCGATTTTTCAAAAACAGGACAAATTAAATAAATCAAAAACAGCAATTTTGATAAAAAGATGAAAAAACGATCAAAGTTTGATTCCGGTGAGACGGTAACGGCTGAGAACTTCCAACATGGCGGCCGAAGAGGAACAGCCTTAGCCTCCATGTTTGAAACCTTTGTTATCGGCTCGAAACCTTTCACATCTGAACGGTTCAAACTAAAATTGAGCAAAATTTCTGCCCTCTGCACCTCAAAACAGAATAAAACATGCATATGTATTTTTTTTAAAATTGTATTTAATAAATTTGAACTGTTTTTTAAGCTTTCAGTTGAATTTCTAGCCGCGAAAAAAAAAAAACAGGTCTGAAAATAAAATTTACTGTCTAAAAATGTGGCTGATTTTCCTCCTTATAGCGTAGAAGTTGAATACTCTTCTAAATAAATGCAGTTTTCTGAGTTTTAATCGCCCCAAATATAAAATCGCTGTAGCAGTGATGGAATAAATAAATAAATAAAACACCGAGTTTTCTACTAATTGTTTTAGGTTTGTATGTAAAGTAGTTTTTGGAGAGTTTTTAGGCTCTTCTTCACTGTAGTTTCGATCCGCTCATGTCGGTGTGTGTGTGAGTCGGTTCTCACCTGCGGGGTGAACCATCGCGGTGAGGAGGACCAGCAGCCCGCAGCTCCACGCCTGCAGCTCCATCATCGCTGACCAGTCTGCTCTTCTCTCCTCAGACTGGTGTAAATGTGGAGACCAGAGAGAGTGTGTGAGTGTGTGTATGCTGGAGACGAGCCGAGACTGAAGTTAACGTTTCGCCTTCGTCTCTGTGTTTAAGTGGAACAGGAAGCGGTGAGATCTGCTCTGACAGGTGACACTCATCATCTTCTCTCGCCCACATACAGACACACACACACTCTCTGAACCCTATCTCACACACACACACACACACACACACACACACACACACACACACACACACACACACACACACACACACACACACACACACACACACTAATGGAAACAAAAAGTTCAGTTTTCATGTGTGTTTGTTCTCATGTTGATGTTGTTTTCTGCTTTCCAACTACACAAATCTAAAAGAACTGACTTTTCTTCTCATAACTTCAAGTTTTTCACCCGTGCAGGGGTGAAGCTAAGGGGTGTCAAAGGATGGCATCCTCTCCAAACCCTCTGAGGTTATGGGTGCCCTTTAAGGAGAAAAAATTATAATGCAAATTTCAGTTGCCCTTTCGATGGAAAGCATGAGAAGACAATTCTCATAAGTGTCTCTTGGGTAGATAAGTGCCATCTGAATGCCCTTCCAGTAAATCAAACATTAAAGGGATATTCATGAAATTAAGTCTTTATCATTTCCTTGAAGTAATAATCATCATATTAATCATTTTGCAGACGCGGTAGTTCTTCTGCCTTAGCGTCTCGGTCTGATTGTATTTCCATGAAGCAATGATCATAAATGTTCTTCCTTGAGCTGCGGCACCCCGCTGTAGTCCGTAATGGACTTGCCCAAGGTCTCACTACAAACAAGCGGCTGCTGGAAGAGGGTAGGTGAGTTGTGTTTAGTCTCTTTGCTGAAGAAATGAGTCAAAGTTAAAAAGATGTTTGGTGTCTAGTACTATGTCTGTGACCCTATATGTCCTGTTGATGAAGTTAGGTGCTGTTCTGAGCATTATTTGTGGCTATGGAGTGGTGTTTTGGTTGAGGGCGTGGCTCTCTGCGTGGTCGGCAACATTCATCTCTGGAGGGGGTGTCAAACTCGGTGTTACGGTGTGTTTGACCCTAAATTAATTTTATGCCTGAACATCCCTTCAAATAGTCTCTTTTGGATGTCCTACCAGTGAGTTAAACAATAAAGGTGTCCGCTAAACAGTGAGTAACACCGGAACAATCCTCTCGGAAAGAAAATGCCTCTTCTGAATTTTCCGCTCGAGGGTAAAACCCCTCAAAAATTCCCTCTTGGTGTCCTTGAAATGAGGGAGGAACATTATAGAGCAAGAATTTATCTGAAAACTCATCTAATTTCTTTAAAAAGCAAAGTTATCAAAAATACAAGAAATCTGGAGCGAAACAACAAATGGAGTTTGTTTTGTTCCAGCGGTATCAGAATAAATTTAGTATTACAATCCACTCAAACATCTGCTCTTCTGCTCATTTCAAATTAATCAAACAGGAGTTATTTATGGAGTTTGGTTACTTTATTAAACTGTATATCATTATAGTTTTCTCAGTCTGAAGTACAAGCCTTAAAAACATCCCAAACCCTGACAACAACAAATCCAGCTCCATCCTGACAGGAAGCTGCTGATGGTCCGCTTCCTATCCAGGATCAGAGGTCAAAATCAGACGCCAGCTCAGCAGCAGTTTGTGTCAGAGTGAGACCTCTTTGGGTTTTCAATCTTTACTCAACAGATCAGCAGATTCTGTGAAACTCTAAATATTAGGATTCTGATCGGATAAAGAAAAGAGAGTAATGACAGCTGACTTTAACGTGTAAAACCCAGTTAAACTTTAATCATCAGTCACACAGAGACAAAAATATCACAATAATTATCAATAAAAGTCCATATTAAAAACGATCTTAGTGTGGTTCATTAATGTGCAAACATTAAAATGACTCTTATTTTGTTAAAAGTAACAGACGATACTGAGCCGTGATGTCGTCCTCACAGCGTGGTGAACTGGTTCAGAGCGGCTCTCAGCTTATCGGCGATCTGACCAATCAGAGAGCAGAGAGGTGATGACATATGTCTTCATGTTAACCTTGATAATGCTGCGTTCAAGTTACCTCAGAAGTCAGATGTCGGGGCAAACATTGACGTTACACCTGAGTTCTCAGTGTTTCAGTTACTGAGTCGGAAAAAAGCGAAATCGGAGGCCTTAAGTTTGGACAAGGCAAGCGCTAAAATAACTTTCGTAGAAGTAGCGATCTTGTTTCCTTCTCCGATTTTGCTTTTTTCCGACTTGGTAACTGAAACGCTGGGAACTCGGGTGTGACGTCATTTTCAGCTTGGACTTCTGACCTTTGAGGTAACTCGAACGCACCATCACCCCCCCGGTCTTGCATGTCTTACCTGTTGGTAGAAGGTCGCCTGTTGCTGCAGGTAGAGCTGCATCACTCGGTTGTAGTCATAGATACGGTTGCTATGGAAATGATTCATCTCAGCTGCAGGAGAAGGAAAAAGCGGAGGTTATGGTTGGAGCAGACAGCTGATTGGTCCATTTGGTGATTGTTGTGTCGTTACCCTGCAGAGTGTAGCTCATGCCGCTGAGTCGTTGGCTCATGAACTTCTTGTCGCCGTTGGTGATTTTTCCCGCCAACACCAAACGGTCGCTTTCTTTCACCTTCTCTATGGCGGACTGACAAAAACACACGCACAAGACCACGCCCCCTTCATGACTCATTTGCTCTAATTTAGAAAACATTTGTGGTATCAGTCGTATTCTGTGTGTACTTGTACTGCAGTACCTTGTGTACAGAGATGATGTCTGGGAAACATCCCAGCATGCCTCTGTACTCATTGTTTGTCTCCAACAGGAAGTGGAGATCCTTCTGAGGCTGATAGGTCAAAGGTCAGAGAGTTTTATAAACACTTTATTTTTTGGAAACACGACAAGTACATGAAATATCTCAGTGTTAAAGTACACTGAGTATTTTTGTGTTTTTGTACCTGTTGAGCCACAAGCTCTGCAATCTCCTCGTACGTCTGACCCGCCACCGTCAGAGCATCCGTCAGAGTCTCCTCCCCTACAACACGCCAGTTTGTGATTTAAGTCATTAAAAGACAAAATATCTACTTTTCCAATACCTCTTCCTTCAAACTCTTCCTTGTCTCCTCTCCCCTTGTACCCTTATCCCCTTGTTTCCTCACCTGGATATCCGCTGCTGGTGAAAACCGTCGACAGGTTCTTGAAGGCTCGTCCGATACGTTCGTACTCTTTGGGCAGCGCTACACACACACACACAGTCACAAACATGTGTGTAAGGTTGTGCGTGTTTAGAAGTATAAGTACACATGTTGAAGTATTTATACACACTCACGTCCCGTGCAGCGTTTCCAATGTGTGTGTCCGACACTCAGCAGCTCTCTGACGCCATCGTCCATGGACCGCGTGAACCGGCTGTAGTGCTCACACTTCTGTTCCCTACAAACAAACAACCAAAGAAAAGATCAATCTGATTGGTTACAAAGCTGATTGGCTGGCAGGTGGGCGGGTTGGTTAATTGGTAGTTAGCTGATTGGTTGGTTGACTCACACATTAATAGCGTCGAGCTCAGCAGCTTCAGTTTCCACCAAACTGAAGATCATCGGTCCGACTGTCTCGTCCTTTTCAGCTTTCCTCTTCCCGGTCTTCCACTCCTGCAACATCGGAACGAAAATTAAGCCAATCAGAATGCAGACAGCAACCCTGTGCAATGTGGGCGGAGCTTAACCTGCCTTCTCATCTCTGTGGGTGAGGAAGAGTTGAAAGACGCTGCTCTGAGAGACGACCGGGTGACGACACATCCGGGTCATCCAGGACTGCAGCTGCTCCATCCGCATCTTGATGAAGTCCACCTCGAACCGTCCTGAAAGCAAAGGAGATCACTTAAGCCCTTGCCGCGGGGGTGGACGGGGTATGTGTGGTTGTCATGGTGACAGCGCACCTGTGACTTGTTTGTCTGGGAGTGCGGGTATGGGCAGGGCTGAACCAAACTTGTCCAGAAGACGTTCATACAGCCAATCAAAGTGCTTGTAGCGATGAGTGACGGGTCTGTTGGTCGTCTGTGGAGAGTCAAAGGGTGTCAAATACTGAGTGCGACCAAGAACTACTCACGCTGCGTTCGAGTTCCCTCAGCAGTTGGAAGTCCAAGCTGTAGCCTACATTTGGGATGATCTGGTACTCGATGAAGCTCTTCAGGCCGTACAGTTTGGATTCCTTCTTGGGATCCGCGATCAAACAGTCCAGAGGAGCCGACGGGTAAAGCCACACTGGACCCACTTCTCCGATCTAATTGGATAATCAGCAGGAGCCAATCAGAGCACAGCGTTCAATAACACAGTGATATAAGGAAGAAGATCACTCACAAAGACAGGAAGTCTTTCTCTGCTGTCAGCGGGAGCTTTGGCGAGCAGATACACTTCAGCGCTTGGACCTTTATGAAATGGAAACCTGGAAACAGAGAGGATTTCACAGATCTGTGAGATCTACCGGGATCTACTCCTGAGATCCACTTAGATCACAAGAGTCAAATCATGTCCACCTGTTCAGGGAGATCTTCATCGTGGACCCGTTGGTGCTCTGACCTGCAGCCCCTCCCTCCTCCTCCACCTGATCATAACCACGGGAACCAGCTTCTGATTGGTCATCCCAGTCATCGTCCCACTCGCCATCGTCATAGTCGATGACGTCCGCTGGAGATGGAAACAGTTTCTGTTGCTGACTTTGATTCATTTTTGAATCGACCTTTATTTAAAACGACCAACGTCGAGTCAGAGTCTCTCACCTTGTTGTGTGTTAGCGACCCCCTGATGGCTCCACCCTTCTGCTGCATTTGTGACTGAAGCCCCGCCCCCTGACCTGGACTCTCCAGCCCCGTCAGCGGCACCAATAACCTGAAACACAACTTAAATATCAGCAGCACAAAAGACACAACCAAACATGAACTGCAGTATTTTTGAGTGTTTTTTTTTTCTTTTGTTGTCATGGTTGTCGATTTTCTTTTTTGGTTGTTTTTGTTGAAGTTTGTGTCTTTATTGTTGTTGATTTTGTTAATGTTTGTGGTTTGTGTCTTCTAAATTAGGACTGGTCATGTTATTATATTTTTTGTTTGTTATTTTTGATATTTTTATGTTTCAATTGTTGTCTGCATCTCTGTTAGTATTTTTGTTGAAATAGGTTAATTTGCTTTTCGTCGTATTTTTTTGTTGTTTGTGTATTTGTTGTTGTTTCCATCTCTGGCGTCTTTAACCGTTGTTGTCACTTGGCTCTGAAGGTGGAAGTGGGCGGAGCTTCCTTCAGGTTTGCAGTTGACACAAAGGGAAGTCAACAGCTCACCTGTAAGTATCCCTCAGGAACAAGTCCGGTTCTTCCGCTGGAGTCCTGGGCTTCAATCCAACCTCCACCCACAGTCTACACACACACACACACACAGAAACACACACTGTTGTAGGACATTATCTCATATCACGTATATTTAGGCGTGTTTGTGTGTGCGAGAGGGCGATACCTGGTCGATGACGGTGATGGTGTCTCCCTGTCTGATGGACAGCTCGTGGTTTCCTGGTTCGGCTGTGAAGTCGTACAGAACCTGAGCCTGAAACAGAAATTCTGAGTTTTCATGACCAGAAACTCTTCAGAACTTTTTAGGGTTCAGATTAGTAAAGGGAGGGTCCTCACAGGTGGAGTAAACCCTGAGTAAAGGTTTCGAGTCAAACACCTGAACCTGTCTACCTGTTGGACCTGACTGACTGAGTCAACAGCTGCAGGCTGTTCTCTGACACATCCTCCCCCCTCTGTTTGAGACACGGTTTTCTGTTTCTGCTGGTAAATAATAGTAATATTAGTGAAATAAGTGAATTAAATTAGATTTTTTTTAATAGATCTGTTCAGTTGTAAATCATATCACTTCACTAAAGTTAAATAATTCTGCAGATAAATAAATGCGATCATTATCAAATTCAGATTAAAACTCTCTGGATATTTGAACTTTCATTTTCATGATGAAGTTTAAATTAATTTGTTGTTAATTTAAGATTATATTTAATGTCTGGATGTACAAACACTTTTTTAATCTCTGAACAGTAAAACCTCTGATCACAGCCAAATAATTTGACTTCTAGACATTTTATTTAATTCTTAAAAATATGTCAAAGTTTAAAACGAGTTAATTTATTTGAACAGCTGTCTTTCACACTTAAAAGTATAAATATGTTGGTGATCTTACTTCTTTTCTTGATGTCCCTCAAACAAACCTGTTTTTTCCATTTGTGTGTTTTTCTTTAATTTTATTTTTCCTGTTTTTCTTGATGAATCCTTTTTACGTTTTAAACTCGTCTGAAATCTAAACACTGTCTCCTCCAGTCGGAGCGCCAACAGACTCCACAGGTTCAGAGGTTTTTTTCTCCCAGGTTCGGACCTCTCACCTGATCTCTGCGGGTGAGAGGTCGAAGGTCACACTCAGTCCCACCTGCACTCACCTGTAAGGCCATGACGATGTCAGCAGCAGCTCCAAAATTATCTAATTTTTGATCAGAGTCTCATCCTGCAGCTTCTCCGTGGGCAACCTGCAACTTCACATCGTCAACACCCAAACTTCACACATCACTTCCTGTTAGGGTTTTCACAATAAAAGCTTTAGTGCGTCAGTGGCCGCTAAGTATTATTTTGTATTCATTTCCATCTCTATTATATGTTCTGTTTTGAGCTAAAAATACGAAAACAAGCACTATTTTTTATTTTTTGGTTATATAGAAAAACAAACAAAATATTGACTGTTTTTTACGTTTTTCGTTTACTAGTTTGAATGGATGGATAATACACGGACTGAACTTGGACTTCATGGTGAACATTTTAATTACACTTGGAAAACATTTTATTCACAGATGTAAATACCTCAAGATGAAGCCCCACTTTATAAGATGGATAAATGAACTCAGAATATACAAAAAATCTTTGAACTACCTGAAAAATAAAATTGCCCCAAAATTGTTTTCTTTACTCGACTCTTTTACTATCCTAGAATCAGACCCCCACATTCTTTTATCTGCTTTCTTCATGTTCTTTTGTTCATCTAAAAAGCTGGTTTAACACTTTGTACTCTAGGTATTACCAATGTGTCTTAATGTTTGTATTTTGACGAATAATAAAACATTTACAAAAAAAGTGTGATTAATAATTAAATTTTATCAATCTGTAAAAATATCTTTATTGAGATTATTTGAGCCAAAAAAAGGAACGGAATTAAATAACTTTGGCCTAACTATAAATAAGGCTGAAGGCTAAAACATTAAAACTTAATAATAATGTAAAAAAGTGATGAAAACTAATACTTTTAAAGGTATGTTTTTCAGTGGCAGAACTTCTTACTAAAGTCAGAACACAAACTGCAACAGAAACCTAAAGTTCATGTCACTAAATTTTCATTTTTACCTTTTATTTGTTTGAAAAGCCGTAATACAAATATTTCCTTATATTTCCTTTCATTATAAAATGATGATAAATATGATCTTTGTTACCAGGGTTCAGCTAATTTAAACCGGAAAATATAGGGCCATCACAAACAGGCTCACGCCTCAATGTATCTCGAGATTAAACTATCTTTTACTTTGAAAATTCACAGCCCAGCTTCCTGTTTTGTGCCGTTTTTATTGCAAAACTTGATATGTGACGTCACATACGGAAGTGTTTACAAACCGAAGACGTTTCCTGAAAGGCTCCAGTTACAGAGATGCACTGTAAAAAACAAAAGTGTCAAGATTACATAAATCTAAGAAAATAAACACTTTAAAAAAGATAAAATGCAGTGTGTTGGAAAGGGAAACTTAAACAGGGGGATTATATAAAATAAAGCTTAATTTCAAAACACTGCAAAAAAGGATAATAAACACAATATGAACTAAAAACATAATATGGAAAATAGAACTAAAATGCTGTAAAAATACATCAATATTGACTGTATGGCATGAAATGAGATTTTAAAGAATAAAGGTGCACTGAAAAATAAAATTGCTAGTTTACACATTTTCTAAAAAATATGACATAATAGACTCTAAAGATAAAATACATTTAAAAAAGATTTCTTTAGATTATTAAATACACTAAAAAAGGGGTGAGGATGATAAAATATACTGAGGATGTAAAATTTAAATTTTAAGATGTTTATATAGACTAAAATAAATAGACATTAAAAAATACAAAACTTAAATTTGACCATTTTGAGTCAGTATTTACATGTTTACACTAAAAACCCTGAAAAGTCTTTATTTTTTTATAATTTGTTGTGTTATTCATAATCAAAACCAACCTGCCACTGTTAACCACCAGACTGTATCATGAAATCCTCACAGTAATCTTTGTCGTTATAACAGCTGTCAGCATGTTTGACTCCTAATATCTTGTGGATCTGACTGATTGACTTGTGGAGACATTTGTGATGACTTATTTCTTTTCTCGTAACCTCATGGTCTTTGTCTCTGGTCTTCAGGATCCAGCAGCTTCAGCCAAGAAAAGGCAAGTTTTCACCCACCTTGTTGGCTTGATCCATGAATATGAGAGACTTCAGGAACCGCCAAGCCTATTCTTGGATGTTGAATCACAGTCTGATCTTGACCTCTTATTAGTTTGCTAATTTCTTTAGCAAAGAGACTAAACACAACTCGCCTACTCTCTTCCAGCAGCCACTTGTTTGTAGCAAGTCCTTGGGCCAGTCCATTACTGACTACAGCGGAGTTTCGCAGCTCAAGGAAGAACATATATGATCATTTCTTCGCCAGAATATCCCTTTAAGTTCAGGAAGTCGTGGATCAGTGCATGAAGCCCATTTTCCATCATTAGCCACTAAACACAGAGAAATTTTCATCATGTTTGAAAAACACAGTAATCTAGTTTCAGGAAAACAAACCTGTTCAATATGCTTTAGGATTTTAAGCGGATGTGTTGACTTCGACGACAGAGTCACGTCTGTTTTCCACAAACATTACTGTTGAATTACTAACTACTTTCTCACCCACTCATTCTCTTGCAAAGCCGTGAACTTCCTGACATCTATACTTCATCCTCTCTTTAGAATAATCAATAATCAATAACACATTCGAGTCTGTTTCCACAGTGTGACATTTATTGATTAAACACACAGAAGAGTCCAAACTGAGTCTGAAACATGTTTAAACTTTGATTCATCGTCATGTCATCAATAAATCCTCTCAAAATCAATCGACCAATCAAATCAATCGCTGTTAATATGTCCATGTTATGTTTGACGTCAGTGAGGTGTGACAGGAAGCTGATGAACTTTAATAATCAAAGTGATCAAACATTATGTTTTAAACATTGATCATGTGACTAAAAACCTTGAAGAACCAATCGGCAGCTGAGATGAAGTTTTATTGATCGGCGTGAGTGTGTGTTTGGCGAATGCACCGCTGCTCAGTGAATGCACCACCACATGACTGCCAATGAGGCCAGCAGACCAATCACAGAGCTGGCTGTTGCGGAGGGGGCGGAGTTACACAGGTCAGAGTTGCAGCACTTGAAGGTGAAACTGGAAACCTGGAAATGATTGTAAAATTTACCGATCAGGGGAAACAGATCAATAAAACTCATAAAATCATTGTAATGTAAAGAGAATTTTTTATGTCGGTATGAAATTTAATTCGATACATTAGCGAAAAATTAGCTTTATCGATATAGTGTTTTTTTAACTGTGATAATCTGACAAATTAATGTCCTTTTTACAAACTTTTTTTAGGTTCTGTACCAGAAACCCACTTATCTGAAGTATTTATCTGCATTATATCTGAATTTAATTGAAACGATACGAGCGAGTAGGAGTGTCTGTTTGTGGGCGGGGCTTGCTGGAGCAGAGAGGGAGGGGAGAGGAGGAGGGGTAGAGTTTACATTCATGATTTCTCCTGAAAACCGGCGCTTCCTCAGATCGTGACTACCCCACCTTTAAGTAGTACTGCAGTATTTGTGTAAAGGTTACCTGTGGGAACATCTGTCCCAGTCGGCTGTACTCACAGTCAGAGTACTTCAGACACTGACGATAAGTCATCCCACCTGCAGGAGACACAGACCTGGTTATCTGAGTTCACATACTAATACTGCCTTCAGGTTACCTCGGAAGTCAGATGTCGGAGCTGAAAATGACATCACACACAAGTTCCCAGTGTTTCAGTTACCAAGTCGGAAAAAAGCAAAATTGGAGGCCTGAAACAAGATGGCTACTTCTACGAAAGTTATTTTAGCGCTTGGCTTGTCCGAACATAAGGCAAGCGCTAAAATAACTTTCGTAGATGTAGCCATTTTGTTTCAGGCCTCCGATTTTCCTTGGGTGTGACATAATTTTCAGCTCCGACATCTGACTTCTGAGGTAACTCAAGCATAACTGTTGGATCTGAATCGTTAAAAAGGCTCCACAGGCTCTACCGGTGATCAGGTTCAGCTGTACCTCTCTCATAGAGTGTGAGACAGGCGTCGTCATAGCTACACTCCCGTTGCTTGGTGCAGCTGGCGGTGTAGTCCTTACAGCTGTAACAGCGGATGGCCGATCCTGGGGAAAAAAAAAAAAAAAATAGCAAAGCTTACAATGCTAACCAAGATGCTAATGACAATGCTAATGAACATCATGACAGTTAAGCTAGCAATGAGTTATTGATTTCATCAGTTTTCTTCATCAGTGAAATCTATTTCATAAAGCTGTTAGCTTTAGCCTATGCAAGCTGTTAGCCTTAGCTTCCTCGAGCTCGTAGCAGTAAAGACTTTAAACATTTTTGGGAATTATGATTTTTTTTCTTTGTCAACACCAGAAACTAAAAGTTTGAGCTGAAAAAAAATATATATATAATTTATGTTTAAAGACCTGAACTCAAACCTGGGAGCAAAAATTGAATTTAAAATACATTGTTGAGTTTTTTTAAAATCATTAAACGTTATTACTCGACTCAGTTAGACTTTATTCATACATACCAGCACACGGCCCAAAGAGCTCCACAAAAGAACAGACAGACAGATAATAACAGCAGGGGGTAAAATAATAAAAAACAAGAACAAGAAGACAAAAACCCTTCAAAATAAAATAAAAATCAACAAAATAAAATTAAAGAATTATTTTAGATTTTATTAAACGTAATTTAAAATGAGTATTTTCCTTACAGATGACCCATAAATGCATAAAACACTGATTATTTGTTGGAATAAATCATAAATCTGGGATTATTCCAAAGTGTTTTAGATTTTTAAAATAAGGAATTATTTTTATTTAAATTTTTAAAAACAAATAAAGACTAAATTCTTCTTTTTCCAAACATACCGAGACCGATGAGCGCCGAGCCGATCAGCAGACAGACGAGCAGGGAGCGCTTCATTTTCACCTCAGATCAGCTGCAGACACACTGAGCAGGGTGGAGACAAACACATCTTTAGTACTGTGTGTAGTACTGTGTGTAGTAAAACTGTTGTATGTAGTTCTGTGTGTGGTCAGTACTCACCCTGTGTAGTTGTGATGGTGTCACCGCAGGTCTTAGTCCTGATGATGTTGAGAAGATGAGGGCGAGTGGGGACTGACTGTGACTGACAGCTGAGTGCAGCCCAGGGGCCCCGCCCACTGGGGGAGGAGCTTATCTACAGCTGATGAAGAGTTTCTTTGTTTTCGGTGTTTGATGAGATCTGACACCAAGACAGAAAGTCCTCATTATAAATCAGTAAAGTGTCTGATCGTTTTGTCTTATCAACTAAAGTTCGATTGATGGGTTATAGGAAATGTGGTTTACAAGTTCATTCTCCTCATTGGAAAAACGAAACTTCAAAGTTGGTGGTTGACATGCTAATGGTGCGTTCGAGTGACCTTGGAAGTCAGACATCGAAGCTGATAATGACGAAGGAAGTCAGAGAGACGAGAAATCAGAGGCCTGAAACAAGATGGCTACATCTAAGAAAGTTATTTTGGCGCTTGCCTTATATTCGGACAAGGTTGGTGGTTGACATGCTAATGGTGTGTTCAAGTTACCTCGGAAGTCAGACATCGGAGCTGAAAATGACGTCACACCCGAGTTACCAGTGTTACAGTTGCCAAGTGTCAAAAAAGCTAAATCGGAGGCCTAAAACAAGACGGCTAGATCTACGAAAGTTATTTTAGCGCTTGCCTTGTCCGAATACAAGGCAAGCGCTAAATAACAAAAATTACTCGATTTCGTTTTTTCCGACTTGGTAACTGAAACGCTGGAAACTCGGGTGTAACGTCATTTTCACCTTGGACTTCTGACTTTTGATGTAACTCAAACGCAGCATCTCATTAGCTGCGAGTCCCGCAGAACTTCTACCTCAGACCTCGTTTTCTATTTCTAGAGACTAATCGGCCAATCAGAGAGCAAGAGCATCTGATGTCATGAGAAGAGACGGCTCGTCTCATGGTCACGTGACGATGACAGAGCGTGTGTGTCCACGTTTATCTCGGTGCAGAAGAAGGTCGAGCTTGAGTGTGTGTCCTCAAACCACCCGGACACAAAGAGAGTCCACAAACGCACAATCAGCTTCAGTCTGAGACAAACAAAGAACACAAACACACACACTCACACCAACACACACAGTCAGCGGGCAGGACAACAGGCGCATTCAGACGCCATCATCAGACTGCCATCGCCAACAATCACTTCAATCACACAGCAACACCACACAGCAAGGTCATCTAAAGACGCACAAACACACACACACAGGAAAAAAAACACACAAAGACAGCAAACCAACAAACAACATCCAAACACAACCCAAAAAAGTCCCACAAACAGAATCTGATGTTTTGTTCTCCTTCTATTTTAACAGTTCTACCTGTGTGTTTTACAGTGTGTAACGCTGGCTGCTGATTGGTCCTCAGACAGCAGGTGAGCAGGCTGACAGGTGAGACAGTATAGAGCTTCATTCATAATTCATCAGCTTCACCTTCACTCCTCAACACTCATCTGTCTCTGCCGAACAACACTCGCCTGTCTCGTCTGATTAAACATCGTTCGATCTTTTACCTGTTGGGGAATTTTTTTATCCTGATGGTCCAGACAGGTGAGTTTACCGACCTCCTTTTCTTCTTCTTCTGTCACCTTTTCTTTGGAGTCATAGTTCATGAGTTTGTGTCTCGTCTTTTTATGTTTTTCAACAGATCACCTGAGATTCAGCATGAACCTGGACAGCATCGGTACTCTCTCTCTCTCTGTCTTCACCTGTCTCTCTCTTCCTCTCTAAATAATTTTATTTTGTTTCAGAGGCTCTGAATGAGATCCGTCCGTCCGTCTACAGAACGTCTATGAAGCTTCTGTCTCTACAGAAACTCTGCGGCTGTGAGTAACACTCTGAAAATTCCTATTTTAAAATTACATTAAAGTAGGGCTGGGTGATAAAACGATAATGATATATATCGAAAATCAATTTCCCAGCTCTACATTAAAGTATTTTTGGAAATCACAGACGAGGCAACAACGATTTATAACCATCAAAGTTTAGCGTGTTTTTGTTTTTCAGTGGATGCCGTCTGCATTGAACATATCGCAGCGGCCGTCCGGTCAGCGGGCGGGGCAAACTACCAACAGGAAATGAAGCTCAACAGACGGGAAGTGACCCAAGTCCTGAACAGGATGTTTCAGTTATCATCGCAGGAAGTGGCAGGTCATGTGACCCTGGCAGCTCCCAAGGAAACATGCAGCCTGATGTTTAATCTCTACGACCGCCGAGAGTCTGTCACAGTATATGTACACACAGTATACACTTTAGTACACAACACTGGGAGTGTGTTATTGTAAATGTGTGTGTGTGTGTGTGTGTGTGCGTGTTTCAGCGGTCAGGACGGTTTTGTTTCTGCTGTTTCTCTTCAAACTGCTCTGATCGCTCTGTGTGCCGACACACTGATCAACAAGTACAGAGGTAAACATACCCGTCCACCTGTCCATCTGTCTCCTGACTTTCAGAATAAAAGCACATATATTTCCTGTTCCTTTCAGAATAAAACTTCTCTTCTCATCTCTCCTCTCGTTGCAGCTCTGGTGAGAGTTGCAGAGAACGGTTCCGGATCGGTCAGCAGATCTGGACTCAGGTGTTTACTGCAAGGCTTAAACCAGGTAGACCAAGTTAGACTACATTTCCCAGCATGCCCCTCTCCACCTGCTCACTGATGCCAGTGTGTGTGTGTGTTCAGGTTCCGTCGGCGGTGCAGGAAGAAGGAGTTTTCGGCGAGGTGGAGACGGCGGTGAGGTCGTGTTTCAAAGGGGTGAGAAACCATCAGAAGCATGCGATTGGTTGTTGTCATGGAAACGCACTAACCCTGTGTGTTTGACAGGTGTTGACCCCTGCTGTAGGTGAGGAACACCTGCTGTCGTGGCTGCAGAGCGAGCCTCACCTGTTGCTATGGTTACCGACTCTTTACCGTCTGTGCGTGAGCCAGAATGTCAGTCACGCCGTCCACTGTTACACCTGCAAGACCTTCCCCATCACCGGCCTCAGGTCACCACCTGCCAGCCAATCAGAACACTCCAATCAGACTCTCTTAAAATAACCAGGTGTTGTCATTTTGTGTGCGTGTGTGTGTGTGCGTTCAGGTTTCGCTGTATGAAGTGTGTGAACGTCCACGTGTGTCAGAGCTGTTTCCTAACGGACCGTGAGAGGAAGAAACACAAAACTCGCCATCCGGTCCTCGAGTTCTGCACACAGGTGACAACACACACACACACACACACACACACACACACACACACACGCACACACACACACACACACACACACACACATAAAGTCCTCCAGGTACACCTCGTTTATTTAAAATCACTCTTTGTTTGTTCATCAGCCCACCTGGAGAGAATCTTGGTCATCGTTAGTCAACAACGCTCGTTGTACCCTGTTGCCACGGCGATACACCTATAGAGAGTCAGACAGGAGCCGGGCTCTAATGTGGGCGGAGCCAGGAGAGACTCTCAACAGGTGGGTCAAATATCGTCACTAGATAAGCTGTCACACCTGCACTCTATTTTAACTCAAGACCGCCCCTTTTTGTTGTCAGAGCTCCGCCCCCTTCTGATGCCTCAACATTATTGGCTGCCTCAGCCACCAGTCACAGTCTGTCCTCGAGCAGAGATGTTTCCCATGATGCCTTACTGCATAGTCCATCCTGCTCATTTTCGTCGAAAGCTCTGCAGACTGACGATGAGGCCGAGCAGGTAAGATGAAGACCTCGCCGTTCAGATACTTTAACGCCAAATACAAACCAAACAAGGTCATTGATCAACATTATCATTATTGTTCTGATCAGGAGGAGGCGACAGCTCTGCACACTGAAGTCAAAAACCTGCAGAGAGACAAATGGTGAGAATCCAGATTCAACCAATCAGAGAGCGCTCGGTAGACACGCCTCACAACCATCAACTTCTTCCTCTTCTTCTTTGTTGGTCTCAGGCTGTTGGAGAAGCAGCTCCAAGCCTGGAAGCTCACCATCCAATCAGACCACAGCATCCTGGAGGACAGGTGTGCTCACATGGAGGTTACCGTGGAAACGCTGAGAGAACATAACCTTCGCCTGCAGGGCATGCTCACACAGGTAAACACTCACATACAGTCGTGGCCAAAATTATTTACCCCCCCCTTGCTGTAGTTTGTAACAAGGATCTGGAACATCTCCTGAGGAATCCCAGCCCATTCGTCGTCATCGTTTTCTTCCACTTATCCGGGTCCGGGTCGCGGGGGTGCAGGTCCAGGAGGGAAGCCCAGGCGGCCATCAACCCAGCCACTTCCACCAGCTCTTCCGAGAGGGATTCCCAGGTACTCCCAGGCCAGGCGGGAGATATAATCCCTCCACCTGATCATGGGCTGGCCACAAGGTCTCCTCCCGGTTGGACATGTCTGGAACACCTCTAACGGGAGGCGTCCAGAAGGTCTCCTAACCAGATACCCAAACCACCTCAGCTGACTCCTCTCAACGTGGAGGAGCAGCGGTTCTACTCTGAGCACCTTCCAAGTGTCTGAGCTCCTTACCCTATCTCTAAAGCCGTGTTCAGACCAAACGCGACCTCGGCGACGTGAGCAACGACTCCCAATGCAAAGTCTATGGACAGCCGCGACCTGACGCAACTTGGCGACCGCCGGCTGCCAGTTTTCTTTGCAACTTCTTTTCTTTGAAATTCTTCACTTCCTACCTCTCCCAGACTTGTTCTGTACTGTGTGGCTCTCCTTGAATTTCTTGATGATACTTCTAGACACTTGGAAACGCTGTATTACCTTTTCCTGCTTTGTGAGCACCAACAATTCTTTTGTTTTTGTCATGATGCCTTCTCAAGTGAAGCTTAAACGTGTAACAAGGTTTTTATACAGTATGTAAAGTGAAGGACAACCCTTTGTTTTAACTTAACTGATTGATTGATTACAAGCTGTGAGCACTCAAAGGTGAAAGCACATGATTACACAACAGTGGTTTTTGTTTTGGCTCAATAAAAACACAGATTCTTAAGGGGGCTAATAATTTTCGGCTACAACTGTACGCCCAAACCTGCACCTGGACTTTCACCTTCCACTCTGTGGGTCTGGGACACCTGTCGAGTATATTTGCATGCCTGAAATGTTGTCGTCATGAAACAACCCTAAAGTTCAAACCTCTCAGGCGAACAGTTAGCAGTGAAATGGACTTACGAGGCAAAGAGGATCTTAAAGAGCTCCCAAGTGGGTCTGGTGTCAGATTCTCAAGCAGTCATCAAACGGAGCCGTTCAGGAACTTGAAACACATGTCAGGATTTATGCCAACATCCGTTTATCTTCATATGAATCATTCTTTCTCAGGCTCTGGACAAGATGGAGGCTCAACAGCAGGCTAACCCCTCACCAGGTGGTGTTGTAACTCCCCAGAGCATCAATGCAGAGGAGGAAGAGGAGGAGGAGGAAGAGGAGTTGCTTGGAGGGGAAGTTGGGTGGATGGAAGATGAACAACCAACTCCATCTCCCACAATGCATCAGGTAACACCCCAAGAGGTGGAGTCTGAGGATGAGCTGTCCCTCAGCCCTTCAGCGGAAACGCTAAAGAGAAGGGAGGGGGTGGAGTCTGATGAAGAAGAGGATTGTGGGTTCTGTAGTGCAGAGGAACAGCTGCAGGAGATTGTGGAGTCACTGAGGACCATGATGAAGACAGACAGGGGCAGAGCGAGGCAGACAGGTGAGGTTGAGGTGTGGTGGTTACTATGGTTACCAAGGATGCTGTTTGTATGTGGAAAAAAATAACCTGTTATTGTGTCCAGGTGAGAGGAAGAGGGCGGAGCTTCTCAAGGTTTCAGTCCAGGTGGGCGATTCCATACGCCACCTGGTGGGCGCCGTGAGAACAAACGGTGATGGACATTGATGAGAGGACACCTGTTCAGGTTATAAAAGTTTTATTGATACAGTAATAACATGTAAAGGTATAAAAGAGTCAACCAGAGCGATCAGAAACGATAACAGCACCAAAGGCCTCCTCACCTGGCCGACAGGTGTGTAACACCAACGTTAGAATAATAAACTCATGTCATCAAAATCAAGGTTCACTCCCTGTTTGTGAGCACATGACCGCCGTTAAAGACTTTTCTTTATAACAAACGATTAAAAAAGGTAAAAAAAACAAACTAAACGTTTGTATAAATTTAATTTTCCATAAAACTGAAATTTTCTTTTTCTTCAGAAAAAAACGAGAAAACTGTTTAAATTAAAATACAAATGTACCGTAAATATGAAACTTTGTATTTTCATTAAACACAAACATGAACTCACTGGAACATTGATTAGGTGTTTTATTGATTACTTAGAGGAGGTCAAAGGTCATCCAGCAGCCTCAATCATTAACCAATTATTTTAATCGATCCCCTTAATTTAATTTCATCAGATTTATTAATTTGATTAAGATTTAATGAAATAATCAGGTGAAGTCCTGACACAGGTTTTTATTGGAGGATCTCACCTGGACAGGTATTCTGCTACTTAAAGGTGTCATCTACCTGAACAGGTAAACCGCTACCTTCTACTCCTCTCTAAACCCCGCCCCCTACGGCCCCTCCCCTTCTGGCTGGGAGGAGGCTGGGTGGGTCCAGCCCGCCGTAGGCCTTCTCTTCGAGGATGAGGGGGCGTGGCCTGTACCCTGGCTCTCTTTTTGGAAGTTTGGAGGCGTGTCCTGTTCCTCCTGCCCCCCCTTCCTCGCTCTGATAAGCTTTGAGGTGAAGAGGACGGGGCTAGAGATGTCCTGCTCTGTCCCCTGACTGGGTCCTGTTTGTCTGACTGTGTTGAATCCCTACTGAGCGCGCTCAGACGGGAGCTGTGCGTGTGGCTGATGTCCGAGAGTCTCTGACCTTTGGCCCTGGAGGACCCTGCGTCCGCCTCATCTGACGGCCTGTCGGTGTTCAGGTCTGGACTCAGACTCCTGAACAGCTGACGGACACAGGGTGGCGGATGGCTGGAGGAGGCGGAGCCTCTGTGCCGTAGAAAGCCTTTTGGGGGATTTTTCAAAATTCGGTTGCTGACCGGGTCGTAAAACTTGACAGGAAACCGTTTGTATTTGACCTTTGACCTCTGTAAGTCCAGCGGGCGCTTCTTCTTCCTGCAGCGTTTGGAAGCAGACTCTGGCACAGGTGTGTCTGTGGGGGCGGGGCCTGAGGGGGAACAGAGCAGGTACACCACAGAGGTGCGCGGCTGCAGCGGTGTGACAATGCTAGAGTATGACGAGGGGAGACAGCGCCACGTCTGCGCCTCCGGAGTCCTCTCTGTTGCGTCCTGATTGGCTGCAGGAGTAATGGGGGGGAGGTCCTCGGAGACTGGCTGACGCACAGCTGGGACGACCAATCTGATCGTCTGAGTGCCATGACTCACTTTAACCACCTGAGAGAACAAGAACAGGTAAACGAGACAATGTTTACAATTTATTAAGTTGTACAGGTTCAACTCATCCTACCTGACACCTGGACGCCACCCTGAAGCCCCTCCCCTTCCTCCTCCTCCTCCTCCTAAGGTACACTGAATCCTCTTCATCGTGGTCCAATAAGGGCAGGATGTCCATGTGTGGCGCTGTGTCCTTCGTTTCATCAGCTCCTTCCTTTTTTCGACTCCTCCTACCATACCTGACAGTGATGACATCATCAACAGATCAAAAAAGGGGGAGGTCATTTTACACCGATAATTACATTCACCTGAGAATCTCATTATGACTAATATCAGACGGTACATAAACATGCTGAAATTACATCATGCAGAACAGGTGTGTATTTCATATGAACAGGTACAGGTGTGAAAAATCTCGTGTCTACTTGTATGTGTTTTACCTGGCCAGAGACTCGCTGTCAAAGTAGCAGACGAATTTCTCGCCTCTAAACTGACGCACCAGCCGATCCACCTTGTCCTCGTCCTCCAGTTCTACCTGGGCCCAGGTCTTCCCCTTGAAGGATTCTGGGATATGTTGCGGCACCGGAAGGATCTCGTCTATCGGCAGAGTCAGGAAGCCCTGGTCTTGTTTGGCCCCGCCCCCTTTTTTTCCATCCTGGAGAGCGGAGTCAAGCTGATAGGAATACACCTGGTCCTCGAGTTCAACCTGAACATCCATTAGACGGCTCAGGTCCCGCCCCTTTGTCTGGCTCACCTGGACAGGTGTGTGTGGGGGTCGTGTGATGCTCTCTGTCAGGCCTCGCTGGAATGACAAGTTTTCTACCTTCAATATCATGTTTCAATGAATCTGAGGCACAGGTACTGTAAGTCACTGAATCTGACCTGTACAGGTGAGTCCCAGTCATCACTCTGTGTTTCAGCAGAGAGGGGGATGCTGAGGTGAAAGCTCTCCGCCTCCTCCTGCTGGCGGGGAGTGGAAGTGACACCATAACAACACATCTGGATCACCTGAAGGGAACATGACACAAGAGTTACATCATATCTGCAGAAGTTTCTCACCTGAGGATAAACACGAGTGAATACTTTTAAACTAATGACTCATTAAACTCGTTAACTGTTTGATCTTTTTACTGACGAATCAGACGAACCTCTTCGATGGTCCGGTCCATGGGGTCACTGTGGTCCGAGGAGAACGCCTCCTCTTTCAGCGCCTCCCTCCTCTCCTTCTGCCAGCTCGCCCACGGCCGGAGCCCTGAAGGGGGTCCAGGTCCGGTGCCCAAGCCCAGAAATACAGAAGGCTTCATCTTAGAGGGGGGGCCTGGGTCTGGACAGGAGGCAGAGGGTCCTAACTCTTGGGGGGGCAAAGGGGCAGGGCCTGAGACCCTGTGGGGGGGTGAGGAAGAGGAAGAGTTGCTCGTTTTCCTTCTGTTTGTCTTTCTGTGAGCCTTCCTGTGGAGGGGGGGTGGGGCCTGAGTAATTGAGGGCGGGGTCTGTGTAGGTAGAGTTCCTTCTTCTTTCTGCTCCCTGATTGGTGCAGACTGCCGCTCCTCACCTGCTCCCTTAGAGATTCTCTCTCCTGATTGGCTGTGGGAGGAGGTGTCGTCCTGCTGATTGGTCGGTTCGTGCGAGACGTCAGAGCTGGGCAGGCGTTCTCTCGTTCCCTGCGACTGACTGTCCTTATCGGAGAAACAGAGTTCATCAAGCTCCTCCCTCGGCAACAGAGGGGCGGAGACTGAGGGGAGGTCGGCGTGAGACGGCCTGATGGAGACACACACATGCTGAGATCGCATACACACAGGTGCGTTCACCTCTGACCAGGTAACAGACGTGTCTGTTAAAGGTACCTGGGGTCTTTGTAGCGGTGTGGGTGGTGCTCCAGGACGTCCTGCAGGAAGCGCTCCAGCAGGGTTAGCTTGGTTCTGCTGCTGCTGGCGGAGGAGACGGTGCTGGATCCTCTGGAGGAGGCGCGGACAGAATCCAGGTGTCGAAGACTGGACAGGTGCTGAGAGGAGGAGGAGGATGACGTCAAGTTTTCCATGACTCTAATTGGTCAGCTCAGTCACATGATTATGAGACAGGTTCAGGTTTGTTATGAGTACCTGGTCCAGGTTTCTGTAGAGAACTCTGCAGTATCCACAGTAACCCTGTCTGCTTGGCTGACACCTGGAGGGACCTGGCTGAGGCTCCGCCCCCATCCTGCAAGAATTTGGGGTGTCGAATTTAAGATCTACTGAGCAACTCTGGGAAAAATTTCGTCTGTGTTTCTTATGTCAGGAGGAAAATAAACTCACCTGATGTTCGGCTCCACCTTTCTCTGGTCAGCTGAGACACAAATAGAAACAGAAACAGTGAAGTTAGTCGAATCAAAGACTAAACATACGCTAACTAAAATCAATTTCAGGTCTTTTGGTCACATGAAATAGAAGCTATTAAAGAAAATGTTCAAAATTTGCCTTTAAATTTAACATAATAATGTTACAGCCCGCGCTCGACTTGATCAGGTGATGATGTTATCAGCTTTTCTCGCAAATCAGAGGTGAGGGAGGTGGGACCTTCCCCAACCATCCTAAGAAAAATACATCACTCCCCCGTTACGGAGAGACAACGGTAAATCTGCAGTGAATGTCCGTTGAATATCCAACCCAAAACTAACTTCACTGCAGTATGTACATGAAAACACATTTGTTGCCTCAGCTGATTTTTTTTTTATGCGCATGTGACCCTAAATACATTTTACAATTCACACACATCTATATTTACTCACAAATGCGAGTGAAATGGTCGAGCCCTGTAAGGTGTTTGAGTGTTTACCTTTATCAGAGAAGTGAGACATCCTGCTGCTGCCTGAAGATCTGAAACGATATATTTATATGAAACACATCTCATTTATCTGGTCTCATTAATGCATGAAACTGTTACAACATCTGGATTGTTTTTGTCACTGACATCCACATTTAAAGACATTGAATCATCCTCTGACCATATAGTGTGTTCATATGGGTCGAGTCCAGCAATGACCACAATTTTACTTAAGTAACGCTCTCTTTCTTCATGGTTCAGCTTGTCCCTGTACGGTTTGTTGAGTCCAAGTTTTGCTCTCTCCATTCTGTTCTCCGTTACTGTGTAGTCAGCTAATTAATAGTACATAAATCAATGTCATCCTACTTTCATTCATTCCAATGCGCTTAGTGTTGTGTCTGTCAAAATGGCCACACTGGCACATAATGCACCACGCCCCTGTGTTGACATCGGCGCTGCTACACTTTGTTGTGGAAAGGACCCTGAGTCTTCACCAGGGAAGACTTATATGAAGCAGTAATGGGTGGAAAACAAACTAAGTTTACAGTATATATAAATATAAATATATATATATATATAAATATAGTTGTGTTTGTATGTATATATTAGGAAGTTTTTGTTGATGAATACCTAATTTCAGTTATTTGCTGCATTTTTATATGGTCCCCTGCACAGTTAAAAATAAAAGAAAACTACTTAAATTTGCTGTTTTGTCCTATTTTGATGATAAGTACTTTTTCTTGGGTGTATTATTTCAGGTAAAAATCACCCTGCGTTACTAATTTTAGCGATAGTGTTCTCAGGTTAAAGACATAAATGATGTAAACACCCACCTGGAGGAGGCGTGGTCAGTGAATCATCTGTCCAATCCAAGAGTTCCATGCTGTAACCAGCAGTAACCAGGTGAGAGTGTCAGGTGTAGTTTCCATGAGCCTGAAAATGAAAAATCATGAAGTTTGAGCAGAAATAAAATCTAACTAAACTGAGATAACAAAGTGATAAAAGTTAAATATTCTCATTAAATTCATAATTTTATTACATTGTTGTTCTTTTATAATGATGGAAACACTTTTAATTGAATTAAAAATCACTGATTTTAATAGTTTGTCGTTCATATATAATCAATAACGCTGGAAAGACTTTGACCAATCAGAGCGCAGCCCGGACTCTCCGCTGCGCTCTGATTGGCTGCCAGTGTCAGGCTAACAGCTACAGAACAGTCCGGTTCGGTTTAAACCCGGTTCACGAGGCAGCATTTGTCCCGGGTCGAACCGGACTTCACGTAACCATGGCAGCCGCCGCAATGACGAAACCCGTCATGACGTGGCGACGGTGTCACACGAGCTTGTGGGCGTTAGCAGCCGGCTAGCTGCTAGCATGCTGTGAGCTTTGCCAGCCGAGCGGTTGTCCTACACCGCAGCTGATTGGCTGTTCAGGTGACAGACGCGGGTAATAATTAATCGACAATTGATTCGATTGATTACCTGCAGCTGCTTGTTCGCTGTTGTTTACTTTCACGGGTTAAAGCTTTCTTCCGTCGCGCGCTTCTCTGCCGAGCTGTTTAGTTTCCGGTTGGGCTCTTCTTCTACGGTGGAATTCCGGCAGGGCGGGAAAAAGGACACCACTGATGCTGCATATAACAGGTTGGAAAAGGTACTGCACCCATATGTCCTCCAGATTCAAAGGGTCTGCATTTATTTTAAATGAAAAACCTGAGTCTATCACCTTTATTTACAGGTGTTTACGGTGATTTAAACAAACAAAACAGAAGGAAGGAAGAGGGTTTGTTATACCCCTGATGTCAGACTTGCAGGTTTTTAACCATGTAACAAAATAAAACAGAAATCTGTTGATGCTCAAGTGCTTTTATTGTGTTGTTTCAGATCTTGTTGAAAGCAGCGACGTCCATCGACTGGACGAAGTCCTCAAAGGCTGTGATTTGCTCCTCCAGGATGTCTGTGCCCACCTTTACACACAGGTAACAAAACACACATGAGGTCAGTGTGATCCAACAGGTAACAGAAGGTGCTACAGGTGAAGGATCTGAAGGTTCTCACCTTGTCGTCTTCTACCACACAGCCGATCTGGAGTTTCTTGATGCCGTAACCGACCGGGACGAGCTTGGCTGCAGAAAGACAAATCAGAAACTCTGATTAGTCAAGATTAAATCACGCTATATTGTGTAAAGGTACCATAAACAAGTAGAAGGTTGGATTATGTTTGGACTCCTTAAAATACTAAAACTAAATCTTGATTGCCTGTGAATGGTGTTCAGTACCAAGCTAAACGGATTAATAAATCTAATTTTACTACATTTATTTAGAGTAAATCTGCAGTTTCAGATCAAAAAGTGTCATCTCTTCTTCAGCCGAAAGATGGTGATTTGAGGATCATCATTAAATCTGCAGAATCTCACCTCACTACTCAATTTTGATGACCAATAATCGGTTTTATTATTTTTAGTATTTATGTAGCACTCTGAAGTATTCTTACACTGTCCCCACACAAGCCCATCCATCTGAATACTACGGACACACTCCTCCAGTTTCCCCATGTCCGTCTCATCGTCCCACGGCTTCACGTCCAACAGGATTGACGACTTGGCGATGAGGGCGGGCTCTAAAGAAAGAGGGTGGAGTCAGTTACCGAGGATACCACTGCTTACTCAGATATGTCCAATTTAAGGTCGAAGACTCTCTCAGGTAAATCAAAAAGGTGTCCATCAGGCAGTCAGCCGAAAGATGGTGATTGGTTGATCATCATGAAGAGTCGGCCAATCAGGATGCTCATAACCAACATAACAGAGTAGTTATCGAATCGCTTTCAAGTGAGGTCATGTGATCAAACGTACTCTTTGCTTTTTTTGCAGCATACTCTGCCAGGCGCTCCTCCTTCAGTCTTGCCGCCTCCTCGTCTTCCTACCAGACAAGAATAAGGGACAGATTAACACTCAGCCAATGGAGGGGGAGGTCACACAAAAATGACGACATCACTGTGACATCACCTCATCGTCTGAGCCGAACAGGTCCATGTCGTCATCGTCGTCATCATCATCTTTTGAGGCGGGAGCGGGGCGGGAGGTGGCGTCTGCCACACCTGCTGGGCCGTACTGACCCAGAGGCTTCTTCACACCTGGAAGACTGAACGCAGAAAGAGGCGGGGCTTACACGACTGATGTCACAGACCTGTACGCTTGCGCCCTGCTGACATCCTCAGCCTCACCTGCTCTTCTGGCTCTGGTACGACTTGATGTGGTTGTACCAGCGGAGAGCATGGCACAGGTCGGATGAAGGCGGCGATGAGATCGCATCGAAGACTGCAACATCAGCCTGGGAGGGGACATACCTGTAGAGAGGAAACACCTGAAAATTAACAACAGTGTACCTGGTAGTGGTGGTGGGGATGACAGGTGTGAGCTGCATCCCTGGTTGTTAGTTGAATGATAGCGTTCATTTTGTTTGAATAAAATATCAGGGCTGCCAAGTTAAAGTTAAAGTTATTTTAGCGCATGCCTTGTCCGAATATAAGGCAAGCGCTATAATTCCTTTAGTAGATGGAGCCGTCTTGTTTCAGGCCTCCAATTTTGCTTTTGACCGACCTGAAAACTCAGGTGTGGCATCATTTTCAGCTCAGCATTAGGCACAAAGGGCTGATGGATTGGTTATCTTGGTCAGTCAATCAGAGTTACTCGAACTACAGCAAGCCAAGTTTATTATTATGAAAAATATAAATATAGAGTATTGAATATTGAAAAATAAGCGTGAGAAATGTCAAGTGTGGCATGTGGCGTGAGAATGGGTCAAATTGCGTGACTGTGACACTCAAAGTGTGACGCTTGGCAGCTCTGAAATATTTATACTTTTTAACAGTTTTATTGTTTAATTTCTGAGAAACCCAAGGAAAATTAGTTAAAATGACAAAATACTCAAACTTAGTTTAAGGAACAATCATTGATTATCAATGTTTCACACTCAAAGCCCTCATCTGCTAATAAAATATTATTTAAAAAAAAAGTGTTTAATTCGTAAATCCTACTGCAGCTAAATGAGACTGATTTTTTTTAAGAAAAGAAGTTAGTTTTAATTTTGATCACTCAGACTTTCAATTGCCACATGGTCAAAGTTAGCACACCAGCACCACGTGACTTCCCACAACCTGCTCACAATAAACTTGAAAAGAATAATAAACCTTAAGAAGCACATCTGAAGCAGCCAAGTATCCGTTTACAGCTTTACAGACTGATATACGCTTAGTTTTTGGCTTTATGGATTCATTTCTACTTGTAACGTCTTTGCTAACACCAGTTAGCTCAGCACGGAGCCAAGATGGCGGCTGCCAGTTTCTCTCCACAGGCCGGAGATTCAGTGTAACCGACTTTCGCGCCGTTAATTCGGTCAACACGGTCAATAACCGACTCACCCCTCAATGTAGCTGCGCTCCGCCAAAAACTCATTCAAGACTTTGAGTCCGGAGGGGGATTTCAGGTCACCGAAGCCCATGTTGAGGATGTAGAACCGGCAAGGTGGACAGAGAAAGAGCTACCGGAGGAGCGGGGAAGAAGGAGGAAGAGGCGGGGAAGGTCAGATTTATACCCGGAGACAGGCCCCTCCTCGCCGGGCACCGCTCCTCCTCCTGCCCGCTGCTCCGGAGGTCAGATCACCCTTACAGGAAAATTAGCATTTCACAAATCAGTGGTTCTCAACTGGTCTCACTCTGGGACCCACATTTTCCCACTTTTATAAAATTCAAACCAAGCTAATTTAGTCATGAAAAAAAACTGTAATGACTCTAATCTTTGAGATAAATACACCGTTTTTATTGAGTAAAGTGCATTTCAGAGCACATGAACCGAGTATACAGAAAATATCAAATGTCAAATTGCACACAATGGTACGATGGAGTATTACAGCCACATTAAGACATTTTTTTTAAGACTTCATAATTACTCATGAGAATAAAGCCGTAATAAAATCCTGACTTACAAGAATAAAGTCGTAATAAAACAATTACTAACGAGAATAAAGGGGTAATAAAATCCTTACTTTTGAGAATAAAGTCGCAATAAAGTAACTACTAACGAGAATAAAGTTGTAGTCAAATAATTACTTCTGAGAATAAAGCCATAATAAAATCATTACTTACAAGAATAAAGTCGTCGTAATAATAATTATAAGGGGGTCGTAATAAAATCATTACTTTTGAGACTAAAATCATAATAAATCATTATTTACGAGAATAAAGTCGTAGCTAATATTCTAACCTTTTGTTGGTTGTTTAAATGAGCGCTGTGGAGCATTTAGATGAACTGAACTTCAGTAGCTTGGTTTTACAAACAAGGAGATACTAAATCCTTCGGCGTTTCAGCATCACATTGTCAGAAGTATCAGGACGTATGCAAGAAATTCATCTTTTCTGCAGAGAGAACCATGGACTCATAAATAATGATTTTACTACGACTTTAATCTCGAAGTCTTGATTTTTTTGTTCTTAATGTGGCCCTAACACTCCGTCGTAGAATGGAGACCAGCAAAATGAAAAATTTTACCTTTTTGCATTTCTGCATTCAGAGCATATTCAGAAGAACCTGAGGAGGACCATGGAACAGCATGGACAAAGGTGAATAAACATCAAACTGCATAAAATAAAGACTATTAAAAAAATGTGTAATTTTACTGCATTCAGGCCACATTAATAAGAAACCGAGGAGGACCACGACATAATGCATGCCTTTCAAACGAAGCTTTTAAAAGACATGTCAAACATCAGATATGTATTAAATTAAGTACTGTTTTAGGCTGACGATGTTTTTTCATGTTTAAAATGTTCAATATTGTTCTGACACCTTCACTCGGGCTCATTGCAGCATGTTTTTTCCCCTTCAGCTGATAAAGAGCACCTGTATGCAAAGTGTGTTATGTAACACGTAGGCCTCTGTTAGATAGGTGCATGAAAAGCGACATAAAGAAAGGTGTCTGTAAAGTGTATTTAATCATGTAAATCATCTGATTACAGAATGTTGACTTTGTTTTGGAATTATAGAAAAAAGGACAAACTTCAGCTTTTCTTCTCTGTATCTGAGGGTGTTTTTCTGCTCAATACAAAAATGTGGTTAAACCTGTCACACAGTCACATGACCTGCTCCAATTGGACACTGCACTCTTATTGGCTGCAAGCATGAATGACCCTGAACACACCTGAAAGATGTAAAACAGGTGAGTTTCTGTCTGACTCAGAACTGACAGCAGACTGAGGTACGATGTGAAGTTTGGATTGAAGCAGAAGAAGAAGAAACAGACTCACAACAAAAAGTGAAGAAGCAGAAGGATTCTGACCAGAACCGAGAAGGAGAGCGATGGGTCAGTCTTACAGCGCAGCTCCTCAGGTACACACTTGACACACAGGTCTCCTCCATGTCTCACCTGTCTCTCTCTCTCTTGTAGATTTTAAAATGACTTAAACTCAAAAACAGTCTTTATACCTTTATCTGCATTTTGTCCACACCTTCACCTAGACTCTATACACACCTGTACCTTTACTTAGTATCTACTGTCAGCCTCAATCTGCGTAACCCTCAAACTGAAATTTCAATACAACTTAACCTTGATTTATAGCTTTCTTCTGAATACAAAATAACCTAATTTTTACTTTTATACTGTCTTGTTTTTCCAGAATTCTGTATACACCTTCACCTTTATTCTGTATATACCTTTCCTTTTATTCTGTGTATACCCTATCTTTGTTCTGTGCACCTTTGCCTATTTTGGTAAACTTGCAGTAAGTATATACCATGACTCTTATCCTTTATATATTAGCTTTACCTGCATGAGGGGCACACCCTCAGATTCTCAAGTGTATACCTTATTTAACTTGTGCATACACTATAAACTGCTTTCTTCTTTTATGCTTTTATCTCATAATATTCTTTATCATCTGTACCAGCACTCTGTATACACATTTTTATAGATTATTTACATACCGCTATTCCTACATTATGTATGTACCTTCACCTTTAACTTGTATATACCATCATCTGTCTACAGCAGGATGTGTACACAGACTGTTTGTTGATCCCTGAAGGAAAGTTTGACAAAAACACATTTCGACATCTTACAGTAAATTCAAAACAAGACAAACATGTGATCAGCAGCAGACGTTGAAACTGTGTGTGCTCATTTCTGTGTGTGTGTGTGTGTGTGTGTGTGGTACTTAGGTGATCCTGATGGGTCTGGACTCTGCTGGGAAGTCGACTCTGCTGGCTCGGCTGCTGACAGGGGAGGTGAGACTTCAGAACTGTAATCACAGAAAATATCAGGTCCAGGGGCCTCATTTATCAACCGTGCGCAACGAGTGCATACGAACATTTCCACGCTAAGTCTGGAATTTATCAGCCTGTACTTGTGGGTAAACATGCATAAATTTAAGCACAACTCTGACCATGCTTACACACAAACCCTGGTGGTAGAACGGTGAAACTACAAATAGAACCCATGAATGGAGTCACAGCGTTCAGCAATCTCTGACAATGGATCTGTTAAACGTTATTGCTCTGGAGGAACGCACAAATCATTCATTCTGCAGAGCAGCTCTGTGAGTGTGCACCTCCATGATTTTGGCAATGGGGGAATAAATCCATTCAGGCATTTTTTAAGGGATTGTTGACACCATATATGGTCAATTGGGGGCGTTTCTGAATGCAAACCATGCATGAGCACGGCAGCAAAGAACAGATGGGATTTATCATCACCGATTACTTACGTGTGCGTACAACCGGTGTCCGCATGTTTGATAAATACGATTTTTTTGTACTTTCGCACATTCGAAATTTCATTCCTACGATGGAATGTAGAACCTTTTTTACGCACGGTTGATAAATGAGGCCCCAGGTGTGTTCAGGTGTGCTCAGGTGTGATCTCTGAACGTTCAGGTGATGGAAACTTCTCCAACTATCGGATTCAACGTGGGGACTTTAGATCTGGACAAGAAGACGTCTCTGACTGTGTGGGACGTTGGAGGACAGAAGTGCATGAGGCCCAACTGGAGGTTAGTGCACACTGATCTGAACATGAACCAACAAACCAAAAATCTGGTTCAGGTGGACTCTGACGCTCTGGTTCTCTTACTTTCAGGTACTACCTGGACGACTGTAAGGCTCTGGTGTTCGTGGTGGACAGCAGCGATCGGGCTCGGATGCCGGAGGCCCAGAAGGCGCTGAAAAAAGTTCTGAGTGATGAGAAGTTACGAGGGATCCCTCTGATGGTTCTGGCAAACAAGAAGGACCTGGCGGGCTCCATGACCATCCGAGAGGTAGGACTCAAAGTGACCTTTCAGGAGAATAAAGAGGTTAGATCAGGGAGAGGACGTCTAACTCTGTCCCTCCTCCACAGATTTCCAACCAGCTGGATCTTCAGGCTCACAGCGACCGGCTGTGGGAGGTTCAGGCCTGCAGCGCTCTGAGGGGACTCGGTCTCCAGCAGGCCTTCTTCTCTGTCAACAAACTGATAAAGAAGAGCTGAAGGGACGAGGGGGGAAGGGGCATGAAGGACCGGGGGGTGTAAAATTAATTTAATAAACTTATTAAACTTGTTTTATCTTTAAAAAAACTGATTTGTTGTTCTGACTGATTTATACATATTAATAAGAATTAATCACTGCAGCCAATCACAAAGCACGTAGCTGAATATGCTGATAACAGCCTGATATAACAGCCAATCAGCTGACAGAGGAGTGTCAGTCAGTACGTTTCCATGACACTCGCGAAAACCAAATTATCGCCTTATTCTGATTAAGACTGGACAACTGAAGTGCATGTTAACACCTTAGTCCGACTGTAATCGGAGTTTGAGAACTCTGATTATGACACTCAGATCATGCGACTGGAGTTCGATTCTCTCTACTATGTAACCAGCGTAGTTGGAGAATGATCGGACAAGGCATATGCGAGCGCGCCACACCCCCGCAACCCCAGAACAAAAACCCCAGAGTAGAGGAGTAGCGTTGGTCTCATCTTTAGAAAAAGTAGCGCGTCCATCATGCAGGACAAAAACAACGCTGTACGATGCTCCATCTTCTTGTTTCTCCAAAATGTCCAGCAGCAGTTGTAGACACTTCTGACGTCTGACACCGACCTGCTGTTGTTGTTGACGGTTGTATGGGGTCAGAAACAGCGCAGCTGAAGAGACCCATATCGCCCCCTAGTGTTGGGGAGGAGGACACGTTCACGTCAATAATTCAATTTTCCCAGCTGCATGTATACGAGGACAAGGAGAGAAATCCGATTATGAGCTTAGTCCAATAAAGCAACGCCTGTAAACTTAAGTAAAAAACACATCAAACAGGAAGTGAACTTTGAATCTTCATCGTTTTTATTCACTTCGAGATCAACGCCGCTCATCTTCCTCACTATGTCTTCTTCAAATGTTTGTCTGTTCTGAGTGCGTGCAGACTCCCAAGAGAGAGCCAGGAGTGGACCAGGAGCAGGACCGGGACCAGGACCCAGACTCCGTTGAAGAAGACCAGGTAGACCCAAAGGTGCAGCCAGTTGGACGTGTTCAGGCTGGGGCTTCCCGCCAACCAATCAGGAGCGAAGGTCATCCAGCAGCCATACAGTTCGCACACGCTCAGAGCGATCTGCAGGAGGTGTCTAAAAAAACACAAAAATAGACAAACATACATGTGCAAATATGTAACTCCTCTCAACCCAGAACCACCTGAAGAATGACACGTTAGATTTAGTCGTACCTGTAGTATTGCTGCATTTGAGCTACCTTGGAAGTCAGATGTCGGAGATGAAAATGACGTCACACCCGAGTTACCAGTGTTTCAGTTACCAAGTCGGAAAAAAGCAAAATCGGAGGCCTGAAACAAGATGGCTACATCTACAAAAGTTATTTTAGCGCTTGCCTTATATTCGGACCAGACAAGCGCTAAAATAACTTTCGTAGATGAAGCTATTTTGTTTCCACCACTGATTTTGCTTTGTTTCGTCTAGGTCACTAATATGCTGGTAATTCGGGTGTGACGTCATTTTCATCTTGGACGTGTGAGGAAACGTGAACGCACCATTAACTTGTAGTATTTGTCCTGGAGTTGATATTCATTCGAAGGCGTAATTATCTTTATGAATTCGTCCAAAGTATCTGTTGTATCGTACTTATTTGTATTAGTCATATTTTAACATCAAATGTATTTATTGTGTTGTATTTGTTCAGGTTATCATGATATTTGTCATGAAGTATTACAAATAGTATCTGTCCTACCTGTAGTGTTTATCTCGTAGTACTGCGTGTATGAGCAGTATGCCGAGCAGAGAGTCGAGGACGACGGTCAGAAGCTCGATGGAGACGATCGTCGGATCAGAAATCAGCCACCGACTGTCAGCTTGACCGTACTCCCGCCCTGTGAACAAGGAGGCACAGGTGAAGTCAGACAGGTAGATTTAGAGGTACTGCAGGTATTCAAGTACTGCAGTAAAAGAAACACTCACAAAGTTCAGCCAGTGGACCTTCAGACGTCTCCACTGTCCCCACCAGAGACATGTAAACAAACGGACCCTCCTACACAAACAAAAACACAATCAGAGAAAACGGACCACAGGTAACAAACAGCAAACAAACGCTCCGATTGGACATACCAGCGTCAGGTGGACAATGATGTCATAGAAGAGCCACAGCAGGATCCACCTGTCCACTGGAGAGCTCCGCCCACCAAACCTCCTCATCAGCAGGACAGCTGCTAACACCTGGACGCCACATGCCAACAGGGACAAGAGGGACACGAGCGAGAGGGTGGGGGGCTCTGCTGAGTCCATCAGCTGTCAGAGAAGAAGAAGAAGAAGAAGAAGAAGAAGAAGAAGAAGAAGAAGTAGAAGAAGTAGTCGTAGTGGTAGTTTGCAGCAAGAGAGCTCAGGTTCCCTCTGCTGAAACACTGATAGTCTGAATGAAAATCAGGGCCAGTCTCTGTGACTGTGGAGTGAGGCCAGAAACCCCACTCACGCTCCTCCTATTGGCTCTGAGGATTCTAGGCCTCGCCCTCTAGTGTCTGATTGGCCAACAGAGGTTGACACCCCATTCACTGACTCCCCCCACTTTAAGAAACAGCAGAGTCCACCAAACTCCACCAATAGTATGTGCTTGCAGAGCTGGAGAGCCAAGCAGATCCACAACTGTGACTCTTTTAACCGCTGTTCCACATCCGTTTTTGTGCCCAGAAATTTAATTTAATAAAGAACTTTATACATAAATAAGTGCCCACAGTCACATATTTAGATATTAATCTAGATTTAATTCATTGAATTTTTTTTTTTTTTACTTATAATCACTTTTTTATGTATTGTCTGCCTACCCATAATATTTAGGGTTTATTCTACAAAAATATCAACTTTTATCATCCAAATATCAGAGGGATTGGCCTCGCTTTTATACTCTCTATTCCTTGGTGATGATTTTGACCCCCTGAATGCAATAGGATGTGTCTGCAGAGCCGGATGAATGTGATATTTTGTGTGTTTTTCTTGTATATTTTCACACGCAATCTCATGCACATTATCTGTCATCGCACTTCTGTTTCATTCACTACAATTCTATGGGTCAATAGAATGGGTCGAATTGGGTCAATACGACCTATGGGTCGAATTGTACATTTCCGACTTCCGACAAGCTAATGTTAGCATTAGCTTGACCAAGATTCGATGTGCATTTCGGACTGTCATGGAAAATGGATAGGGAAAATGTTATAAGCGTAGCCTGTCACATTTACATTAATTTCAAATTCAAGACAAGCCGATCAAGCCGATAACTTTCGAGAAAGGAACAGCGTTTAACAGGAGAGTTGTGGATCTGTCATGCAATGACCTACTCTGTCCAGCAGGGTTGTTGATCTGTCACGGTTGTGGATCTGCTTGGCTCTCTGGCTCTGCAGACACCCCCTACTCAACTCCACTGTGAGTTTGACAGGATTTCTATGAAGAGTCTTTGACACGCATCACAGGAGCAGAAACGCCAGACAGAGTCTGTTGATACCAGGAAAACAAACAACCCCGCAGTTTAAATGAAGTGTAAGGAAACATAGAAGTGTGTTAAAAGTGACCTTTATTAAGTTGTGTTCAGGTAATCACACACACACCTGTACGAAAAGCAGTCCAACAGGTATCATGAGTTACACTGGAAATGTTCTTTGGCAGCACAAAGTGTTAAAACATCAAAACGAGTGAAAACACACACACACAAAAAAGACACAAAACAAGTAAACTTTGTTTACATACTGAATGTTCATCATCACAGAAAAGCAACAGGTTTAAATCCCAAATATACCATCAGCTTAAATGTGTGTATACCAGCATAGCCTTTCCATGCTCTTCCATTAGTTTGTTTGTTTTTTGGCGATAAAGGTGCATTTTTACAGTCAAATCAAAGACTTTTTAGTGTTATTGACACGACAATGTTCACAAACTTCACAATAAATACTGGTTACAGTGATTTTAAGTTGAGGTGATGGACGCTGGAAACAGGTTAAAAATGCAGTTAAAAGACATTGCTCCATAATTGCATATACCATCATTAAACTCTGTATAGACCACCAACTTTAGTCTGTGTATACCACCAATTCAAACCTGTATATACCATCTATTTACCATAAAACTCCTTTTATCTTTTTATACAACATATTTTAAGTGTTTATACCATCAGTTTAACTTTGTGTATACCATCAATTTCCCTCTGAATGTAAAACCTATTTGACCATGTGAATACCACCATCCACCACTAGACTTTTTTTTTTTAACAACTTTTATTCAACTGTGTGTTTAGTGCTGAGTATATACCATTAGCCTGAGTTTGTATATACCATCAATTTCACCCTTTTTATACAATCGATTTTATTCCCTACACACCACCTTTTTAACCCTGTGTATACCATCATCAATCCTTCCTATACTCCCCCTTTTTCAAAGTATATATACCATCTAGGACTGTGTGTATATACCATTTGTATATACACTGAAATTTGTATACACAATTTATTTTACTCTGTATCATCAATCTTACTCTATATACCACCTATATCTCCTTGTGTATACAAACAACCATCCCCTTTTTGACTGTGTGTATACCATTGGCTTAACCCTGTACATATCATCAACTCACTCTGTACACACCCCTTCTTAAAGCGTGTGTATACCTTCACTGTGTTGTTGAACATAGGCCTTTTTACGGTTTGGTCAGGTGATCTGATCAGGTAATTACTACCTGTTGTGTTTCTGTGCGGTTAATAAGCGGTGCGATAAAAACAAGAATGGTTATTCAAATGCAAGCAGACAAACTGAAAAAAAAAAACTAAACAGATCAACTTATTGATCACTGGAAATCTAAATCTATCAAACCTTTCAGACGTAGAATGTTGGAACAGCAGATGAATTCACTGAGAGAAGGAATCAAACTTTTGAACGGCCTTCATAAATGGTGGGATTTTAAACGAAACATTGGCAAGAACAACATTATTCGACCTTCAGCGAAACTTGGAATAGTTTTACAAGAACCAAGTTGACGCCAAGTGGGATCTTGGGATGTTCTTTAGAGAGGGTCTTTTGTTCGCATCTTGAGGGTAACCCTTGAAGGAAGAAGGTAAACTTTTGAAGAACACTGTTAAAACCAGAGCTCGATCCTACAGGTGTTATTGTGAACCGATAAGATCGTTAGTAGAACCTCAACAGAAGCAAAAGATTAGAGAACCTCAATAATTTAAGATTAGCATCAGAGGAATGTTGTGTTTGTAGCACCGTGTTAACAGCAGTGAGTTCTCTTTTTGAAGAACCTGCTCAGACGGATGGTCAGGTAAGTTTCTTGTTTCCATTGTTGATCAGCTGATTGTTAGTTTATACCAGTCAGCTGTTTGAAACGACATAAAATAAATGTTAATATGAAAGGTAAACCCCGTGAAAACCACGAATCTCCATTTTTATTTTAGGTTTTTTGGATCAGTCAAAGAATTAAACGCCACAATCCTCCGACTTCATACAAACCTGAACCTAAAGTCCAGAATCAGGTGCCGGGGTTGGTTCCTGAGAGTTCTACACGTGGAGATTCGTGGTTTTCATGGTCAAAGGTGATAATCGGGTAAGAACTCTTAGTGTGTTTGTGTGGAAGTTAATCAATAATACGTGAACAGCTCTGACTTTAAAGGAACAGTTCAACATAAAATCCTCTCAGAAAATTCACAGAATGTTGAAAAGTTCCTTTAAGGTCTGTTCTGTTCTTAGTGAAGTTTAATAAACGAGTGTTTAGGACTCCTCCTCTTTCTCCTCCTCTGCTCCTTTCTCCTCCTGAGGCAGGGTGGAGGACAGAGCGTACTCCTGGCTGACTCCCTCTGACATCACCGAAAGCTCCGCCTCCACCGCTGACAGATCCGCCTCCACAGCTGGCAGCTCCGCCTCCACAGCCGACACCTCTTCCTCAACTTCCTCCTCAACCTGTTTCTCTACCACCTGACTCTCCTCCTCCTCCTCCTCTTCCTCTTTAATCTCCTCCACCTGTTTGCCCTCCTCCTGTTTCTCCTCCTCCTCCTGTGGTTGCTCCTGCTCAGTTGGAGCCAGCTGGGCATGGACCTCGGTGAAGGGGGTGTCCAGGTCAGGGTTGCTCAGCGGGGAGAGCTGGACTTCGGCTTCCAGTGGGACAGAGGTGTCGGGTGGTTGAGAGTCGGAGCTGCTACGAGGCTGCAAACAAGGACAGTCAGAGGTCAGAGGTCATAGGAGGTGATGCAGATACTCAGTAGGACCCTAAGTGAACCCGCCACCAAAAAGAGTCTAAGTGGAACCTTGAGAATCCCATCCTTACCTTCCTGATGCTGAAGGTCAAAGGTGAGACCTTTAGGCTTGAGGTTTTCTGTTTGATCTTCTCCCTTTGCTCTGCAGACACAATCTTTGTCCCAATCTTCGTCATCTTCTTTTCAATGTTCTGCCTGGAGAACGCCTTCTTCAGACTGTCCACCTGTACAAAGACACAGTTAAATTTGTCTGTCTGTCTGTCTGAGCAGCTCTCTGAACATCTGTCCATGGTTCTTACCTTCTTCAGGCTCGAGCGCTTCAGTTTCTCGGCTCTGGACTTCTCCATGTTCTCAAGATCTTGAGGCCACATCTCCTCCTCCTCTACCTCCGCCTCCAATCCTACATCCTCATCAGATGACAGGTCGATGGTGTGGAGTCCGGTGTCCTGGCTTCGGTTTGCGTCAACATCTCCTTGTGCAGATTCGTCACCTTCTTCAATGACCTCATCCCGAGGGAACGGAGGAGGGTCCTTGACGAAAACAGTGGAGGGGATCTCGTTCTCCTCCTGAGGATAAGGAGAACATAACAGACTCAGGAAGGAGACTAACCCGGGATTTCCACCGCAACTGGAACAGCTCCAATCCGGAATGGTGGCAATTTTCGTCTCCCAGTGCTGAATTTATCCGGCATGCTCCGGTGTCCGGAAAGAAGCGGAACGGAAAGTCGTCGGTAGAAATTGGCCCATTAACTTGTATGGTTACGATCAACTGCGATCGACAGATACGGCCTTTTCATAGCTGTTCCGGATGCGGTGGAAATTGGGGGTGAGTAAGTAGAGCCTCAAGAACGTTGGGCACCCTGATGGTCCATTTCTACAGTAAGATACTGTAAACACTACCCTGGTGCTTCACACTGGAAGTGTGTTGGTAGTGTATCCTGGACTCAGCCAACATACTTCTGCATAAACCACCCAAAGGTACAGTTCAACTTGAAACCCAGCAAGACCAAGATCCACCATCCCAAACTGTGCCAAACTGGAAACACACCTTAAGGTACAGATATGATGATTTCATGATTTTCGCACTCACCTGAAAGATGAGGACTTTGAAGTTATTTCTGTTGATGAGGTGGGCGTGGTTCGCCTCCAGCTTCTTTACTTGGATACCCTGACACTCCATCTTATCCCGGACCTACACAAACAAAGAACCTAGATGTGGTCACCTTTGATCGAACTGACAGAACGTTTTAGCGACAGGTGTAAGCGCTGTACCTCCTTCATGGTGACCGATAGTTTGCGGCTCTTGTCCAGCAGTTTGCTGACGGTGTTGGAGGTGTGACTGTGACTCTTTGACAGTTTGGTCATATCAGCCTGGATCCCTCTGACCACGCCCTCCATCTCCACTTGGTGCACCTGAAACACATCAACCAATCAGATACAGCAAGAATCTCAATGACCTTACTCTCCACCTGTAGAGGTTAAGACACAATGGACGTGAGCGGCGTGAAGATCTCTGTATGATTAGTTGTACTTTGGTTAAGTCTACTTTAAATCAGTTAAGTTGGTTCTGACCACCTGTGGTCTGGTGTAGGATCATCTAGTCTGGTTTTGGAAGGGTCGTGGTTAAGTTTCAATTTGCTTTTGTCTTGTTTTATGTGGTTTACTCTGGTGAAGTTGGTTTTTAATCTGGTTGTGGTCAGGAGTAATCTGGTTTCAAGTCAAGTTCAAGTTTCTTTAATCGCCACACGGCTAGGCCGGTGGAATTTTTCACAGTGCAGGTGGTAGCTGCGACAATACACCACGTTAATTTAAACAGACATTGAACAGTTTACAGTGACAAGACATGACATAACATGTGAAACGGGGTACCACGGGACATAAAACATAAAACACAGACTTCACACACGTCGACCATAGGAGTTAATCAGTCGTATGGCAAGGGGGAAGAAGGAGTTACTGTAGCGCTTTGTTGAACCACCCAGAGATCCAAACCTTCTACCCGAGGGGAGGAGCCGGAAAAGATGGTGAGCTGGGTGCGGTGGGTCATCAATTATTTTGTATGCCCTTGTGATGGTGTGGTGTTTGTGGATTGAGTCCAGTGTGGGGAGTTCACAGTTAATAATTTTGGAGGCCCTTTTTATCACCCTGCCCAGTCTGTTTAAGGTGTTTAAGGTTTAGTCTGATTTGAACTGATTTCTGTCTGGTCTAGAATAGATGTTTTTTGGTCTTAGTTTGGTTTGCTGTAGTTTAATCTGGTAAAGTCAAGATGAATCTGGTTAAGTCTGGCCATGGTCTGGTTATGGTCTAAATGAAGTCTAGTCAGTTTCTAAACCGGATTAACTCGGTTTAATCTGGTTGCTGTTTTGTTCACTCTAGTTGTAGTTTTGTTAAATCTGATTCAGTCTGTTTAAATTTGTTTAAAATCTGGTTTAGTCTGATTTACTCTTTTTAAATGTAGTTGTAACTTGGTTAAATCCAGATGGGGTCTGGTTTAACTTGGTAAAGAATAGATTAATCTGATTTTACTTGGAGAAACCCAATCTTGGTTTGGTTTTTATTTGGTTTACTCTGGTTAGGCTAGTCAATCTAGTGAACTATATTTTAGTTGGATTTAATTTGGCCTTGTCTGTTTGTAGTCTGGTTTAAGATTGGTTGTACTTTGGTCTAGTTTGGTTAATCTGGTGCTGTCTGGTTTAGTTACACTCAATCTGGTTCTAATCTCCTGTTATTTTGGTTGTGGTTTGGTGTAGTTCAGTTTAATCTGGTTGAGAACAACAGAAAAAGTTGCTGAGTTTTTTTCATGTTTGAATAAAGTTTGTTTGATTGTTCAGTCCGACTAAAGATCTGTTCCAACGTGTCCTTCTGAAAAACTACAACAGGAACAGGAAGTGGATTTTTTCCTGTGGTTGTGTTGGATACAGGTGAAGTTAAAGGGTTAAATGTTTTTTTTCCTCCTGTCAGTTTTAGCTGAAGCGTTTGAAAGCTTCAAACACTTCAGGAATGTTCCCTCCCAGCAGAGACAAACATCTGCTAACCTGCTACTTTAACCTGCTCGCTCACTGCTGCTGCTGTTCGGGGTCATGTGACTCCTGAATGTCAGACATTATTAGATCTTTGCTTTCATAACTGAGAAAAAAAAGGAAACTCACTCAAAAAGCAGAGAGAACAGTAAAACATCAAAGGTTGAAAAAGTCTGGAGTGCACAGCTGAAGTTTGAGCTAAAACAGACAGATTTTTAAATGGGGTTTGGTCTGGATCAGTTTTTAAATCTGGAAACTTTAGAACAAAGTGTGCCATGGTTTATGGTCTCTGTATGGGTCTACTCATGGATCCCAGACCCACCTCCATCTTGTTCTGGTTCTCCTGCACGGCGTCCAGCATGTTGACCAGTTTGTCCAGCAGGGTGAGGACGGTGATGGCGTTGACAGGACCCTGACCCATCGTCTCTGGGTCGAATCCGGCCAGCGGGGAGGAGGGGGAGGCCTGGTCCTGGTCCTGGTCCTCCTGGTCCTGCTGGTTCTGATCCTGGGTGGGCACGAGCAAGTCCTGGCTCTGGTGGGTCTCGGTGGTCACCATGGTGCCTTGATCCTCAAACATCGACTCAAAGTCAAACCTGAAATCTCAAAACACGAAACTTTCCTGCAGGAGAAAAAGTCTGGAAACTCTGCCTCGCCCGCCCAGTGTGTGTGTGTGTGTGTGTGTGTGTGTGTGTGTGTGTGTGTGTGTGTGTGTGTGTGTGTGTAGAGTAGCTGTGTTCTGATTGGCTGGTCCTCAGAAATACTTTCCATCCAACTTCCTGACTGTGGAAATGTCCACACCTTTAACTCCCTCACTGCTGGAGCTTTTACTGTGAAGGGCTTCATTCACTCATTAAGTTAATTGCAATGGAAACTTTCAAAGTAAAAGACTTATTTAACAACAACATGAACATTAAAATAATCATAATAATGATGATGGTGATAATGAGAAAGTACAAATGGCTGTGAAGGGGTTAACTCTCTCTCTCTGCGGCCCAGTGTCTCTCTACCACACCGAGAGAGGGGGAGGGTTTGTAACCATGACCACAGTACCGCAGAGAACTGTTACCATGGCGATGGTGTTTGTGTGCCTGGAGAAACTTGGTGGGAGTGCGAGTGTGAGAGTGTGTGTCTCATGTTTTCAAGGTGAAGTCATCTGGAAGGAAACCCCTCTCTGTTTCAAGGTTGAAACAGGAAGAGACGCTCATTCATACGAACACAATAACCTCGTTACTGTGAGAACGTGTGGCGACAAGAGGGTGTAAATTAATTTGTTTATGAAGAAAAATCTCGATTTAAGTTTTTATATGACCGTGATTGCAAAAATATGCCTTGTTATGGTTATGTAACATCACGATCACTCCTCCCCTTAAAAAGAGTTTAAAAAAAGCCTTAAAAAAAGGAGGATAAAAGTCACTTAAATGAAAGTTAATACTGCTGGGTGTGACCTCTGGCGCCCCCTGTGGACAAAACGGTCTTTGTTTATCTTAACTTCTACATGCTTTAGTCATATCTTCATATTAAAAATCTCATCTTTCTGAAGTGTGACCATCATTTTAAGGTGGAGTAGGCAGAAATCTATTAAAGATGCATCTATTTTATCATAATGATATCATAATATCAGTCAATTGTTATGAGTTATTGATGAGTTGGGATGTTTGAAAATATTGAAATGGCAGATTTTCTTTGAGGAAAAAAAGACTTAATCATGAAGCACAGTTGTTTCACGGCTATTTGCGGGCAAGGGCTAACTTTGAGTCACTTTGCGCGGGTTGTCGAGGCTGAGACCACAATCAAGGTTTTAATTTCTTGTATGACTGCCTATTATTTATTTTTATTTATTTATTTAGTCAAAGTGACAGTCTTTGTGGATGTGCTTGTGTTTATCAGCTGTCTAACGTGGCTAACAGACTCGCAGTGAGTGAGTCCAAGTATTACAAAGTTGACCCAGCAATTTTACATTAGTTGAAGAGACAGAAATGCTCTTTCAATTTAACATAAGTTGCACATGATTTCCAAGCTGTTTGGTTTGTTAAAAACATCTAAAATGGAAACATGAGGCAGAAATTTATACTGGAAATAAACATACATATACTGTATGTTGTTGTTATATGTTATTATAGTTATCCCTCTAATAGAAATATTACTAATATAACATACATGGAATGATTAAATGTTTTATATATAATCTATTTAATATAACTGCATTGTGTATGTCGGCCTATAGCTATTGCTCTACCTCGCTGCTTTGTGTTTATTTATGAAAATCTATGTTTAAAATTATTCTTGAGTATGTAGGAACATAACATAACTAATGGGTTCAAACCTTATTCAGGATGAATTTTAAAGTCCAGGAGCAAAAGTACCAAGATAAAAGCACGCAGAGCTCATCCCCAACTGTGGGTGGTCTCCGGTGGCGCAGTGTGGTAGACATCTAACACCCTAATGTGAGCCATGTGTTCTGGTTGAAGACCGGCTCCTGGTTCGAAACCCGCTCATCCCAGGGGTGTGGGGTTACCCCCCCGGTGTTTCCAGAGAGATAAAATAGGGGGGTTATGCTACAGGAAGTCAGAGCAGGCTGAACTTTAGAGTAAGGGTGGGAAGAAGGGTTGTTGGCATCTACAGTGGAACCAATGCTGTTTACTTTCACGTTGACTGGGCCCCATTTGTAATCTTCTGAAGTATTTATCTGCATTATATCTGAATTTAAATTTCTATAATTTAATTTATAATTTCTACATTTTTTATAATTAGTTTTATAATTATTTTATTATAATTAATTAATTTATAATTTCTTTATCATTTCCTTGAAGTAATAATCATCATATTATTCATTTTGCTCTGCAGACACGGTAGTTCTTCTGCCTTAGCATCTCGGTCTGACTGTATTTCCATGAAGAAATGATCATAAATGTTCTTCCTTGAGCTGCGTCACCCCGCTGTAGTCCGTGATGGACTGGCCTAAGGTCTCGCTACAAAGCGGCTGCTGGAAGAGAGTAGGTGAGTTGTGTTTAGTCTCTTTGCTAAAGAAATGAGTCAAAGTTAAAAAGATGTTTGGTGTCTAGTACTATGTCTGTGACCCTATATGTCCTGTTGATGAAGTTGTGCTGTTCTGAGCATTATTGTGGCTATAGAGTGGTGTTTCGGTTGAGGTCTGTTAATGGCTCCTCAGACCGCTGTGTATTGCTATCCTGCGGTCGTTACTAAAGTTGGTGTAACTAGAGAAGCAAGCGGTCGGCAACGTTCTTCTCTGGAGGGGGTGTCTAACTCGGTGCTACGGTGTGTTTGACCCTAAATTAATTTTACGCCGTAATATCCCTTTAAGCTAATTTGCTTTCACCTTCCCCCCGTGCACCACTTTATCTCTGATCCCCATATTTTTGATATAGAAAAAGCAATCATTAAAGTGAAGCCCTGACATGCTTTTAACTGTCATAATGAGGCATTAACATTTATTTAAAGACCCACTCCCACTCTCGAAAAAAATCAGTCAGAGTGGGACTTTAAGTCTGTTTCATAATCACCAAAAAACATCCTCACAGGAGTTCTAAATTTCCTTGACACCTACCCCCCTGCAACATTAAAAATCTGGGTATTAAAGCTGACAGTTGTGTTGCTGAAGGTCCTGTTTGCTTTGGATTGTCATAGAGATGTATAAACACGACTCTCGCTTTAATGACATTTTGAAATAATATCACTGCAGGCTTTTCATATAAAGCAATGTTAACGTCCCCCTAAATAATAAATCATAATAATGCAGATTAACATTTTGCCATGGTACAGACTGTCACACAAACTAGGCATTTGAGCTAAACCACATAAATCACTCTGTATAAAAAAGACTCAGATTCTTTGATTAATACTGAACTGATTCAAATAAAAACTGGCAGCAAAAATGTAAGCAGATTATTTCTCTTGGAATGTAAATTTAGCATTTGGTGTCAAGCATCAATTTATTTTCATTTTTAGCTTTTTCCCCGTCCCTTAGCTCTCTGGCGCCCTCTGCAGACGCTCCGTTTGATTTCACCTTAAACACGTCCCACCTCTCAGGAAGAATCTCCTTTTCGAAGAGGATCGAAGCCAAATAGGAAAACCCCACAATGGAGACAAGAGAGACCAGCATGCAGATAGTCTTAAAAGGTGATCGCTGAATGTAAACACCGTCCTCCAAAGTGCATCCTGGGAAATGTAGTATGGCAGGAAGATTTAACACGGGCTCTCCGCACAAAGCTCTCAGGACAAACGCGATGATGTAGCCGATGACAGCACCATAAGGGTTGGAGACCCTGATGAAAAGGATGCAAATGAGCTGGGGGAGCATGATGGTGTAAGTCAGGTCTGAGCTGAGGATCCAGAAGACCAAGATGCTGCTGTCCAGGTAGGTGAAAGAAGTACCCACAATGCCAATGATCACTATGGAGGAGCGGATCACCCACTGCAGCTCTCTGTCTGATGCCTGGAAAGAAAGAGGACAACAGTTTTAAGAGTCTGAGAACTTGGAGTGATGATGGGGGACTTACTGCTACTGCCGGAGACTAACTTGGAAAAAGTTCTTTCTCAATTTTTATCTGTATGGACTCATGAAATTCACTTCTTATCTTGATAAGTACTGTCTTTCTTGCCTATGCTGGCACAGCTTGCTGATTTGGGAGGCATTGTCATCGTACCTGTGGTCTGATGAGCTTGTAAATGTTGGTGGTGAAGATGGAAGATGCAGCTAACAAATAAGAGTCTGTAGAGGACATCGCGGCCCCGGCTATCGCTCCCATGCCAATGACAAAAACAGCAGTCGGGGTCAAGTGCAGGAGGATGATGGGAAATACCATCGCTGACTCCCCTCGATCATAAGGAGAGGGTAACCCATATGAGGTCAAATTCCAATCTGAAATGCAGGAAAAAGATGCAAGTTATCGAGTTACTATAAATAAATAACATTCGTCAGGTTTACCTGTAGAAGCTGCAACTGCCCCGACCAGCACAGGTGGAATTGCAAGAATAAGGACGACACCTGCAGCAACGAAACAGATGATTTTTGCTGTCGACGTGGAGCTGGAGGAAAGAGTCCGTTGGTGGAAATCCTGGAAAGCCAAATTCCCGGCGCTCTATGAAAATAGGATTCACAAGTTAAGGGGAACGAAATTTAATTTTACAACTTTTACTTTGACTCATGACAAATAGTTCAACATCCAGTATTTTTAAATTGGCGCTCACTTTCTCTTATCTAAAACTCTAATCACTCCATCCTACCATGGCAAGGAAATTATCAATCCATGTCCACATATCACGATACTCGAGCTGGCCAATCCACGGTGCCCGGTTTGTGTGGTTGAATGCCGTTTGACTGATGTCGGCATAAACATCGTTAGCCAGAACAAAAGGAGTGCACAGCCACTGAAAAAACAAACAAGAAAACCAAGTTTAAAAATGCAAATTCAAGAGAGACAATCAGACTCAGAGTGTTTCAAACCTACCAAGCTGCTAAACACCAGAGTCAGCTGGACGACGTCTGTGAAAGCGACTGAATAGAGACCCCCGAGAACGGTGTAAATGATCGCCACCGCAGCAGAAATCCAGATACAAAGACTTAAGGGAAGGTCGGAGAAGATCCTGACTGTAACTCCTGTTAGAAAAAAAAAAAAGCCAAATCATAAATGTTTGTACATGAGGGATAATCTAAGCAAATTTTATGGTCACGTCACAAAAGCAGATCTGTATTACCCAAGGAGATGAGTGCAGCAGGAACCCACATCAGTTCACTTATGAAGGGAATGATGGAGAGAAACCCCGTCATTTTTTCCCCGTATTTTCTCTGGAACGGGTCCATCATCGTGATGTAGTTTTGGTCTCGCATTGGGCCGGCGAAGAACAGTCCACCTAACCAAGAACATCCAGACATAAGTCTAGAGGGTAGGAATAAACTTATACATCTTCATTTTCTTCTTTTTTTGATGGATGGCAACGACAGTTTGAAATGATCTAAAGCAGGAATTTTATCAGCAAAGACGTTAAAAACAAGAAAAGAGTGAAAAATGAAGAGGAGGAAAGAAAACTTGTGTTTCATTTGATTGATTCTGACAAGGTGAAGAGTACAAAGAAGTCAGGATTTACATACAGTAAACCTTCACCTATGAATGTGTAGGCATGTGTGTGCATGTAGATGAAGGGGGGTGGGGGTGGGGGACTCTATGGAGTTAAGAAAATGGGCTTTCTCACGGTTTCAACCCAATCTGAAAGCACCATGACAAAAAAGGAACGTGTCCTCGTCGGGTCAGTAAGGGAATTAGTAATCAAACATGTCAGCTGTAAAAAATAAACAGACATGTAACAGGGCCAGAGCCACCCCTGCTCCCCCCCTGAACACGCTTGTTATGTAAATGAGTAAATATTAAGAAAAATAATCTCTTATGGCCTCATAGAAATAAGTAGAAATCAAGTGGAGTAATTCCATCATGGAGGATCTCACCAATAATAAAGGACACTGACATTTGCAGAGGAATAAGAGCCCATAACAGTCCTTGTGTGGGGTTATAAACCGTCTCTGCAACTCCCATGATGAAGGCTCCTCCAACCCACGTGGCTGCAGCAGAAACACATAAAAGCATGCACATAACTGGGAACAACCTGTTCATAATATTCAGCTTTATGCAGTTTCAAAAGAATACATGCTGTCAGTATGTAAAGAGAGAAAACCAGCTCTAACCTGTCATTGTGAAGACTCCCACCACCAAGCCGACGCTCCGGTCAGCCAAAAAGGAAATCTCCACCTGCCTGCTCTGAGAATTTTTTGCCATCTTTCTTGATTTGGAAGATGCCCACAAGCCGATCCCCAACACAAGCAGGTAGAAAACCACCATCATTATCAATCCCGGCACACTGACAGCCATCCTGAACTCCTGAAGAGGGACCAACTCTGTGCATCTGAAGCTGAGTCCGGGACCTCCGCCAGTCAAATAGGACACTGAACTCCTTATCATGCAATGTCTAGGGAGACTGGTTGTAACCTTGACACATTCCTAAGACCGGCTGCAACCTTAAATCTTGTGTAAATGTCAAGCTGTTCCTCAAAAATGAGCTGGAGGGGGAAAATACAGGGCAGACCTACTGGGGTGTCATCGGGTGTCAAGTGTCACCCTAAAACACAGCCTTGTCACCCCTGTTGACACCCGAGTTGGAAGGACTCAATTAAAAGTAAAGTTAGGCCTCATTGGACAGAGCCGTTCAAAGGCATAACCAAACTAAGGTGGTATGCAATGTTTGTGCCCTGTAGGGGTGCGCTGTAAGAGGGGGTGCACTTATGACCTCCCAATTAGTTGCCGTCAGCCAGTGATGAATGAAAGGAATTTACATAACCTGATGCCTGAAACAGCCAGCTGACCTGCTTCTAAATCCTGTAGAAAAAAAGCTTGCAGAATATTCTACGAAGCCGATAGAAATGCCTCTTGAAAAGTGATTGAATCAACATGAGGATAACCATTGCCGTTTTCATTGTTTTGCTTATTTAACACCTGGCATGCTTTCTCAGGGTGACTGCACAGTGGTGTAGTGGCTAGCACTGTGGCCTCACAGCAAGAAGGTCCTTGGGTCGAATCTAGGTCAAGGCATTTCTGTGTGGAGTTTGCATGTTTTCCCTGTGTCTGCGTGGGTTTACTCCGGGTACTCTGGTTTCCTCCCATATCCCAAAAACATGCAGAAGTGGGGTTAGGGTTAATTGGCCACTTTCAAATTGCCCATAGGTGTGAATGTGATAGTGGATGGTTGTTCGTCTCTGTATGTCAGCCCTGCGATGAACTGGCGACTTGTCCAGGGTGTCCCCTGCCTTTGCCTGAAGATACTGGGATAGGCTCCAGCCCCCCCGCAACCCCCGACAGGAATAAGCGGTAGAAAATGGATAGATGTTCTCTCAGGTTGGATGGCGAGTTTTTGTAGGCAGTGATGGAGTTTGTGCGCGGCAAACAGAGTTGATATTTAAAACAATATAAATCATTCTTTATTTCAACAATCGCAAACATGGACTTCAGATATGTTCATGGGTGCTCTGGTGTGGAATTGTCATCTGTATCTGCTGTTGCCATCATTATCTGATCAATGTTAGCTCAATGTTTACCTGCCCAATCCGAGTAGCGCATGCGCGATGTACAGATACGGAATCACCACCTGAACAAATCACATGCAGATAACATTTTAGAAGAGAAAATAAATTTTATCTGCTGACTTCAAAACTATACTTATAAGTAACAAGATCCTTGATAGAAATGTGGAGTAAAGGTCACGTTTCCAACAAATAATACTCAAGTGAATACAGATACTAAAAAAAGGACTAAAGTGCAATAATCAAGTAAATCATCTTTGTTATTGTCCACCCCTGATTGATGCAACACTTTCACTGACTGAAATATGTCTAATATTATCACCAACATCCAACATCATAGTATTAACCAAAAGCTTGAGTACAAGTAGAGAGAAAGATCTAAAAGGAGTGAACTTAGCAATGTAGTTCAAGCATTGGTTCATTTTCGTTTTTAGCCTTTTCCTTGTCACACTCTCTGGCTCCCTCTGCAGGCGCTCCCTGTGATTTCACCTTAAACACGTCCCACCACTCAGGAAGGATCTCCTTTTCAAACAGGATCGAAGCCAAATACGAAAACCCCACAATGGAGACAAGAGAGACCAGCATGCAGATAGTCTTAAAAGGTGATCGCTGAATGTAAACACCGTCCTCCAAAGTGCATCCTGGGAAATGTAGTATGGCAGGGAGATTGAACAGGGGTTCTCCGCTCAAAACTCTCAAGACAAACGCAATCATGTAGCCGATGACAGCACCATAAGGGTTGGAGACCCTGATGAAAAGGATGCAGATGAGCTGGGGGAGCATGATGGTGTAAGTCAGGTCTGAGCTGAGGATCCAGAGGGCCAAGATGCTGCTGTCCAGGTAGGTGAAAGAAGTACCCACAATCCCAACAAGCACGATGGAGGAGCGGATCACCCACTGCAGCTCTCTGTCTGATGCCTGAAAAGAAGAGGATAACAGTTTAAAAAGTCTGAGAACCTTGAGTGATGCTTATTAGGTTACCTTCTGGGGTTTTTATAAGGTTAAAGGCCTGAGATACTCTTCTCTCTGGTTGGAGGTCTCTTTGTGGTATCAAGAGATGCCAAAAGTAGTACAGGAGGTAGAGCCCTGAAGTCGGATCTTTCTCTGTTGGAATCATACACCAATACTGGAGGAACTGTTCCTTTAAAATAAGGCTTTTTCACTCATATAGAAATTGTTTGATAAAGCCTATATTAAGTCGAGGCTTGCCCAGGCTGGTCTGTTATAAGTCTGCCAGGGGACTTGCTTCAACTGCCTGAGGCTAACTTGGAAAAAGTTCCTCCTCAGTCTTTCGCTGTATGCACTCATGAAACTCACTCCTCCCTGTGTTTTTTGATAAGTACTGTCTTTCTTGCCTATGCTGGCACAGCTTGCTGATTTGGGAGGCATTGTCATCGTACCTGTGGTCTGATGAGCTTGTAAATGTTGGTGGTGAAGATGGAGGATGCAGCTAACAAAAAAGAGTCTGTCGAAGACATCGCGGCCCCAGCTATTGCTCCCATGCCAATGACAAAAACAGCAGTTGGGGTCAGATGCAGGAGGGTGATGGGAAATACCATCGCTGACTCCCCTCGATCATAAGGAGAGGGTAACCCATATGAGGTCAAATTCCAATCTGAAACGCAGGAAAAAGATGCAAGTTATCGCGTTACTATAAATAAATAACATTCGTCAGGTTTACCTGTAGAAGCTGCAACTGCCCCGACCAGCACAGGTGGAATTGCAAGAATAAGGACGACACCTGCGGCAACGAAACAGATGATTTTTGCTGTTGATGTGGAGCTGGAGGAAAGAGTCCGTTGGTGGAAATCCTGGAAAGCCAAATTCCCGGTGCTCTAGGAAATCAGGATTCGCCAGTGAAGGGGTACGAAATTTAATTTTAAACTCAAATTCAAATTCAAAATTTTCAGACAAATAATGTAGTTCAAAGTGCCTCACAGAGGCTAAAAACACAATTAAACAACAATAAAACCCAAATCTTCTACCCACACACCCACCCATGGACTGACACACACACTGACAGACACCCACCTTTGCTCACCCACACATACACGCACACACAAGCGCACACAGAGTGAGAATTTAAGATCTTTTGTTAAAGAGACATGGCCTGACACTGAGACATTGCGTGAGGAAAGAGTACACATCCACTAATCAAAGACTCTAACCACTCCCTCCTACCATGGCAAGAAAGTTATCGATCCATATCCACATGTCACGATACTCGAGCTGGCCAATCCAGGGTGCCCGGTTTGTGTGGTTGAATGCTGTTAGACTGATGTCAGTATAAACATCGCTAACAAGAACAAAAGGAGTGCACAGCCACTGAAAAAACAAACAAGAAAACCAGGTTTAAAAAAAATTCAACAGAGACAAGCCGGTTCAGAGTGTTTCAAACTCACCAAGCTGCTAAACACCAGAGTCAGCTGGACGACGTCTGTGAAAGCGACTGAATAGAGACCTCCGAGAACGGTGTAAATGATCGCCACTGCAGCAGAAATCCAGATACAAAGACTTAAGGGAAGGTCGGAGAAGACTTTGACTGTAACCCCTGTTAGGATAAAAGCCAAATGGTACGAGTGTTTATACAAGAGGGACGATCTGAGCAAATTACATTGTCTTGTAACTAAAGCAGATCTGTATTACCCAAGGAAATGAGTGCAGCAGGAACCCACAACAGTTCACTTATGAAGGGAATGATGGACAGAAACCCTGTAATTTTTTCCCCATATTTTCTTTGGAACGGGTCCATCATCGTGATGTAGTTTTGGTCTCGCATTGGGCCGGCGAAGAACAGTCCACCTTAAAAAAAAGGGGAAGGGAAACAAAAGATATCTAGACATAAGTCCAGATTGTAGGAATAAACGTATACATCTTCATTTTCTTTTTTGATGGTAACGATAGGTGTGAAATTATCTAAAGCATGAATCCTTTCAGCAAAAACATTAAAAACAAGAAGAGAAAGAGTGAAAAATGGAGAATATGTTGGCTTGTTGGTGCATGCAGCTGGGGGGCGGGGTTTGAGGATGAAGGGCGTCGTTCACACAGCAATAACTGGGCTTTCAAACAGTGGCTTTGTGTAAACACAACTGAAGGCATAAAAAGAAAACAGTCAGTGGGTTTACATGCACAGTTTAATCAGTTTAAGCTCATAATTCAATTTTTTTGCCGAATCGGACTTCTCTCCTTGTCTGCGTATACATGCAGCTGAGAAAATTGAATTATTGACGTGAACGTGTCCTCCCCAAAACTAGGGGGCGATATGGGTCTTTTCAGCAGCGCTGCTTCCGACCCCATACAACCGTCAACCACAACAGCAGGTCCGTGTCAGACATCAGAAGTGTCCACAACTGCTGCTGGACATTTTCAAGCAAGAAGATGGAGCATCGTACGCTGTTGTTTTTGTCGTACATGATGTACACGCTACTTTCTCCTGCAGATGAGACGCACGCCACTCCTCTTTGGAGTTCTGCGACAATCATTCGGTTTTCTCGAGTGTCATGTAAAGGTACTGAGTGTCCTAGTCGAGTGAGTAAGGGAATTAGTAATCAAACACATCAGATCAGTAACAGGGCCAGAGCCACCCCTGCTCCCCCCTTGAACACCCTCCTGCTATATGGATAAGTAAATATAAAGAGGAATAATCTAAAATAATCTCTTATGGCCTCATAGAAATAAGTGGATATCGTGAAGTAATTCCATCATGGAGGATCTCACCAATAATAAAGGACACTGACATTTGCAGAGGAATAAGAGCCCATAACAGTCCTTTTGTGGGGTCATAAACCGTCTCTGCAACTCCCATGATGAAGGCTCCTCCAACCCATGTGGCTGCAGCAGAAACACATAAAAGCATGCACATAACTGGGAAAATCCCGTTCATAATATTCATCTTTATGCAGTTTCAAAAGAATAAATACTTGAAGTGTGTAAGGAGAAAAAAACAGCTCTAACCTGCCATTGTGAAGACTCCCACCACCAAGCCGACACTCCGATCAGCCAAAAAGGAAATCTCCACCTGCCTGCTCTGAGAATTTTTTGCCATCTTTCTTGATTTGGAAGATGCCCACAAGCCGATCCCCAACACAAGCAGGTAGAAAACCACCATCATTATCAATCCCGGCACACTGACAGCCATCCTGAACTCCTGAAGAGGGACCAACTCTGTGCATCCAAAGCTGGGTCCGGAACCTCCGCTGTCAAAGATGACAATGAACTCCCTATCCTGACGCATCTAGAAAAACAGGTTGTAACTTTGACTCATTCTCAAGACATACATCAAGCTTAAATCTTGTGTAAATGTCAAGCTGTTTGGCAAAAACGAGCTGGAGATTTATTTCCTTCATTGTCAAACCATGCTTTTATTTTGGAGTATACAACGTACCTCAGATTATGACTGTCAAAGCTGATTAAAAAACAGTTAAAAGAACAGAAATTAAGTATAAAGGTTTAGCCAGTTTAGAGGGCCGCCAAAGCTAGCAAGTAATTATCGTTAATTATTGGTCGCACCATGCGGAAATACCAGTCACTAGCAGAGTAACAGTCCAAACTTAACAAAATATCATTGTGGAAATGTCAGTGAAAGCCTCTTGGCTACCTCTACACATGCTAATTGCTGAAAATAGCTGCTGCTAGCTCGTGTTAATTGACTGACAGCAAATAAAAAAGTGTTAGTTACTCTACATCATAAAAAAAGCAGCACCATCTTTTGGCCCAGAGTGCAAATCACAGTCATCATCCAGTTTTCATTGATGTAATGTCTCATGTACGACATGTTAATCTTAGCTCATAAACGTAAGGTCGTTAGTTTTCAACTACTGAAACCTAAATATAAAGTATTAACTAAAAACTTGAGCAAAAGTTGAGAGAAAAAAATATATGAGGAGTGGACTTAACAATGCAGATCAAGCATTGGTTCATTTTCGTTTTTAGCCATTTCCTCGTCACACTCTCTGGCGCCCTCTGCAGGCGCCCCCTGTGATTTCACCTTAAATACGTCCCACCTCTCAGAAAGGATCTCCTTTTCAAACAGGATCGAAGCCAAAAACGAAAACCCCACAATGGAGACAAGAGAAACCAGCATGCAGATAGTCTTAAAAGGTGATCGCTGAATGTAAACGCCGTCCTCCAAAGTGCATCCTGGGAAATGTAGTATGGGAGGGAGATTGAACAGGGGCTCTCCGCACAAAACTCTAAGGACAAACGCGATGATGTAGCCGATGACAGCACCATAAGGGTTGGAGACCCTGATGAAAAGGATGCAGATGAGCTGGGGGAGCATGATGGTGTAAGTCAGGTCTGAGCTGAGGATCCAGAAGGCCAAGATGCTGCTGTCCAGGTAGGTGAGGGAAGTTCCCACAATCCCAACAAGCACGATGGAGGAGCGGATCACCCACTGCAGCTCTCTGTCTGATGCCTGGAGAGAAGTGGGCGATTAGTTTTAACAAAGTTTTCGTATTTTCAAATCTATGTAATATTGTAACTGTGAGGTAAATGGTAGCTGCAGCTTGTTAGCTTAGCTTCACGCAGAAACAAGAAGTAAATGAGAAAAGCTGATCCAAGATTTGTAAATAGAAACATCTTTTATTACGCAAAATTTAAACTTTACGCAGCGTAATGCACAGGGGCAGGCCAATTCTCTGAATTTGTTCGTGAGCATATTAGTTGCTAGTGTTGTGTTTGCAGCTAAAGTTACCGCTCTTAGCCCAGAATTTGCGTTTTCAGTGGTGATGTCCAGCAACTTGTAATCTTCACTTTGTTTATCCTAGAGATGTTGTGGAAGCAAAATAGATGCTGAATTCTCTTTTGTACAACAACTCTTACATTTATCAGCATTTTTCTGCGCTTTAGCTTCCGAGGTAATTACGCAAAATGTCAAACTAATACTTTAGAGCGGTCACTCTCAAACTTAACAGTTTTCATCCTCTGGCAGACAGGTTCCTTGATAGATGTCCTTTTGCACCTGATGCCTGATGAGCTTGTAGATGTTGGTGGTGAAGATGGAGGTCGCTGCCAACAAACAGGAGTCTGTTGAAGACATTGCAGCGCCAGCGATCGCTCCCATGCCAACGACAAAAACAGCAGTCGGGGTCAGATGTAAAAGGATGATGGGCAAAACCATGGCGGCCTCGCCTCGATCGTAGGGGGAAGGGGAACCGTATGAGGTCGAATTCCAGTCTGAAACACAGGAGGAAGATGATGTGTTGGCTCAAAAAACAAGGTTCGGGTGTTGGACAGGTTAATTTGTCCAATTCACCTGTTGAGGCCGCAACCGCTCCAATCAGGACGGGTGGGATACCGAGAACAAGGACCACACCTGCTGCTATGAAGCAGATCATTTTGGCAGTGGATGTGGAGCTGGAGGAGAGGGTCCTTTGGTGGAAATCCTGGAACGCCAAATTTCCGACACTCTGGGAAAACAAGATTAGCCATTTTTGGGACACCACCAACCAGCCTTTGATTTTTTAGACTTGAAGATGCATATGTTCTGTTCTATTCCAGGTTAGCTGCTCTAGCTTCATTGACTACTGAGGTCATGCTGATACCATTGCAAGGAAATTATCAATCCATCTCCACATGTCATACGACTCGATTCTTCCCAGCCACGGCCCTCGGTTCGTGAAGTTAAAGGCAGTTTGAGTGATGTCAGTGTAAACGCCACTCGCAAGAACGAAGGGAGCGCACAGCCACTAAACGGAGAGAAAAAAAACACAGTTTAAAAAAGAAAAACATTAAAATATGTTTTATTTTCAGTAGAGGCTCACCAAGCTACAGAACACCAGAGACAGCTGGATGATATCAGTAAACGCCACTGAGTAGAGACCTCCGAGGACGGTGTAAGTGATTGCCACAGCAGCAGAAATCCAGATACAAAGACTCAGAGGAAGATCGGAAAACACGCTAACCGTCACCCCTGTTGGACAAAAAGACACGCCAACACATCAAACACACATCTGATGCTTCATATGCAGCTGTTATTGTTCATTAAAGTGCAAAATCGTCCTGTATTACCCAAAGAAATGAGTGTGACAGGAACCCACATCATTTCGCTGACGAATGGAATAATGGCGAGAAATCCCGTCAGTGTTTTTCCGTACTTTATCTGAAACGGGTCCATCATAGTGACGTAGTTCTTGTCCCGCATGGGCTTGGCAAAGAAGAGTCCACCTTAAAAAGGGGGAATTCCCAACACTGGATCATTATGATGTTGTTGCTCTTACTTTTAGCGCTGTATATATGCAACAAAATTCGGTAAACATCGATCACTTCATAGATAAAGTCGTAACTAACATGATCAAAAATACATCTTCTGATGTTTTTAATTTCCACTCTGAAGAGGATCTTACCAATAATAAAGGAAACTGACATCTGCAGAGGAATAAGAGCCCAGACAAGTCCTTTGGTTGGATCATAAACCGTCTCTGCAACCCCGATAATGAAAGCGCCGCCGACCCATGTGGCTGCAGCGAGAAAAAGACACACATTCAGCACGAAATAACCATCTGTTTGTTAATTATAGATTATTAATGGGACAATTCCCTTGAATAACAATATAAACTAGAGAAAAATTGAAATACCAGAAGTTCATATCAGCCAGACTAAAACTCACCGGTCATCGTAAAGACTCCCACAGCTGGGCTGACCCTCCTATTCGCCAAAAAAGAAACCTCTATCTGCCCACCCACAGTACTTTTCTCCATCTTCTTTGATTTCAAAGACGCCCAGATGCCGATTCCCAACACCACCAAGTAGAAGACCACCATCATGATCAGACCGGGTACATGGAGAGCCATGGTCGACTCTTGTCAAGTTTTATGACATACTGAGCCAAAAGCAGAGAATGAGAGGCTGAAAATGCCAGGAATGCATCACGATGAGAAGAAAAACACAAAATGTAGCTGTGAGTGAAGGTCAAGGTCTCTGGTACTGAATCCAAAACCTCCCTCTTACTGTCAAGACTGGGGATGAAAAAATGGGACAAGACTAAAAGGATATTTAATGGACTGAAAATGAGTCACAAGGTTGTTGCTGAAATCCCCAGGTGCTGTCCTTGACATCAGATGTTGATCCCTTAGCTATCAGCGGTTTCTGACACCATCTCTGGTTCCTGTTTTCTTGACGATCCTCTTAAGGCTGCAGTCAGTCAGTTAATATTTGAGTAAAAATACACGTTAAACTTGGAAGAGAATAAGACTTGAGACATGTTTTACAACTGATACGCAATTTATTTGATTATTGTCACACGTCCATTTTCTACATCAGGTTTTCCTTCAATGTCAGTGCATTTCATAGGTCATCGTAACAACCAGAAGAGTCCAAAACCAAGACAAGTCCCAGGAAAGAAGTGCTGCAGTCCATGTCTGTCAACAGTGAGCACTGATTCTCAGAAGAAAACACACCCTCACGCACACAGGCAAATAATCCATACCCCACAGCTCTGAAATATAACCGTCGTAAAAGCAGTTTCAACAGCCTGGAGATACACAGAGTTTGCATAAGGCACCAAAACATGGAGGGAGGAGTAGCTTATGGGCTGCACAGGGAGGTTTTTTTGTCTATTTTTGCAGAATGTGGTGCTGAAATGTTTCAGATGTTTTATTCAATGCACTGGAGCTACATCCAAAAGAAAAACACTGTTAAAACTGGGAATGTCACACACAAAAAGGAGCTTTTAGATCGGGGATGAACACGCATTCAAAGAAAATAAGATTTATTCGCATTACAAAAACAAGCAAATTTGGTTAAAAGCTTTTACAACAGACATTTATAATCAATGCAGACACAGGAGGAGCATACTGGCTGCAATCAGTGTGAGGCTTCAGTATCATGCATGAAGGAATTTCACCATCCACCGCAAAAACACAGAAGTTAAAAAAGAGAAGGACTTTTTGGGGTAATTATAATCAGACGCATTCATAATTCATCATTATTTAGTTATCTTAAAATTTGGTTATTCGTCAGCTAGTCTATGACATGCCATACAAGCAGTGTGACTTCTTCGGTACACTAATATCAAAACAGCATCAAAGAGCGATGAAATTAACCCAAATTTAGACTCAGAGTTGTTCGATTTCAGATCAAGAGTTTATCTAAATGCACACAAACCATCTTATAATTTATTTTGGTGTTTTTTTATGAATACAAAAGCATACAAGACTGTCAGTGACAGGACTGAGGGTGTTAATTTGTCATTTTTGAAGCCTGAAATCGGTGTGAGGAGGGGAGGGTGGTGAAATTTTATCGAGGAATTGTTTAAATAAGATAAGTTTGATATGCCTCCATTTTCAGTGTTGTTACGAAACTTTTATCAAACCTTGGATTTAAGGCGTCTTGAGCATTGTGTGCATTCAAAATACTCTATTACATCTGAAACTGCTTCCCATTTGGTAAGGGTGACAGATTTTGGGTTTAAAAACCCTGAAAACTTCGTTTTTCAATCAACTTCTTGGTACAATATGCTTAGAAAAGCCAACAGAGAAGAAGACAGACAAAATGTTTAGCAGGTTTTTCTCATGAGGAAGTTTCTTTCACATTTTTCATGCATACTTTGGGCATAAATGTGATTCTGAGTCGTTTTTCAGTGACAATTTGTTTTTCTGGAAAATCAGGTAATACCAGACGCAGATGATAAAATCCTCTTCGCTGATTTGGAAATGTTCGTGAAAATCTTGGATTTAAAGGAAAGTTTTCAGGCGCTTTAACACAACTTTACAACCCAGCACACAGGATCTATTTTCCCGACAGTTTCACATTAATCAAACTTCATCCCGTCAGGCGGTAATCCAGTGATCCAGGTTGTTATCTCCTCAAAAGTCACTTCATCATAGTGTGATATACCAGTTTAAAAAAAACAGAAGAACCATTTCCAGCTTGATCAGCAAACATAGAGCTTCATTCGTCAGACTATCTTAAGGCGGTGTAAATAGAGTACCATTACCTGTACAAGAATACGTTGTCATTGACATTAGATTATAAAAACAGAGACCAGCAGTACAAAAGCTTGTACTCGGAGGCTTCGTGAACATCATGAGCGAGAGTCGAAAACCTTCAGTCCTTCTCCCCATGTTGCATTCATCTGTACGTCAGTGCAGGTCATGCTTTCATAACCGTTTACCACACCTGTGTGCGTCCATCACACACACCCATACGCACGCACAAACACACACCTGAATCTACGCATCAATATCCTGATACAGCATACGGACCGAAGAAGCTAGGTTTTGAACGCAGAGTTTTTCCAAAGTGGTTTGTGATAGACCCAGCCTTCGCCCTGGAGGAGGAGAAGAGATGAGAGTCAGAGGACAAGTCAAGAGATTTCAGACCAAACCTCCTTTTTAAAACAAACAATTTTACTGTTTTTGGTTGTCTCCTTGCTGGAAAACTGTGATAGCAGTCTAATTCGACTTTTCATGTTTACATCCTCCCTCAGGTAATTTGGCGCCATTCCCACCATTTTAAATACAATAAGATTGAACACGGAGCTAGTTCAGGCAGGCCATGAGGTCAAACAGGCAAACAGTGTGCCTTTAAATGGTGAGAAAACCCTGAGACTGTGCCCTCCTTTGTTGTTTCATTGTGCTAACACTCATGACACTTCAAGAGACTGTAAAGGTCATTAGAGGGGGTGTTCTTGGAGACAGTGGTGACACTAAAAAGGTTGTGAAATTCTCTGGATGACCTTTAGGTCTCTGAGACAACAGTGTGTTTGTCATACCTGGAGGGGGATTATTTTCATGTTTGACTCGTGCAAATAAACTGAAATGGCAAACCCAGAAGTCAAAACCAAACTTCTGCAGAAAGTTTGTAAAAGTGTCAGAACCCCTTCTGAGTACTTTAAAAATGAGTTTGAAGCTGTCACTGCGGTCAGCCTGCTCACCTCTCTATCAAAGTATCTGGTCCTCCAGGGGGTTTCGGTCTCGGCGCGATGCCTCTCCTCCGTCCTCTGCCTCTCCTCCAGAAGCCTCTTATGCTCCGTCGCTTTTTCGATATCCTTCTCTCGTAAAGATGCCGTCACGTGTTGCCACAGCCGCCTGAAATACAGACATGTTGATATATTTCTGCTCCTGCTGCTAAAACATTTCATCACGTAAGGTTCCTGAAGTCTCACCTGGATTCTGTCGGTCCTTGCTTCTCAATGGGCCGGACGCTCTTCTTGGTGACGGGCAGCTTTGTGACGTCAACCACCTTCATGTCTCCGTTGGTGTAAGCGAACTCTAGGACGCCGTTCCACTCGCCCTGCACTCGACACACTACTGCGTTGGTTGTGTTGTGCTTCACCTCCGCTGTCACTCTGCGATTCATCAGAAAGATCAAGTAAATACGAGAGCGATATAAACCAAACTACAATGTTCGTATAGAATTCAGGAGAATCTCACTTGTGTAATTTTCCACCGTAGAACGGTTTCGTCTGGAAAGTGATGACCGCGGAGTAGCCCGACTTTGCGCAGCTGATGTTGACTTTGCCACCCAGCTCCACCCAGGGGACGGTGAGGATGGAGCGAGCGTACGCACAAGGCAGCGTGAAAGTGTACTCCTCGTCGTGCTCAAGCAGATTTAGACAACCTGCAGAGGTAAAGATGGAAATGGTTATTAAAGGGCGCCAGTTTGACTGAGTGGTGGACTCGCGCCCCCGATGACTGAAGTGGTCCAGGACTGATTCAGACCTGTGGCCTCTTCTCCTTCTCCGGTCTCTGAGATCGTAAAAATGCGTCTCACTCACCTTCCCCGATCATCGACACCCCGATGGACATCCCCATGAACTTGCTCTTGGTCCACACATGCGTGTTCACACACATCCGCCTCTCCTGGCACTCAGCGTAGAAACCAGACACCGGTGGGTGGTGGGACACTTGCTCCGCCACAAAGCGCACTTGGTAGGGGTCCTGGGAGACGGCCGGGTCGGGGCTTCCCTGCGACGGCTCCTTGGAGGCCTCGGGTCTCCTCGGTACCTTCCAGGAGCAGTGGAAGGTCTCGCCAATGATTGGGTTGTAGGGCTTCTTGGCGATGGCGCCCTTGCGGCCCTCATGGAAGGAGGTGAGGTAGTACTCCACGAAGCGGACCATGCGGTCCTCAGGGCTGTTGCCGTCAGTGATGGCCACAAAGAGGTCCGGGTGGGACATGAAGTCGGCGTACATTTCCAGGAGGGAGCGCTTCTCCAGGATGAAAGTAGGGAGGACCACCTGAGGGAAGACCCCAAATCACAGCTCACTCAAACAACCATGATTCAACCGCTCTCTGGTTTCTGTTTGGTTCATTTCTACTTCATGAAGAGGGACGAAGGTTGTGATGAACTCTGAGAGTCGACTTGATCTAAATCTGAAACACGACAGCCGATCAAACAGATAACCACGAAAAATCAGAAACCCAACACGAGGCTATCCAAGGACTGGAACAAACTGACACGAGAAGATTGAATGACTCTCCCTGCCTCCGCTCTCAGAGTGTGTGAGTGTGCAGGAGGTAATTACTGAGTCAGAGGCGCTCACTTCAGACTGGACCAATCAGAAAACAGAAAAACAAGGCGAGGCTCATTAATTCAGAGTCACCGCTTTTTCCATTTGGACAAATCTGCTGCTTTAATTTCAGAATTTTAATGAAGCAAATTGTTCTAACCGCGATAAAATGATGTTTTATAGGGCTGGGATGACATGTTTTTCTCTCGATTCGATTCTTCTACGATTTTTTGGATACCAATTCTATTTAAATTGCGATTCTACGATATTGTTGATTGTCTCAATAATTATTTTGCATTTTTAACACCAGTGAAACAGTTGAATGATTATGATCGTCTACTTTAAAAATTGTAAAACAAAATCGCGATACTTATGGGAACCATTTTCCCCTGGTGCCAAAATAAGCTGAGCGTGACTTTGTGCGCCGTCTGAACTAGCTGTGTAAAATATCATCAGATTGTCAGTTAAACTTGATTAAATTTGGATGATTTCGCCACAGGGGGTGCCAGAAACAGCGCAAACATAAAGTTCCTGACAAGAACTTTGCAGTCAAGTTAAAAATTTTAGTACGAAGAGTTTAATGAGGATCTTACAGGATTAAACACAAGATGACTTTAATTAGGAGGTCTTGGATAATCAGGTTGTAAGTGCTGCGTGGCTCTACGTGGAACTCGACCTACCCGCGTGAGGTCCATGCCCAGCTTCAGTTGGGACAGCAGGTGTAAGATGACGCTGCGCTCCTCCTCCACGGCTCCCAGGTCCTCCTCCTTGTCTGTGAAGCAGTCCTCCGCCTCATCATCGGCGCTGATGTCCTCCTGTTCCTGGGGTGGACGGAGAGAGAGAGTCACATCAGCGGGTTGATGTGAGGGTAAATATTAGCTAGATTTAGTGGGGGTCATTCTGAGTGTCTTACCCCAGAGAAGCTGCAGGACTCAGGGCTGCTGAGCTCCAGCCGGCTCCCCTCCAGCTGCCCCCCCTCGGTGGTGAAGCTGCCCAGGGAGCTGCTGCCGTTCTTCAGGATGTCGGGCAGCTTGGGCTCCAGCCATTCGATGGTGGGTCCTGCCATCAGGGGGGAATGCACAGCAGGGTTCAGAGGCGCTCGTGGTTATGACCCTGCTTCCCACCCAGTCCCCCCTGACGTTCAAAGCTCGCCCCTTAACATCCAACAACCACCTGTCTGCCCGGCAGCGTCGAGATGGACGCTTTTCCCTTCCACTCGACCATAAGAGTGAAACCCAAACCCTTAGACCAGCCAGGTATCAGGATACTCTAGCCCCGCCTCCAGGAAGCATCCTGACCCTCTGTTTGGCTGAACAGACTTGGTGTGGCTTGGGCATTTCTTTATGCATGTTCAGAGGTGGGCCGCACTCATTTAAATTCCCCTTGTGCGTCGTTGGACAACTTAATCTGATTGGCTGCAGCGAGGAGTCTGGCCTAATGAAATATGCATCAAGTAATGAGATCTGTGGTGCAAAAAGTGGGACATTACCTCCATGATTTTATTCAAATGTCTCCGGAGAGAAAAGGTCAGAGAAAAGAGACACTTTGGATGAAAATGGAGCTTTATGTTTGTAAATATGGAGCAAATGTGGAGGCGGACTCTCTCCTCAAAGTGAAGCTGATGGATATTTAAACAGTCTCAGATCTCATTACCTGCGAGATAGGTGGTAAGAATAGGTACGGTTCCCCATCAATAATGCAAAATAATTCCACTGTCCGGCCAGCGTGAGCCTTTAGATTGAGGGCAGGCCTGTTTCTGCACAACTATGATTTGTCTGAGCTCAAGAAAGACCCCCAAAACTCTGAATCTGCAGAGTCTGGATGTTTCTGAAGGTAAACACTTACCTCCAAAGGATCCCCTCTGCCTAGCCACCTGCTGCAGGTGCAGGATGTGCAGGCACTCGTTGAGGCAGTTCATGGTGGCCATGGAGGTGGCTTTAAGCATCAGGAAGTCCTGGTCCAGAGGGGAGAGGCCCGGGGCTGCAGGCAGGCCCTCAATGCTCTGGATCAGGTCTCGGTGCTGGCCCTGGGCTTGGCCCATCATCTGGAGGGGGGTAAATGTGGTTACTTTTAAAATCCAGAAACAGACTCTGAATATTTTTCTAGTTATATTTGCAGATGTTCAGGTTTCAGACTCTTAACCCTCAGGGGTCCTTAAAAAAAAATTACGTTCAGGTCCTTAGAGGACAAAAATGTCCATCTCCTAATATTGCTATAAAAATATTATACATTAATATTTTTTTCCACTTTTTTTCGCTTAAATCTTTTAATCAACTTAAGTCCTGATCATATCTATCAAATATTTATTCATTTTCAGAATTTTAACCTATGATGTGATAGACCTTGATAAAAAAAAAGGAAGAGCTGCAGAAATGTGTGAAACTGCAGCAGCTCAACATTCAGCAGCCTTTTAACAGTTTAACAGCAATACTCAGATAAGAAGCTGATCTACAGGCATCAAACGCTGCGAATAAACCCCTCCAAATCAACTCCCTCTGCTGAGGTCACTTTAGTGGAAACAACAGCTCCCTCTTGTGCTGAAACTCTGCCACCTAAATGTGTCAAAGTGCAGGCGGAGTTCACAGCCAATCAAATCTCTCAAACACAAACTGCCTCCTGCATATTTGACTCCAATCAAAGCAGGTTTTTTTTTTTTTTTTTTACAGCTGTTTGTACTTGTAAGTCGTCTTTTAGGAGATCTGGACTTCTCAATTCACACATGAATAAGTAACTGTACAGAGGGTGAAGTTTCCGCCTGATTTTACCAGCTGCTTTCCACTTAATAATAATCAGTGTAAGACTTATAAAGCACACATTGAAACCCTGAGTTGATGCGCCCTCTCTGGCTTGCCGTACCTCTCTGGCTTCCAGCAGGTGGTCCGGCAGCAGCGACCTCTTACTGGAGTAGAGCGACGAGCCCCTGTTGGTCTGCGACCAGCCGAATAAGGAGGTGGGGTTTTGGCTGGGCCGTCGCACAGACATAGGGGAGCTGCCACTGCCTTGAGACGCCATGGAGTAGCTGCGGGATTTGGGCGGGGGGTTACTCTGTGCGTGTGAAAAAAAAAAAAAAAGAGAAAGAACGGTGTTAGAAAGTTTGATTTTTACAAACTGAGGTGGACTGGTTGTTCGACGCTGCACCTTTCTGCTTCTCCTTGTGGATTTCAGGAGCGCTGATTTAGCCCAAGCGCAGCACTTTACTCTCAGATCAATGTCTAATCAATACAGGTGATTACAGAGCGTACACACACACAGTAAAACCTCAGATTTCGATGTAAACATTAATATTTCACTCCTCTCCTTCCTGCTGCTGACTGTGTTAAATTGCTCTTTTGGCAGCAGCAGGAAGAGAAACAGGAAACCGAAGAGAGTCCGGCTCACGTCCTCTCTCTCCACTGAGGAGACTCTCCTGTCTGATGCTGTAAAAATGCTGCTCTGGTCACAAACATGACTGTGTAAACACTCGCCCTCACCTTCCCCATGGCCTCTGTGTGGTGCTGCGTGCAGATCTGCAGCCTGCTCACCCAGTGCTGCCTCTCTTTGGCGTCGGTGGCTGTAAAAAAAGAGGAAAAACTGTCAGGGTGATCGATTCTCCGTCCGCTTCTGCTCCATCCGGCAGAGGATAATGGAAAACATCCAGATCAATACTGCACAGATCTGATGGATTTCACGTAAAGAAGTCGCTTTCAGGCACCCACCCCTGAGCTTGTACTGCTCCCCACTGATGGCATTGACAGTGAAGGTGTGCGAGTCCTCGTCGCTGGGGGAGATGACAGCCCCGGCGAGGGGGAGCATGCCGCGGGGCTTCTGCGGCCGCGACTGCTCGTTGACGAAATACTCCAGCAGACCTGCTTCATTGTTCAAGACGAAGAACCTGAGGTTTAAAAAAAAAAAGGAGAACAGCCTCAGTGATAAAGTCCAACCCCTCTGAGGAACCACCGCAGCTTTAATGGGATTGGATTAGACTAGATTACGGCTGGACTGCAGAGCGGGCTGAGGAGAGTTCCTTGTTTGTCCTGTATCCCTGATCAGGACACGAGTTGATTTAGACGGTGTTCTGTTAAAAACTCACCTGTACTGCCACCCCGTTACCAGGTTGGTGTACTTCATCAGGTAGCCGTCGATGTTCTCCATGTGGTCACTGAAAAGACAGGAAGTGTAGACGGTGAATCACTCACAGCTAATTTCATGATTAAGTGAAGAGCAAACAGGTATGCAAGTTACAGAAACAACAAAGTTCTACTCTCATGGCTGGCTTTGTTATCAAACACGCCTTAAATACCGTTAATACTCTAAAAACCGCACCCTTACGTTACAAAAACACAAAAACGAGCAGTCTACACCACATTGAACAAAGTCCCGATCCAAAACCACAACACCCTGACTTCAAAGATCACGCCTCAGTTTTTCAACTGAATTTAAGGCTCAGCTTTCAAGGATGTGAGATATTTGTTTTGTTTTTGAAAATGCAAAAACACTTCAGAGTTCAGTCCAATGTGATCGAGACAGGAGAACAAAACAGTGACATGGCCCTTCAAAAACAAAAACAAAAAATTTTCATCAGTAAGGCATCTTTATTTGTATAGCGCATTTCATACCAAGGCAACTCAATGTGATGACATAAAAACAAAACATTTTTTTGAAGTTTTGAAAAAATTTGATTTTTTTTCAATTAGGAACAATGTTTCTAATAATCTTAAAACCTTATGGCCAGATTTATTAACCCTATAATTCCTGAAATCACAAATGATGTCCACAAAATTCACATTTTTTGGAGCTGAAATGTTTATTTTATTTACTACTGAAAACCAAAACAATCCAAATGTCCTTAAAATCTAACAGATATATTATTTATCTCTTTTGATAGATTAGACGTCTTTGGAAGCTGATAAACCACAAGAGGACATTTTTATCATTTACCGGACTGTGTTAGGATGTTTTTTTAATAATTTGCTGATCATATTGATTGATAGACGTATTATAAAAGTATGTATCAAATATGATACAAAAGGCATGAAGGGTTAAATCTAGATCTAGGGTTTCTGATACCTCTGATAACACCTGGATCTTCTGTTTTTATCATGTTTATAACTCACAGGTACTTGAGTAGGTATATAGAACAAGATTATTTTGGTGTCTGTTATAAATAAAGATCGTTTCTGTGTCTATACTCTTTACTTTAGTTAGATTTCCTTCCTCTAAACTCAAATATTTCCTCTCTCTGTGTTTCTTTCATGTATCATTTACCTGTGAATTCTCGTTACCATGACACCCAGTCACCCACCTGTACTGCCAGCTTTTGGCACTCGCTCTCCCCGAGCTGGGGGTCCGAACCTGGGGGAAAACATCCAGCTTTCCTTCGCTCTCCGTGATCCGGATCGCCGTGGTCTCCCCTTGCATAGTCACTGGAAACAACGCCTCCCTTCGGGCAGCGTTAAGCTAACCTGTCGAGCTAACTGAGCTCGGTCACCACGGATATCAAAGAGTGGACGGAACCTGCGTTAGAACTCCGAACCGAGCCGTGGGTTCATCCCGAACCTGAGCCAACAGAGACTGGACTGTTAACCGGCTGTGTTAAACGATAATCGATCAAACATTGTCTATTCTTCTGCCAAAAACCAGGGAGTATCCTGTTAGCCGTGTCTGCTAATTCGGCTGATATTTACTGCTGGAGCAGGAAAATAGTCATGTGATCAGCTGACGACAGCACACTTCCGTGTTTAACGAAAAAAATATATAATTAAATAAAATGGAATTAAAGTATAGAAAAATATTAGATTAGTTAGGTTTTAGTCTTTGCGCTTCTATGAGTAAAAGTAAAAACTTACAAGGAGAAAAAGAGCACGAGAAAAAAATAAAATAAGAATAAAACTGAATCTGACGTTAAGCTTTTTATAAGTTGATTTTTTATTTTTTATTTTATATGTATAAATGTGATTTCTGTCAGGTTGATAGTCTTAGTCAACATAACTAACCTTTACAAGCAATTTTATCTCTTTTGTAATGTTTTAAATAGCGGTTGAATTAATTTCACTTATTTAATTGCAATTTTTGCTTGCCAGACTCACAAAAGCAAACTGTATTTGCATTTTTTCTTTCTTTTTAAAATGTTTGCATTGCAAACATTTAACAAGACATGCAAAGAAACAAGAAATAACAAGAAATTAAAAAAAACACCAACAAAGACAATAACAAGAGATTAAAACAAATAAACAAACATATATATATGTAATGATGCATCAGCAAAAAACAAAAAAGGCAAGCAGAGCAAAAACACAAATGTGCAAAACGTTATGTAAAATAAAAAATTATTATAATAAGGAAAAACTAATAAGCTATTGAACACGAGAGAAGATAAGATAAAATAATAATTAGAAAATATATTAGAAAAATAATAAAAAGATAACAACAACAACAACAACAACAATAATAATAATACTAAAAAAAAAATATTTTTTCTTTTTAAACTCCATGTTCTTCGCTATCTTTCTCTATGGTTGTGTCATAGCGTTTGACATAATCGTGACTGTGCGCATGCGCAAATCTGAATTAGCACGGAAGCATTATTCGTTGTAACACCGGTCGCAGGTCGGGCACAGTAGGAAAACGTGACGACGGGTGGGTTTTTGTGTCCAAGTCGATGTTTAATAATAAATGACCGGTTGAGGGTTGATTCAATATTCTTTAGACTTTGGTTTCTTCTTTTTGTTGTCTTCTTGTATCCATTAAATTGAGTATATTGACCAGTTTGTTAGAGGTAGACCTCGTTACGCGTTAAAATGTTCCTCAGCGTAATTAGCGTGATTAAACTGCAGCTGTGTCTCGGTCTGATAACTCAGCACTCACTAAAATAAGGGGAGTATCCACGGAGAGAGATGGGAGGGGTGAATCGGTGAAGAAAAAAAATCCTAGGGCGTATAAGGAAGTTATTTCAAACGAGGGAAAAAAGAGGTCCGAGCTCCTCAGATCAGGTCTGAAAAAAGCAGGAATTAACGCTCCGAAAATGCCCGCTAAGAAAGTCTGCATCGTTGGATCTGGAAACTGGTAATTTCTCCTTCTATTGCTCATATGCATCTTCTCATAACCAGCCCTCTACTTCAGCCCCTCAGTAACAGAATGTACTCAATGCTGACAATAAGTTAAAGCGGATTTGGAGTCTTGTGTGTAATCCTGGTAACATCTATGAGCTGATATCATTTATGAAATTGAAAAAGCTGCTCTGGATTCAGCCTCTCTTCCCCCTTTTGACTGCAGCTCACATTTTGTTCCAGACTGCAGGATTAGGCTGCATGCTGCAACATGAAGACTGTCCACAGTCAAGTGTTTACAGTATGCATGCATTTTTCTGCAAGTAAAAACAACCTCTGACCTGATTTTAAGACAAAACTTGCTCTCAAACATGGCTAAATTCACTAAAGTTGGATTAGATCCATAATAATCGACCTTTAGTGCATCTTTTCGACTCAAATATGACACTTTCTGCATGTCCTTCCCTCTTTCAGGGGCTCCTCCATCGCCAAAATCATCGGCAGCAATGTCAAAGCCAACAACCGCTTCGACCCCATGGTGAACATGTGGGTCTACGAAGAAATGATCAACGGGAAGAAGCTCACAGAGATCATCAATACGGAGCATGAAAATGTCAAATATCTACCAGGCCACAAGCTGCCCAGAAATGTGGTGAGTGTCCTCTACCAGAGAGTTACACAGTTCAACTCCATATCAAACTGATAAGATAACTCACCTTTGAATCTGACGTCTGTGTAACTAAATCAAACTAAAAACAACTTAGACAAGTATTTCTCCTGTAAAACTCTTTCTGTATGACCAGAAGTCCAAAAAAGTTTGTAAAACATGAATAAAAACAGAATTTGATGGTTTACAAATCACTCAAGGCAATGGTGCAAAGTTCACATATCAGACTGAAACAAATAAAAATGCTCATGTAAGAAAAAGTTTAGACAGGGATGACAAAACACTAAAAATCTCTATAAAAAAAGAGAAAGAGTGATGACTGATTCTGGGTAGCTGTGATTTTTCAGATGCTGACGTTAAAAACAGACACGACTCTGTAGTGACAGTCGCTGCATTGGCTCAAAATCGCATAATCGGTGAACAGCTTGTCTCTTTTGATTGATTGATTGAAGTTTATTTCGAATATGCAAACCAAAAATATGAAAAAATAAAACAAGAAAAGAAAGGCAAAACATTTAAACATAAAACATAGAAATACATCACCGAAAAGTTGTGAGAAGAAGAATAAGTTATGAACTCCCACCCCTTCCCTTTACCCACACCAAGCTTCTTTGCAATTTGTTTAGATGTATTATGATATTATTATGATAAATAAAGTACGTTCATGATTTTGTATTCATGACAAAATCTACATCCACTTAATACAGCACACACATCAAAACAACAAAACAAAATAAAACAAGAAACAAAGAACCCTCTTCATCCTCTGTTACAGGTCAAAACGGCACCATCCAAAAGAAAACATGTAGAAATATAATCTAGAAAGTCAAAATCTGATGTTTTATTGGAAATCATGGACCAGAGATTTTAAACCGACCAGTTCAGAATGTTTTCATGACGATGGCTTTTCATTGGTTCATTTTTTTTGTTGGTATTTTTTCTGTTTTTTTAATCTCTTCATCCTCCTGAAAGTGACTCTGATGTTACTTTGTTATTTTATGGTCCGTGTATTATCTGTCTATTCAATCTAGTGAACGAAAAAACAAGTCAATATTTTGTTTATTTGTTTTTCTATATAACCAAAAAATCAAAGATTAGCGTTTGTTTTCCTGTTCTCAGTTCAAAACAGAATATATAATAGAGAAGGAAACCAAAACAAGATAATAAATCTACTTTCCGTTTTCGGGTAAATGTAGTCAACAACCTGGACCAAAACCTCCAGGCCAGAGCGGTAGAGAAAGGCTAACCTGTTGTCATGGAGACGGACACATCCTATGTATTATTCAAAGCCGTCAGGAGGGTCACGCTGAAGGAGGAAGATATGACTGTAGAAAAAAGTACAACCAGAGCTCTGTTACAACAGAAGATTTTGGCGCTCGAAACGCATCTTTCGCCATGGTAACGGTCGCTGAGGATCATGGGAGTGGCCAAAGTAGCCTCAAAACAGGCGCACTCAAAATCAAAAATCATAAATATGATTTATTATTTCGTTTTTGTTTCCTTCTCTATTATTTATTCTGTTTTGAGCTGAAAATACGAAAACAAACACTATTTTTTAAAATTTTTTGGTTTTACAGAAAAAGAAATAAACAAAATATCAACTCGTTTTTTTGTTTTTCGTTTACTAGATTAAATGGAATAATTGAATGGATGGATAATACACAGACCTTTTACTTGCATTTAATAAAATATCTGTAAAAATGAAATAATTTGGGGGACAATAATGAGAAATCCTGATGACTTTCCTGAATTTTTACCAAAACAGAAAGAATAATATGCAGTTTTACTTCCTGTTTACACTCCACACATGATCTGATCTTCATAAACTGTTTATTATAATCATTAAAATGATCATTGATTATTATTTTTTCAGGACAGTCCATCAAAAGTTAAAAAAAGAAAGCGAAAAGTAGAGGAATCTGCCATCTTGGGCTTGTTTCCTGTTCATATCTGATCCTGTATTTATGTCTTTGTGCTTTGACGAACTCTAAGGTCTCATTTTGCGTCCTCAGATCGCCGTGCCGGACGTCACAGAAGCGGTCAAAGGAGCGAAGATCCTCATCTTCGTCATCCCACATCAGTTCATCAGTAAACTCTGCGACCAGATGAAACCTCACATCAGCGAGGGAACCATCGGGATATCGCTCATCAAAGTAAGATCCTGTCTTTGTTCGCCAAAAAGAGGAAACGCTCCGTCACGAGTTGTTTTTTTTTTTCCCCTGTGGTTTGGCGTTGAGAAATAAACAGTTGCCACGGTGACAGGCTATGTACTGACATGTCTTTTTGCAGGGTGTGGATGAGGGACCAGACGGGCTGAAGCTCATCTCTGACATCATCAGAGAGAAACTGGAGATCGAGGTCAGCGTGCTCATGGGCGCCAACATCGCCAGCGAGGTGGCGGATGAGAAGTTTTGTGAAACGACCATCGGTTAGATTTCCTCTCTGTCTTTTTAAAAGTGTTTTGCAATCAGCTGCAGCCGTTAAAAATAGGACGCCGTCTCACTTCTCCTATTTGTCTTTTTTGTTTTTTAAAATGAAGGAGCCAAAAATGAGTCACATGGCGCCATCTTCAAAGAGCTGCTTCAAACGCCAAACTTCCGCATCACCGTGGTGCAGGAGAGCGACACGGTGGAGCTGTGCGGCGCTCTAAAGGTGAAAAAAGGTCATTTACTCTGATATCATGGTTATTGTGGATGTTTACGTCTACACGCAAACTTGACTCTCGTTCGTATCCTGTCAGAATATCGTGGCGGTCGGGGCAGGATTCTGCGACGGCCTCGGTTTCGGAGACAACACTAAAGCGGCGGTGATCCGGCTCGGTCTGATGGAGATGGTCGCCTTCGCCAAGCTGTTCTGCAAAGGCCAGGTGAGCTCCGACACTTTCCTGGAGAGCTGCGGCGTGGCCGACCTCATCACCACCTGCTACGGAGGGCGAAACCGTAAAGTGGCGGAGGCCTTCGTCAGAACGTCCAAGGTGACTATCCCGTCTATCACGCCCCCTTAGATCACTAATCCAAACATGGCGTTAACGCTCTCTGTCTGAAGTCTATCGCAGAGCTGGAGGCAGAAATGCTGAACGGCCAGAAGCTGCAGGGTCCTCAGACCTCGGCTGAAGTCTACAAGATCCTCCAAAAGAGGGACATGGTGAACAAGTGAGTCTGTCTACAGTCTGCTTTTACTCTCAATCAATCAATCAATCAATCAATCAATCAATCAATCAATCAATCTTTATTTTTAAAGCACTTTTCATACATAGAATGCGAAGTGTTGTTTATTCAAGCAGGATATTAAAAAACAATGAAATAAAATAAATACAAATACAAATACCAAACCCGCCCACCCTCCTGACCCCCATTCAACACATCCAGCACTCACACACACCGAGAAGAGCTTTGAAAACTAATAAAAGAACCTTCAAATTGACTCTAAAAGACACGAGTCGTCCGTCTAAACCAGGACCCTGAAAGTCCACCATCCTCTTTTAATCTGACTCTGAGTTCTTGTCCTCCTCCTCCTCTTCTTTAGGTTCCCGCTGTTTTCTGAGGTCTACCAGATCTGCTTTGAGGGCAAAGAGGTGAGAGAGTTCATCACCTGTCTGCAGAACCACCCGGAGCACATGTGACGGGTCCAAACACACTCACTGCTGCACCTTCAGTAACAGTTTACTACCACTAGAGGGCGCAAGAGATTCATCAGGCAGACACGCACAATGCAACAAGGGAAACTCCAACCAAGTGCACTTTTACTTTTTCTGTTTGTCACACGTCAGAACGGGGTCTTTATACTCACGGTGTTAAAAGCATTTAATTCATCCTCCTCTTTTTGACTTTTAACTTTTAACTGGAAGTGTTTTAATCGTCAAACTTTGACCAGCTGCAGGTTTTCTTCATCCAACAGCAGAAACTTTCAAATCTGTTGAATCCTGGGGAACTGTTTTTACTCTTCACTACATGAAACTCGATCATCTTTAAATCTAAATCAAGGTCTATTTTATATCTGTGATCGTTTTATTTCTCAATAAAATCAGTCCATGACGATCCTTATTGTCTTTCTAATTTCTGAGAATAACTAAAAATCGCTCCCTCAGTTTTCGGTCCGCAGCTCCATAATTGAGTTCTGTATTCGATCCCACAGCCGGGCTCGACTCCATTCCCACGAGGACCGCTGTAACTCGGTATGAGAAAGCAGATTAAGGAACAAACGGCGTCCTTGTCTGCGGATCTGAAGCGTGTTCCAGGTCAGATTGGTGAAACCTTTGATAGTCTATCAGTCTGCCATCTGGGGGGTTTCTGTGTCCAGATCTGCGTCTGAATCTCTCCTCGGACTGTCTGTGGAGATCAAAATTAGAGAACAACTAATGAACACTTGACCTACTCCAAAATATGATAATCTTCATCGCTCAACGTTTGAAGGATTGTTTGTCGTGGCGATACTGCGCTGCTAAAAAAATATTTCACAACAAAACGAGGAATTTCAACAAAAAAAAAACTTCATTTTGCAGGAAACACACAATCAAAATGAAAGAACAGCAATGTCTGTCGCACAAAGAAAGATGATGACGACATTATCTGAAGGTGAGGACAGTCTCACATCAGTAGGAAGTGGACAGGTCTTTGTTTTGAAAGACTTAATCACATCTCACTCTAGTTTTAGTCTCTTCCACAGTTCAGTGACTTTTGGGGGATTTCTTGGCCACAACTTTGTCACCAAGGATTTTCCAGAAGTTTTCTTTTGAGTTTAGATCAGGACTCTGGGCTGGCTGTTTCATTATTTTAATGTTTTTAGTTTCAAGGAGCTGCTTTGTTCGTTTTTCTGTGTGACAGGAGGCTTCGTCCCGCATGAAAATGTCTGTCTGATTGGGTAATGAACGCAGGGATGGAGTCAAATGTTGTTGTTGAAGAAGGTTCTGATCAACATTTGCATTCACTCTGTGACGTAGCTTTATAAGAGGCAGAACATATTCCCCAAACCACGACACTTCCTCCTCCTCCACCTTTCACTGACTTCTTCACACACTTTGGGTGAAGTCTTTCTCTTTTATTACAACTATATTCATGTGAGTAATTCCTTTATTATGACTTTTTTCTCGTGAGTTATTACGACGTCATAAGGCCCTCATACTCTGTGTTAGTAACTCGTGCCTTACGCTTAAAATTCTGCTTTTTTACTTCAGTTTGGATTATTTTATAGTGAACTTGACATTTAGAAGATTGTGGTTGTATAATTTTGACCTCCAGTCTCCATGATCAGAAAGTAATGACCAAAGATGGAGTCATAAACACAAACAGCTCCGCTCAAAGGGGGGCCCCGAGGGTCTCCCTCAGGTTCCCATGGGAGATCCGGGTCAGGTTGGGTTGAGGTCTTCTACCGCTGGATGGATCCTCTCATCTCTGAACAGCTACTGTCATCGGCGGGTTTTTGAGCAACGCTGAGACCCTTGTGGTGGTTTGACAGCGGCCCGGATCCTCTGTTTCAAAGAGAGGGTCCACCTTCAGATGAGACCCGAGTTTGAAAGAGGAGCTTAATCACCACGGTAACTTGTCTGTTGGTATCCCATTGGGCCTAACACACACACGCACACACACATACACACACACACACACACACACACTTTCCTCCAGTGAGAGGCCCTCTGGACAGCAGAGGATAATGGCGAAACAGCATGGAGGCAGGTCAGAGTGGCTCCATCGCTTTTCCTCCAAGGTCGGACATCTGGTCAGAATTAAGTCAACGAAGGGCAGCTGAAAAAAACTAATGATCAGGGATTAAAGTCAGGATTCTGATTTTAAAGTCAGGGTGATAATTTCTTGCTCATGTCTCTAATCCTCTCTTGTATATTAACATCCGTCTGTTGCTCTACATCCTGGAAAGTCGCCCAGCGCTCCTTTCAACGCCTCTGAAGCCGACAGATTGACGCTCTCGTTCTCTTTTGTTTAACTTCTTTGAGAAGAGGAAGGTAAAAACAACAATTTTGTGGTTTTAGGGAGTGACACGTTTTGAAGTTTAATTACAAGCAATTACTTTCCACAGAAGACGCTGTCGGTGTAAAAGCTGCTGGCAGAGAAGAGCCTTCCGGAAAAACCTGATCGCTCTCTGGAGACAGAGACGCTATTGAGTTTTAATTGTTTTCCAATTTTGTGGGCACGACTAAAGACGTCGCACTCACCGTTATTGTATAAAGACAGAGGATTGAAGCTCCTCTAATCCTCTTTTCTTTTTTCCAGTCAACTATCTGGGCATAATTATCTCACGACTTATAAACAGTGAAACCGCAAAGTTAGTGTTGAAATAAAAACCAGTCCTGACAAATCCAGAAACATCTCCCAACTCTGCAGCAGCAGTCATGGTTTCGGGAAAACGTCCAACTCTGTGGGTGGGTGAAGACCAGTGACGGGGTTGGTTACATTTACCAGTAACTCGTCACATTCCTGTACTACTGAGGAAAAAAGTAACTTACAATAATTATAATAATACATTTAATTTGTAACGCCCTTTACATCAAGCGATCTCAAAGAGCCGCATCTTAAAAGCAAAGAAATTTTACAGTAAAGGAATATAAAAACAGGTTATTGGTTACTTGGAGAAAAAAAATTACTTGGCTATGCTAGCGTTGCAGAGCTACGTTCAGCTTGCACATGCAGCTTCACATTTGTCGTCAAGTTCCTACTCATAATTTACCTTTTTGTTTTTCTTAACCTTTTATTTACACTGACTTCGTGATGGATGCTCCGATAAGTCACTTGTGCACTAGCTGAATTAGCTAGCTACGTACGCACACTTACACAAGGTTAAGTTAAGCTCGCGCTTGTCGGCAGCTTCTGGCTATGAAGTAGGACAGAAACAAAAAACAGCAAGTAAAGACAGTTACATTTTTTTTATAAAAGATTACTTTGAGGAAAAAGTAGCTATGTAACAGGTTATATAAATTACAGAACTAGCGCATGACCCTTACCTCGTACTGCTAAAGAGTAATCTAAATACCCTTGCAAATTACTTTCAGCGTTTCAGTCACCAAGTCAGAAAAAAAGCAAAATCAGAGGCCTGAAGCAAGATGGCTACATCTACGAAAGTTATTTTAGCGCTTGTCTTATATTCGGACGAGGCAAGCGCTAAAATATTTGTAGATTTTGCTTTTTTCCGACTTCTGAAACTGAAACGCTGGTAACTTGTGTGTTACGTCATTTTCAGTTCAGACTTCTGACTCAGTGTAATGCTTAACATTATTGCCACACAACTTCGACACAAGAATTCACGCTAGCTAGCCTAAATGATCGGCTATTTAGTAACAACATGCTAGCGTAGTGGTAACAGCTCGTTTTCTACTGCCCCCCAGAGGCTAAAAATCCCTCAACATTGTATGTTAGGGGGTTTTGACTAAAGGAGTTTGCTTTCGTTGATGTAAATGAAGTCTTACGTGTCTTGGCGTGTGAGTTTTTGTTTTTGTCAGTTGCTTAGAAACGTTGAAAACCACCTGCGCTAACCTTAAGTTTCCAAAGCCGTACTAATGTGGATTTAATCTTCATCACGGCCCGCTGTTCTCGACATATCTACCCCCTAAAAACATATTAAAGTCCTCGTACTCAGCACATTCCTCTTTTAGTACGTCGTGATTTATGATGTGTGATGAGAGTGGGCTGTTATTCACAGTCGGCTTATCACACCTGAGTCTCCCGCGGATGAATGTCCAAGCTGTGCGTCCAAAAATCTCCCTGGAGCTCCGAGTTTAATGTTTTCTTTTTTTAATATGTGGGCCACCCCGGGCTGGAGCTCATGGTTCACACCTTCAGATTTATGGCACCTGGAGTGAAACCCCACACACAGGCTGATAGATAACGCTGAAATATCACCCAGGAGAGTGTTTGTTAAACCGTACCTGTTTTTAGGGCCTTTTTCTGAAGGCTTTTCGGATGATTCGAAGCAGGGAGGTGGGAGTCGAAACCACATCCTCGGCTAATTACAGGCCCCTGATCTCGTCAGCTGTCACCGCCACACTCTTTTTACATGTCAATGACAGCCGAATGGGACCTCATATCCTTCCTGCGGCTCGTACAATGCTCTTATTGAAAAGACTGAAACCCGAAAAAGAGAGAAAAAGCGAAGGATGCCACTCCTCATCCCAGCTGGCGTCGCCTCAATGGCAGAGGGCATGGAGTCTTGTCCGTGAAATAGCAAACCACTCCTCAGATCCTCCCCCTCCATCCCTCACCTCTGCTCTGGCCGTCTTCATCATCGCCTCGGCCTAATCCGGGCACGTTCACAGGGGGACGCCGCCTCCCCGGCTTCTTTTGTGTTCCCTCCGATGGGTGAAAAAGAGGAGGGTAAGAAGGGGAGCGCCGGGGTGGAGGTGACGGCTGTGGCGGCTGTGGTTGCACGGGTTTGCTTTTGCAGTCCGGGGGGAAAGAGGAGGCCAGCTTGGCGGAAAGCCTGACCGTGGCGCTGCATACAAACACGGGGCGAAAACACAAGGCCTATTTGTTCGACTCCAGCGTCCTCTTACCTCAGGGAAAGAGGGAAAATTGTATAAGACAGCTATAAGATACCGTCTGCTCTCTACTTCCTCAGGACAGACATCGATTCTGCAAAGTAGTCTGTGGGACGAGACAAATGGAACGGCGTGTGCGTCAGGAAATCATCCTCCATAATTCAATGAAATTTAGTCAATTTGTACAGGAAAGGTTTGGCCGCGTGCCTGCTCCTGTTTGCTGCTCTAAAAAAAGCCTTTTGATTAAATATAAAAACCTATCAGACGTCACGTGAGTCTAGAGGACAGAGACCGCAATTTATCAGCGCCATATATCTGTAGAAGGGCTGACAAAGTCAAAGCTGGTAACGTCTCTTAGCGTTTCTTCTACCTCAGGTCTATCTCAATCTCCTCAGCTGGATCTCCTGTGGATTTAGAGGAGCTGGCATCAGCACGAACTCCTTCATCTCTTTCCTATTTGTGGAAGATGAAGTCTTTACCGTGTGTACTGGGCCGGCCTCTCTGGAGTCCATGCTAACACGCACATTAAGATGCTTTCTGGGGCGTCTGATGCGAGAGGGGACATCGTTCGGTTCCCAGTGCAGCAGCAAATTACACTGGAGTGGCGTTCCTACATGTGGAAAAACCACTTTCTGTTTCATGGAAATATCCACATGGGGAACCGGAGTCGCTGGTGGAAAATTTCTCATCAGATTCAAAACGTTTTCCAAAATTTCATTATGTAAATGAGCCCTCCACCGCATTATTTTCTGTTCGTGACTCCGTGGCAGAGGTCGGGTTTGTTGTTCTTCATAAATTTCCATTTATGTTCTTTCATCAGAACCTGCGGGATCGTCTGGCGTTTACATCTGTTGGTCCAAACGTCCCAGTGACGGGAGACAACGCACGCCGGAGGGATTTCCGTGAGGCAGGTACACCAAAGGAGCCGTAAGTCCTGCAGTAAGATGATTGCTTTACGGCCGCTCTGGTCAACGTGAGCGCGCTAAAACAGATATTTGGAAATAGGAAAGAGATGTCAGTTCATCTCTGCAGCTTGTAGATTTCATTTGAGACGCATTAGAGTTAGCTAACTCTGTGAAAGTGTGGGTGTAAAGCGGCCTCGACTTAATGCCAGTGCAGAAAAATTGAGGTTTTAAGTTTTGTCCCCGACCATGGTGGCACCAAAAGCTCTACAGCTCCTCAAGTGCGTCCTAAACGCTCTGTCCTGTCTCCTACCGCTGCAGAATATAAACAGCCTCCCTCTCTCTCAATCGTCTCCTCAGGGCGCCGACCTGTGACATGAAAGAGCTGAACCTCTCGCTCTGAATGGATCCGGATTCGCCCCAAGTCAAGAGGCGCGTTCGAGGGTCATTACCTCCCTGCTGCGGTCCCGAGGTGAGACCATATGTGGAGACGGATGAATGTGGACCAGAGTGGGGATGAGGGGACCGAGTATTCTTGGACTGTTGTGGTCACCGTTGTGCAAATATACATTTTTATAGATTCGTGCCCAAAAACCGAGATGGACGGGTTTGTTGTCACGCCAAACTGATAAGCTAAACAACCATCTATGGTCCTCTCGTCATGAATGTGGCTATTTTTGAGAACTCTGGGGGTTTTCTTTGGGTTTTGGCTTCACCGCCACATGTCAACAGAGTTTTATGTCACTGGAAACAAAGTTTTTGAAAATATCTTCCCAAGCTGGAGGTCTTTTGAAAACTCTGCTTCGTCTGTATTCGTGTGGACGGCGGGAATGAAAGTTTGCAGAAATGCTGACGTTTGCAGATGACTGTTGTTGCACGCACCAAGACGGCGGGTCACCAATTTGTTTACATTTGCTTAGGTCTGTTTTCAAGGAAGCCGAGCTTTACTGAATCATTACTCCATGGTGTTTGGGTGGATTAATATTTCCTGCACTCAAACTAAAAGTGTTCTGCGCAAACGAAACGTTGCTAGGCAGCTGGGAACAGCTTCAACAGACGAAGACAGGACGTAAAAAGTGACGAAACTTTTCTAACAATCGGCGCAGAGCTGTAAAATTTTTACTGCGGCGATTTTCTCTGTCCACCAATTCCTACCGGATCCATTAGTGAGGCGAATCTCATGGCGGATTACAGACAGCAGGAATCGCGAGAATTCAGAACCCACAGATTTAGGTGCAATCGCGTGATAATGAGTTGTCTCTTTAAAGACAGACACATAGACATATAAGCAGTAGATTGTGTCCTTCCAGAGGAGGAAATCTACTTCTAGACTTCTAGAATCAGCATCTCCTCATCCATGGTGTCATCGGGGTGAAATGACGTCGAAAAACCTTTCACTTGTTCGTCTCCGCCCGTTTGTGTGTTTTTATGTGTTTTATTTTGAAAAGAAGCCGGATGTTTTATTTTGTGTCTGTGCCCGACTTCCTTTCCAGCACGGGTTAATCTGTGCTGAATTTATCCGCCATGCTCTGGCGTCCGGAAAAAATAGAACTTTGGGATCGGCGGATATGGCCTTTTCGTTGCCGTTCCGGATGCGGTGGAAATTGGGGGTTAGAAGAAGCGATTGTACTTTCTTGTCATGTGCGAGACAGCCAATCGAGCTTTAACCGTAGCCCAACTGTGACATGTAAACAGAACATTTAGCCAATCAGATAGTGTTGTGGGCGGGACATTAGATGGAAGACAGACCGTTTAGCTCGTGCGTCATGCTTGCTTGAGTGTTTTTAACTGTTAACATGCGTTTACTACTGCTGCCATGGCTCTTTTCTGTTCCTTTGTCTTTGGTTGGCCCGCCTTCTGATCGGTTATTGTTTTGTTCCATGTGAGTGAATGTCCCAGAGGAGCTTGACGAATCATGTTAAAGTTGTGGTGGTTCCAAACGTCCTCCGCACAGATCTGAGGTCAGAAAAGTCACTTTAGACGATACTCTCTACAACCATCAGACGATCACTGTGGTATCAAACTGCACCTGTCCTGTGTTGAGCTTTCAGACAGACCTGTACGAAGTCAAACTAAGATCCTCTGCAGCTCTGACCAAAATTCAAAGCTGCTTTTGAAGTGAGTCTTATTGGGAAAACATCTGCGGAGCAAAGCCAGACTTCTCCATCATAAATCTGCAGTGATTTGATTTTCACTCCCTCATGGTTATGAAGCAGGATTAGAATAAAACATCACAAGATTCTGATTAAGAAATCAAACGACATGTTGATATCCCCCTCCTCTTGTTCAGCTTCTTCTCCTGAAATGTTGCTCGAATCACACGATCACATTCTTCTTGTTGTGTAACTTCAAAACAACTCAGAAAATGCTTCTCCGGCGCGATCTTTGACATCTTTTCTCCAAATTCTTGCGCCGCCGCCAACCCACTCGGTCTCCGCTGCCTCTTAGCAAACAGTATAGCAATGCATGAGTATGGACAGGAAGAATGCAACAACAGAAGGGAATTATGGGAGAAAAGATCGCATTGGAGACCATGAGGAATGCAGCGGAGAAGTGAAGCATTTGTTCACAGTGGGAAGGATGACAAACAGTGGGCGGCTGGTGATATAGCTGCAGGGCTCTGACACCCAGGCAGCAGGCTGGAAACACAGTCTAAAGTAAATGCTCTTTACGTTTTGATTTATAAGGAGAAAATAAGCTAAATATGACATTTGGGTTGACGTTGATTTGACCTGTTTAGGCCTTGTGGGCTGCAAGGATGGCTGGCAGCAAGGAATGCACCAGTGCCCTGCAGAGAGGCCAATGAAAAGCAGAGCGCCGGTGGCTCCTGGCCGGCGTAAAGAAGCCTACTTGGCAGTAAAGCTGGGAGTCATGTGCCTCCATTTAAATGAGGGGAAGAAAGGAAAGCGAGGAGAAGCCGGGGACGCTGCCAAGCCGAGACACTCGAGGAATGCAACAGGAGCAGGAGCAGCTCTCGCTCCGCAGTAATACCATTACGGTTACTGGTATCTGAGTCAGGAAAACAGCTCTTCTCGTCTAGTCAGCATGACTTTTGGCCAGTGTAAACAGAAAACCATCAGAGGAAAGAAAGCAGACTCTTCAGGGAGATATCGACTCTTTTATTAGGATCCCCATCAGATTATTCAGCTTTCTTTTTTGCACAGTTGCACACATTTGTAACGTCATGCACGGAGCGCCGGGACTCTTGTGTTCATTGTCGCGTCCTGTCAACGTTTGTGCAGTTGTGTGCAAAGGCGCGAGGCATGTGGTGTGACTCCTCCAACCCTGGCAGTTAGTTAATAAACACAGGCCTGTCAACAGCTGCTGGTGATGTAATGTGGAACTTCTCCTGACTCCTGATCCTCCCGCCCCACCCCGCCTCCCTCCCTCCCTCACCCACCCCCTTCTTTCTCCCTCTCTCTTCTATTTACAAGTCTCTCTGGGTGTTGCTGCAGACTTCCAGCACTGCCAGCTCAGATAGTGTGTTTAAAGAGTGGATGTGTGTTTGCGCGTGGCGTCGCACCCCCTCCTGCCTGACTGCAACACTTCCAGGGGAATTTACGACGGCATGTTTTCAGCTGCCATCAAAGGACATTCCACATCATCAGGTTGTCTTCCTGACCAAAACACCTCTGAGGGTCTGGGAACTACACAGCCGGCTACCAACCTGTTGAGTGGAGGGGATCCGGCCGGCGCTGCGTAAGTATGAAGTCCTGCTTGTTTGTCTTCTGATATTATGGGAAGTCTCTCGAGTCGAGAAGAAGAGGGTGAGATGAGGTGGCGAAACCGTGACCTGAGATGCACAGAGCTGAAGTGTCACATTTGTACAGAAACAACTAAAAAGTCACTTTGCATGAAGAACGACATGAGATCTTATGTCCGGCTTTTAGAAAACATCAAAACAAAACTATAAAATTATTAGCTAATTCTATTTTTTAAGATTAGCATTAACAGTTAGCTTTTTTAAAATTGATCACAGCGTTATGGCAAAGTTACACTAATCTTGAATTTCACAAATTTTGCTGAAAAAAGTGAGTGAAAATACTTCGGATACTTTAAAAAATTAAATAATTGCTCTATATTGGGGTGACCGGGCTCTCCAGGCTTGTCCGCCTTTGTCCGAAAAAGTTCATAAAATCCTCCAAATGTCCGCGGTTTTCTACGTAAGTTTCGATTTTGTGTCACGTTGACTTGCTGATTTAGAAATGCGTAAAAGAAACTCAATCCGACATGAAACACTCTTAAAATTAACTTTGTGCGACTCCGTGACTCCGCCTCTGTGTAGTCGTGTCGTCAGAATATGGTCACCTTACGGTAAATGTAACTAATAATATCAAGCAATTTACGCCACTAAAATAACTAGCTAGCTGGATTTCAGTTATAATAATATGAAACTGCAAACTTAGCAACAGCTAGTCAGCTAGCGGAACAATACTTGGCTACATGTGGTATGATAATATAAAGATAACATGAGCCTCATTTGAGTTAACAATCATCATAGTTATCAGAAACAGCAAACTTAGCTAGCTAAACAACACTAAACTTTATGTATTTAATATGTCTGGTTCTAAGCTAACTAGCTAGCCTCATTAAAGATGATTGTGTAAATGATAATAAAGCTAATTACATGCTAAATAATTAGCTTCCATAATTTTCTTATAGCTAGAACATCAAACCACAAAGATAATTCGCTAGCCTCAGTGAGAATAAGTAGTTAGCTAGCTGTCAAAGATGTTAGCTGGAAAAATTGTTTAAAATGTTGCTAGTAATTAGCACTCATTGCTATCTACTATCTAAACGATCAATCGATGAAGATAACAAGCTAGCCTCATGACGATAATCAATCTAAGACAACAGGAGCAAGCTAGCTAGCTGAAGCAAAACCTTCCTCTGTAATTCACCTGTTGTTGTAAATCAGCAGCAGTTAAGTTACGACTTTGATTAGCGTTAGCTTGCTTTGTGGTTAGCTTTCAAACCCCAAAATATGAAGCAGCTCAGCAGATTAGCAACAGCTAGCAAAGAAAATTAAACTGAACACAGAGTGTAAAAAATAGCTGTATCATGTCTTTTTAAGCTAACTTAACAGGAAGACGACTATAGAAATAAATACAGGAACTTATATACTAGTTAGCTTGTTTTATGTGCGTGGAGTTACTTCATTAACTGTGCGACATGCTTTAGATGATGCTAGCCAGATTTAAGTGCTGATGTAGCATTTTTTAAGTACAGTTAAGAGCGTAAATATAAATAAAAACCCTGAACTGTTATCGTTAACGGGGATAAATGATACACAGGGTGTTTTTTTCTCCGTTTAGTGTCGATGATAAACTGCGGAAACTGAAGTTCCTCCGTGAGAGGAAAACATGCAGACGGATAAACACTCATAAACACTCTGTTGTTTCTCCGGCTGTAGATGAAATCTGTGTTTTTTAGAGAGCTGCCCGTCTCATGATGCTCACATACACTGGAGTGAGACGGAGGAGGGGGTTTGGTCCTCTCAGGGTTTTTGTACCTGAGCTGGTATCATGAGAGAGGTCAGGAGAGAAGCTCAATGCCTCAACAGGAAGCACGGTTGACTCTTTTTTCCCAGGATGTAAATTAAAACATCCTACGCATCTGGTGGGATCAGCTCTGGGACTCCCCTCCTGAACAGGATGACGACATTGTATTCAGTGTATTTCCTTTCTTTCCTCCCCCATATTAAATTCCCAGCTCTGCCCTGCTGACTACTCACGATTTAGAGCCGCTCAGACGAGTTCAGGCAGAATCTTTATCACTAAAAGTGTCTGAAAAACTCATTTTCCTGTCAGCAGTTTCTCCCCCTTTTATCTCCTGTGACATGATTGTGGTTCGGAAGTAATTTAGGTGTTTGCGCACGAGAACCGGTCTTTTCAGTCTCCTCGAGCATCCGTCATGTTTGACAGCCTTTAAAGGAGAAGTCAAATATTGATAAAAGACTCTTGAAAGAGGCGGAGAGAGCCTCCTGCTGATTCGACACACTGGGACATTTAAGGAGACAGAACTGGAGCGATCTCAGTGCAGATGATTAAAAATGCAGATCGAGGTGTCACGTACTTGTCTGAGTGTTATGAACACGCTGATAATGATTTACACACGCCTGAGAGTGCGCCGGCATGTCTTGCTGTCCTGTGACTGCAGGGACACGGCGAGGAGCCTCAATTGTTCTTGTACTGATTAAATTTACATCAACAAACTTTGATCCTTTGAGGAGCTGGCAGACGACAGTTTTCCAGCACTTATGAAGCAAAAGTTACGAGAACTTTTTATTGCAGTGAAAATAAGCCTCAGTTGAAGCCTCAGTTTGCATGTTGCAATCTGTTAAATGGATATTCCGGCGTAAAATTAATTTAGGGTCAACATTGAGTTAGACACCCCCTCCAGAGATGAATGTTGCCGACTGCTTGCTTCTCTAGTTATACCAACAAGTAATGCTCAGAACAGCACCTAACTTCATCAACAGGACATATAGGGTCACAGCCATAGTACTAGACACCAAACATATTTTTAAGAGACTAAACACAACTCACCTACTCTCTTCCAGCAGCCGCTTGTTTGTAGCGAGACCCCAGGCCAGTGGAAATACAGTCAGACCGAGACGCTAAGGCAGAAGAACTACCGCGAAATGATTGATATAATGATCCCAGAACAAACGTGTGTGTTAGCGGATTGCAATGATCGTAAGAAAGCTAATTATGATATTAACTTTCATCATGCCCCTAAAGTCATTAGTGTCAGAGAGCTGAATATGTTACCCGCTTTTGCTGCGACACCAGCAATGTTAGACTACAAGCTAGCGTGAAGAGAAGTGGCTGCTGGAAGAGAGTAGGTGAGTTGTGTTTAGTCTCTTAAAAAGATGTTTGGTGTCTAGTACTATGGCTGTGACCCTATATGTCCTGTTGATGAAGTTAGGTGCTGTTCTGAGCATTATTTGTGTCTATAGAGTGGCGTTTAGGTTGAGGTTTGTTTATGGCTCCTCAGACCGCTGTGTAATGCTGTCCTGCGGTCGTTACTAAAGTTGGTATAACTAGAGAAGAAAAGAAGAAATATGAGCAAAATTCGAAAACTGAACAAACTGACACTGAAGATTTCCCAGAGCTCTGTGTGTTGCTGCAGTCTCATAATTTTATAATTCTGGGTTCTTGACTTGTGGTTGAGGAGAAGAGCCCTTTGAACCCACTTGAATGGTCTCTGGAGACTCTTTTTGACAGGTTAAATTGATTTTTTCAGGTGAGATTGAAAATAATCTGCAGTGTAAGCTCACTTCCTCGACATTTTCTTCACTTTCTGAGCAATAATCAAACTCACGGTCCTGGTTTTTCAGCTGGTCTTCGGTTTTTATGACCTGCTAACGCTGGAAACCAAAACCACAGCTTCTATTTTCACCTGCGGACGGTTTTGCAGGTGAGATCATTTCAGATTGCATCATGGCACAAATCTACACTTGCCTTAACGGTCGGATTTAATGCCAAGACACACAAGCTGGTGCAGCATGTGTACAACAAGCTCACTGAAGAATTAAAGCTATAAAAATATCCTTAAATATTATTGGATTGCACTTTTTTTGGGCTCATTTTTTTGCCACATCTGCCTTAATTGTTAATATAAAATACTGATAAATTGTAAAATATTTTAACCCTTTCAGTGCCAGGTTTTTGCATGAACACAGTCAAAGTTATTGAAAATTAAAAAACAAAATGAGCATATTTTGGGTTTAAAAAGGCGGTGATAAAGATATGCACGTGTTCTGCTTCGTTTGGAGGAAATAAACGATCCCAGAACATAATCAGAGTTCTATAGCGGAGCCAAGTGTTGATACGGAGTCCACCTCCTTGTAGCATCAGCCCTGATTTCTGCGGCGCTCTCAAACTGACCTCTCAGCCGCTCGTTTCACACTCATGTGATGCATTCTTGTGAGTTAACTTGTTTTCAGTACAAGCGCTCTGAGAAAACACTGGAAGGGTTCAAGAGACATAATGATCGGTTTGCTGAGAGCGTAGAAACGACAGAGCGGAGTGAAATATGGCGTATTGTTTCGCAGTAATTCCAGGTTCGAGCCGTGCCAGGCTTGGAGCTGTTGGTGCCAAACGGACAGGGACACGTGCAGAGGCAGGATGAGACGATCTGTCCAGCAGGGGGACTCAAAAACATCCGATCAGCCTGGACCATCTGTGCAGCAGGAATACAGATGGAGCTCTCCCTCTCCCTCTCTCTGCACATTAAACCCCACATCAGACACTTGCATGCTTCAATTTTCTCCTCAATGAATGGAAAGTAATAGCACCCCCCTCTGCACTCACTCACACACACCCGCCAAAAGTCCCCTCCCACTTCCCCCGCAGAGTGTAGCAGGCGAATTAAACGTATAATCTTCCATTCATTCTCTCTGAATCGCTCAGAAAAGGGAGACTCGGACTCGGCTCGGTACCATGGGGGATGCCTCTGCGCTGACCCCGTTTCTGTCTCCCCCCCTTTATTCAAGGCATGGAGACAAAATGAATTGGTTCCTGGGGCAAAGGGGGGGCACCAATCAATGTCTCACCCCCCCACCCCATCCATTTTCAGGCCCTGGCACTTCCTGGCATTGCTCTTTTTTTGGGGGCGGCTGGGTATTGATCACA